CACAACCTCTGCCTCCTGGGTTCAAGCGATTCTCCTGCCTCAGCCTCCCAAGTAGCTGGGATTACAGGTGTCCACCACCATGCCTGGCTAATGTTTTGTATTTTTAGTAGAGACAGAGTTTCACCATCTTGGCCAGGCTGGTCTTGAACTCCCGACCTCGTGACCCCCCCTTGCCTTGGCCTCCCAAAGTGCTGGGATTACAGGTGTGAGCCACTGCACCCGGCCGTCTAATTGACCTTATTTTGATCTTTTCTCTTGGTTAATCTTGCTAATGGTCTATCAATTTTATTTATCTTTTCAAAGAACCAGCTTTTTGTTTCATTTATCTTCTGTGGGTTTTGTTGTTGTTGTTGTTTCAATTTCATTTAGTTCTGCTCTGATCTTGGTTATTTCCTTTCTTCTGCTGGGTTTGGATTTGGTTTGTTCTTGTTTCTCCAGTTCCTTGAGATGTAACCTTAGATTTGTGCTCTTTCAGATTTTTTGATGTAGGTATTTAAGGCTATAAACTTTCCTCTTAGCATCACCTTTGCTGTATCCCAGAGGTTTTGATAGGTTGTGTCACTATTATCGTTTGGTTTGAAGAATTTTTAAATTTCTATCTTGATTTCATTGTTGACCCAGTGATCATTCAGGAGCCAGTTATTTCATTTCCATGTATTTGCATGGTTTTGGAGGTTCCTTTTGGAATTGACTTCCAGGTTATTCCACTGTGGTCTGAGAGAGTTCCTGATATAATTTCAATTTTCTTAAATTTGTTGAGACTTGTTTTGTGGCTTATCATATGGTCTATCTTGGAGAAAATTCCATACACTGAGGAATAGAATGTACATACTGTGGTTGTTGGGTAGAATGTTCGTAAATACCTGTTAAGTCCATTTGTTCCAGGGTATAGTTTAAATCCATTGTTTTTTTTTGTTGACTTCTGTCTTGATAACCTGTCTAGTGCTTGTCAGTGGCATATTGAAGTCCCCCACTATTATTGTGTTGCTGTCTATCTCATTTCTTAGGTCTAGTAGTAATTGTTTCATAAATTTGGGAGCTCCAGTGTTAGGTGCATATACATTTAGGATTGTGATATTTTCCTGTTGGACAAGGCCTATTATCATTATATAGTATCCCTCTTTGTCTTTTTTAACTGCTGTTGCTTTAAAGTTTGTTTTGTCTGATATAAGAATAGCTACTCCTGCTCACATTTGGTGTCCATTTACATAGAATGTCTTTTTCCACCCCTTTACTTTAAGTTTATGTGAGTCCTTCTGTGTCAGGTGATTTTCCTGAAGGCAGCAGATGCTCGGTTGGTGAATTCATATCCATTCTGCCATTCTGTATCTTTTAAGTGGCACATTTAGGCCATTTACACTCAACATTAGTCTTGAAATGTGAGGTACTATTCCATTCATCATGCTATTTGTTGCCTGTATACCTTTTAATTGTATTTTTGTTTTATAGGTCCTGTGAGATTCATGCTTTAAAGAGGCTCTGTTTTGATGTGTTTCCAGGATTTGTTTCAAGATTTATAACTTTTTTAGCAGTTCTTGTAGTGCTGGCTTGGTGGTGGCAAATTCTCTTAGCATTTGTTAGTCTGAAAAAGACTGTGTCTTTCCTTCATTTATGAAGCTTAGTTTTGCTGGGTATAAAATTCTTGGCTGATAATTGTTTTGTTTAAGGAGACTGAAGATAGGGTCCCAATCCCTTCTAGCTTGTAGGGTTTCTACTGAGAAATCTGCGTTAATCTGATAGGTTTTCCTTTGTAAGTTACCTGGTGCTTTTGCCTCACAGCTCTTTTTTTTTTTTTTTTTTTGAGGCAAAGTTTCACTCTGTCGCCCAGGCTGGAGTACAGTGGCCAGATCTCAGCTCACTGCAAGCTCCACCTCCCAGATTTACGCCATTCTCCTGCCTAAACCTCCTAAGTAGCTGGGATTACAGGTGCCCACCACCTCGCCCAGCTAGTTTTTCTGTATTGTTTTAGTAGAGACGGGGTTTCACCATGTTAGCTAGGATGATCTCAATCTCCTGACCTCGTGATCCACCCATCTCGGCCTCCCAAATTGCTGGGATTACAGGCTTGAGCCACCGCGCCCGGCCTGCCTCACAGCTCTTAAGATACTTTCCTTTGTCTTGACTTTAGATAACCAGATGACAATGTGCCTAGACGATGATCTTTATGTGATGAATTTCCCAGGTGTTCTTTCTTGTATTTGGATGTTTAGGCCTCTAGCAAGGCCAGGGAGGTTTTCCTTGATTCTTCCCCAAAAAATGTTTTCCAAACTTTTAGATTTCTCATCTTCCTCAGGAATGCAGATTATTCTCAGGTTTGGTTGTTTTACATAATCCCAAACTTCTTGGAGGCTTTGTTCATTTTTTAAAATTCTTTTTTCTTTGTCTTTGTTGAATTGGGCTAATTCTGAATTGGGTTAATTCAGAGCTTGTCTTCAAACTCTGCAGTTCTTTCTTCTGCTTGTTTGATTCTATTGCTAAGACTTTCCGGAACATTTTGCATTTCTCTAAGTGTGTCCCTTGTTTCCTGAAGTTGCAATTGTTTTCTGTCCATGCTCTCTGTTTCACTGAAGATTTCTCCCCTCATTTCTTGTATCATTTTCTTGATTTCCTTAAATTGGACTTCACCTTTCTCTGGTGCCTCCTTGATTAGCTTAATAATTGACCTTCTGAATTCTTTTTCAAGTAGGTCAGGGATTTCTTCTTGGTTTGGACCCATTGCTGGTGAGCTGGTGTGATTTTTTGGGGGTGTTAAAAAGCCTTATTTTGTCATATTACCAGAATTGTTTTTCTGGTTCCTTCTCATTTGGGTAGGCTATGTCAGAGGGAAGTTCTGGGACTCAAGGTTGCTATTCAGATCCTTTTGTCCCATGGGGTGTTCCCCTGATGTAGTTCTCTCCCCCTTTTGTGAGACTGGTATAAAAATAGTCATATAGACCAATGGAACAGAATGGAGAACCCAGAAATAAACCCAACTGTTTACAGCCAACCGATCTTCAACAAAGCAAACAAAAACATAAAGTGGGGAAATGACACCCTATTCAACAAATGGTGCTGGGATAATTGAAAAGCCACAGGTAGGAGAATGAAACTGAATCCTCATCTCTCACCTTATATAAAAATCAGCTCAAGATGGATCAAGGACTTAAATCTAAGACCTGAAACTATAAAAATTCTAGAATATAACATCAGAAAAACCCTTCTAGACATTGGCTTATGCAAAGATTTCATGACCAAGAACCCAAAAACAAATGCAACAAATACAAAGATAAATAGGTGGGACTTAAACTAAAGAACTTTTGCACAGCAAAATAAACAGTCAGCAGAGCAAACAGACAACCCACAAAGTGGGAGAAAATCTTCACAAACTACGCATCTGACAAAAGACTAATATCCAGAATCCATAAGGAACTCAAACAAATTACCAAGAAAACAAACAAACAAACAATCCCATCAAAAAGTGGGCTAAGGTTATGAATAGACAGTTCTCAAAAGAAGATATACAAATGTCCAACAAACAAGGAAAAATGTTCAACATCACCGATGATCAGGGAAATACAAATCAAAACTGCAATGCAACACCACGTTACTCCTGCAAGGGTGGCCATAATCAAAAAATCAAAAAATGATGGATGTTGGCATGGATGTGGTGAAAAGGGAATGCTTCTACACTGCTGATGGGAATGTAAACCAGTACAGCCACTGTGGAAAACAGTGTGGAGATTCCTTAAAGAACTAAACGTAGAACTACCATTTGATCCATCAATCCCACTACTGGATATCTACCCAGAGGAAAAGAACTCATTATTCGAAAAAGATGCTTGCACACACATGTTTATAGCAGCACTATTCACAATTGCAAACATGTGGAACCAGCCCAAATGCCTATCAATGAACAAGTGGATAAAGAAACTATGATATCGATATATCATATATATATAGACATATGTCATATATAGAGAGATATAGACATATATCATATATATGGCATACATATGTATGATGGAATACTACTCAGCTATAAAAGGAATGAATTAATGGCATTCACAGCAACCTGGATGGGATTGGAGACTATTATTCTAAGTGAAGTAACTCAGGAATGGAAAACCAAACATCGTATGTTCTCACTTATAAGTGGGAGCTAAGCTATGAGGATGCAAAGGCGTTAAGAATGATACAATGGGCTTTGGGGACTCTGGGGGAAAGGGAAGGAAGGGGGTGAGGAATGAAAGACTACAAATTGGGTTCAGTGTATATTTATCTGGTGATGGGTGCACCAAAATCCCACAAATCACTGCTAAAGAACTTAGCAATAGACCTGGTACCCACCTTGCACTGCTCAGCACAGGGAAGAGGAAAATGCCAGCACTCAGTCAGGGTAACTCAGGGTTTCCTCCTTTAGATGGGACAAGTGGGCTCCTCCCCGCTCCTCCTCCTGCTGGACCTGGCTGCCTACTTGGGCCTGGCTGCCTGTTCCTTCTAGAACCACCAGGTGCTGGGGACAGGTTTGAAAGGAGGAAGATCCGGGTTTGATTCCCAGCTGTGCTACTAATTAACTGTGTGGCATTTCCTGCATTGAGTCCAATGTCTAAAGTGAGGGAACACGCACATTCTGCAGTGCTATGAGGTTTAAAGTTGTGTCTGTAGCTCCAGTGGCTGCTTACCTGAGCACTTCCCAGGGTGTGTGATGATGACTGGTTTTCATGGATATCTGACCAGATAAAACTGGGGCTTCGGGATGACAGGGAACGACCCACTCCCTGTATCAAGCCCAGGACTGAGTATGAAATATGTCTGCAATAAAGACTGAAGAAGCTGAGAACAGCTCTTGTACTTGGGCCAGGACTGTGACTCATTCATCCATTTATTCAGCATTGTTTCTGAGCCAGGTCCCATGCCGGGACCTCAGGGTAGTGTCGGGGAACAAGCCCAGTTCCTGTGCTCCGGGGGCTCCTATCGGGGGTGCGCATGGAGCTGACGTTCTGCTTTCTCTCTCCATACAGGTGTGTGGAACTGCTGACTCAGGATGTCGGGGTTCAGGCTGGTAAGAATTGTATGATTTGATCTAGGGGTTATTGGTGTAAGTTACTCAAGGCCAAGTTGAATCGCTCCCAAGGAAAGAGAGGAAAGGCAATGAGACCCCATAGGAAAATACCAGAGACAGGTGAGTTCAGGAAACACGACAGATTCTCGCATCTCAAGAAAACAAGTTTGGCCAACCACTGGCCTCGGCAATACATGTAGTCATGTATAGTTATCCCTCACTCTCATGCAGGGCTTAACATGTCCCTTTGTCTTGACGAAAGGGATTTCTTTTCTTTACTTTTCTTTTTTTTTTCCAGACAGATTCTCACTCTGTCATCCAGGCTGCAGTGCAGTGGCGTGATTTCAGCTCACGGCAACCTCTGCCTCCCAGGTTCAAGTGATCCTCCAACCTCAGCCTACTGAGTAGCTGGGACCACAGGTGCATGCCACCACACCCAGCTAATTTTTGTATTTTTTGTAGGGACGGGGCTTTATCATGTTGCCCAGGCTGGTCTTGAACTCCTGAGCTCAAAACAATCCACTCGCCTTGGCCTCCCAAAGTGCTGGGTGTGAGCCACCTTGCCCAGCCAACAAAGGGATTTCCCAGTTGTCTCACTGTGGCAGTTGCAGGGAGCTCCCCCAGAGAAAACAGGGAACTGGGGAACTGTGGGCATGGGTAGGACTGAAACCCAGGTCTGAATCACCACTTTGGACTCTGCATCGTGTTTCCTTCACTCAACAAATATTCCTGTGTTCCGGTGGCCAAGCGATGGCTTCTCCATAGGAAGAAAGCAGAGGAGTTTTGCATTTACTGTTGAAGCAACGTAGACCCTGGGGAACTGCCCTGCCCTGCCACGGGGCATAAAGAGTGGAGAGCTCAGAGGCTGGAGAGCCCAGAGAGCAGAGGTCCCAAACCAGCCTGTGCATCCTTCCCTGCCCTCCACATTTCCACCCTTGCCCCATGCCCCGCAGAGTCCAGGAGAGCAGGATAGTGCTGCAAAGTGCTGTTTGATAAGAAAATGCCCCAAATCCTCTCCTCCTGAGTGCAAAGCCACATAGGACATCGTTCCTGGCTGCTAGAGCACACTGCTGAGAGGAGGACCTTCACCACGCAGGAGCCCCTGGCGCTGCCACTAAGCCTGGCAGCATCGGACTCACAGAATGGACAGCCAAGATTGGCTTCTTGTTTTCAATTACAGAATAGAGCTTAGGCTGTTTTAGGCTGTAGAGAGGACACGCGTGGTCTCAAACGTCAGGTTGTGAGGCTTCTGGTAACTAAGTTGCAAACCTGAGAGCGTGGCTCCACCTTGGAGCATGGTGTGATTTTAAGACAAAGCAAAGCATTTCACAAAGGAATGTGCCGTGGGATGCATCAACGCCAGACTCCCTCTGGGGATGCCACTAATGGCAAGCAGAGTTTAGAAAAACACCTCTCAGGGCCCTATTACTCACAATTACAATTGCAGGCTCGCTCTGTCTTCAGACATTGTAAGTCTTTGAGAGGAGAGTCGTCTCTCGGCTCACTGCAACCTCAGCCTCCCAGGTTCAAGCAATCCTCCCGCCTCAGCCTCCCGAGTAGATGGGACTACAGGCACCCACCACCATGCCCGGTTAATTTTGTATTTTTAGTAGAGACAGGGTTTCACCATGTTGGCCAGGCTTGTCTCGAACTCCTGACCTCAGGTGATCTGTCCGCCTACCTCGGCCTCCCAAAGTGCAGAGTGGTCATCTTTTTAATGAATAAGTCTTTCAGAGGGCCCATGCGGTTGTTGAGTCCTCTGTGGTGCCCTCCGTGCTGGACACTAGGCAGGCTCCCTGCCATAGGGCACTCCATCTTCACCGCAGCCCTGTGAAGCAGGCCCCTTTCAACAGATAAGGAAGTTAAGGTTCAGAGCCGTGAAGTGACTTTCCCAAGGCCGTATAACTCCTGGAATACAGAGTAGGGATTAGAACCCAGCCAGGTCTGCCTGACTTCACTGGGGCTTGGACTGCCGTAACAAGGTGTCACAGCCTGGGTGGCCTAAACCACAGACATTTGTGTTCTCACGGTCCTGGAAGCTGGAAGTCCAAGGTCAAAGTGCCTTAGGGTTGTAGATGGCTGTCTTCTCATTTTATCCCTTCACATAGCCTTTCTTCTGTGCTGTGGGGTGAGGAGAGGGAGAGAGAAAAACAGAGAGAGAGAGACAGGGAGAGAGAGAGCGTGCGTGCATCTCACTCTGGTGCCTCTTCCTTTTTTACAGACACCAGTCCTGTTGGATTAGGACCACACCTTAGGACCTTATTTAACCTTAATTACCTCCTCGAAGGCCTTATCTGCAAATATTGTCATGTCAGGAGTTGGGGCTTCACTATATGAATTCTGGAGGGACACAATTCAGTCCATATAATGAGGTTTATTTATATTTTTGCCCATCTTCTATAGCAATCTTCTTCCTAATTCTAATTTTATTTTATTTTATTTTTTATTTGTTATTCTTTTTTGACAGAGTATTTTGACAGAATATTTTTTATTCTTTTTTGACAGAGTCTCACTCTGTCAGCAAGGCTGGAGTGCAGTGGTGCGATCACAGCTCACTGCAACCTCCACCTCCCAGATTCAAGCAATATCGTGCGTCAGCCTCCTGATTAGCTGGGATTACAGGGGCCCACCACCACGCCTAGCTTTTTTTTTTTTTTTTTTGAGATGGAGTCTTTCACCATGTTGCTCAGGCTGGTCTCAAATTCTGCAAGCTCTGCCTCCCAGGTTCAAGGAATGTTCCTGCCTCAGCCTCCTGAGTAGCTGGGACTATAGGCGTGTGCCACCACACCTGGCTAATTTTTGTATTTTTAGTAGAGACAGGGTTTCACTATGTTGGCCAGGCTGGTCTTGAACTCCTGACTTCGTGATCCGCCCGCCTCGGCCTCCCAAAGTGCTGGGATTACAGGTGTGAGCCACCGCACCCAGCCAATTTTTGTATTTTTTTAGTAGAGGCAGGGTTTCTCCATGTTGGCCAGGCTGTTCTCAAACTCCTGGCCTGTCTTGGCCTCCCAAAGTGCTGGGATTACAGGTGTGAACCACGACACCCAGCCCCTAATTCTAATTTTTAAAAAATTTCTATATCATTTTGCTGACTTTTCTCCTTCCTACCTTTTATGATTCTTACCATGTTTTTCTAATCAGGGCATGTTCTCCCGCGGTTTCCAATTTTGTTTTCATTCTGGTGCGCATTTCTTTCATTTCCTCCATTTTTTTCGTTCAGCTCTGCCAACTCACGTCTCATCCTTTTTCTCAGTTTTCCCCCATCTAATTCCTGGGCTTTTCTGCCTCTGACCTAGTCTTTGGTCAGTTTTTGTAAATGATGGTGAAATATTCGGTCACAACTTCCCACGGCTCTGTGGCAGTTATTTCTCTTTTGCTAAGTGTTATTTGCTCCCTTCCTCCTCTTGGGTTTCAGTACCTCCGAACACAGACCTGTGCTGCTTCCTTTTGGATTACTTCTCTTCAGATGGGGTGAGCTCTCTTGGATTAGAAGGAGGTTCGTGCGGGGTCAGTGCCACAGTGCAGGCTAGCAGAAATGTCACATGTGAGTTTTTAGTCGTTGCTTCTCCCACCCAATAGATCTGGGTACTGCAGAGCTTCTCACGGGCCAAGGCTTCTCTTTTCCCACCCCGCAGAGAGACTGCTTCCTGCAAATATGGCAGACCTGCAAATATGGTCTGTTTCTTAGAACCGAGACAGGCCAGGCAAGCTCCGACTGCCACCTTGTGCCCATGCTCCTGCTGCTGCAGCAAGTCATGCTGCTTTTGCACGCCAGGATGGGCTGCTGCCTTGGAGAATTGAACTTTGCCCTCTCTTTCTGGAATCTACAGCTGGGGTCACCTTTTCAACTTCCTCCTGTGTCTCCTAGCATTTGTTTCTGTTTCTTATCCTCCTATTGCTTGCAGGTGATTTCTGAGAAGATGCAACTCTTGCTACCATCATCAAGCTTGAGAAGCACTTTCTCTTTTAACCACTCAGCCACGCCACCTTCCTAAATAGTTGCCAAGTTTCTTTTTCATTATGAGAGGTTCTGTGGTGAGACCGGAGCTCTTGTTCTTGTCAGCTTACTGTCCCAGACTAGACAAAGACACGGAGAGAAGCTGTACAGGTGCTTGGTACCTGCTCAGTGAGCAGGGCAGGTGACACACGATCAAAGGAAACAGGGGCTAGGAGAGAGAGGGAGAAAGAGAGATAGGAGAGGAATGGGAAGAGGGGAGGAGAGGAAAGGAGAGACAAGCTCCAGCCACCTTGGGAACTCTGGGCTGGAAGGCAAAGCCCTAAAGAGAGGTAAGTATCCAGCAGGGAGGGGAAGAGAGAGCGGGGATCACACCACTGTCTTCTGTCTGCTCTCCAGGGTGACCACGTGTGGCTGGAGCCTCCCTCCACCCACAAGACTGGCGTGGCCATTGGAGGCATCATCAAAGAGACAAAGCCAGGCAAGATCTTGGTTGAAGATGACGAGGGCAAGGTCAGTGTTCTGGGGCTTTCCTCCGGGTCCCGGCCTGCCCCCACATCCAGGGCCCCAGAGCCCTCCCCACCCTGTGGAACCTCTCCCTAACACCAGGGGCTCCAAGGCCAAGTGGGGACCTGAGTGGCAGGACAGATCACGGTGGAGTCCTGCCATGGTGAACACGGCCTCTGTGTCCTGGGGAACGTTTCAAGAGTTGCAGTCCAGGGAAATGAAGAGAATTAGGGGACCAGGAAGTGGAGAAGTGGGAAAGGGGCTCTGGAAGGACCAGAGGGGCAGAAAGCCGGTTTGCAAAATGAAACTGGCAAGGGGGAAAGGTGGGTGAGGAAGGTGTGTGGAGGGGCAGGACACGGCAAAACGCACAAGTGAGAGGCCAGCAACCTGAAGTGGCCCAGAGGTGACCAGCTCGTCCACCAGAGGGGTCAGGACCAGCTAGGTGGTGAGCGGGGAAGGGCTTACCATGGAATGTCCAGCCGGTCACTTACCTCCTCAGATTGTCCTCTCTGCTCAGCTGGGTGCTGCAGGCTTAGCCTCCAAAGAAAAGTTTCTAGGCTGTGGCCTGTGAGATCCAGATGATGGAAGTCAGTAAAATAATAACAATATCTTCTATTTGTGTAACACTGTAGTTTAAAAAAAAAAACAAACTTTCACTTGCACACTCTTATAACATAAGAGTGCAAGGCTCCCAGCTGCAACCTGACCCTAAATCTAACTTCTGGCTACAAGCTCCTTTGTCCCTGGTCTGAAATTCAGCCCTAGCCCCAGCTACGCCTTAACCCTGGGCCCTAGACCCATGCTGATCCAGTCATAGATGGACCTGATTCTGCCACAGGAGTCCCTTGAGCCTTGTCATAGACTGACCCTGGCTGGAGGCTGGCCACCGCCCCAGGTCAGCTGATCTGTGACCCCGAAGGCCACTTTGCTGCTGAGAACTTGGAGGGGAGGGTGTGGCAGGCTGGCCACGGGGATGGAGGCCACGCCTCAGGGGAGTCTGCACCCGTTGTTCCAGGAACACTGGATCCGAGCAGAGGACTTTGGTGTCCTCAGCCCCATGCACCCCAACTCAGTCCAGGGCGTGGATGACATGATCCGCTTGGGGGACCTGAACGAGGCGGGCATGGTGCACAACCTCCTGATCCGCTACCAGCAGCACAAGATCTACGTGAGTCTCCCCAGCCCTGTGTCCACAGGGGAGCCCCTCACAGGTGCCGACCTCCTGGACAGGGAGAAGAAAATGATGCATGGGGCCACTGCCCCCCCATGCCCTCACTGGGGGAGGTGGGCGAGGTGCCTAACTTTTCCCAATCTCTGCTGCCCAGTCCCAAACAGGGCGATCCCACCCTGGAGGGGAGGAAGCCACTGCATAGAGTGACAGCACAGTGCCTGGCACAGTCCGTGCTCAGTGAGGGCTGCAGATGGCCATCAGGTGGCCATTGTCCTCTGCCCTCTCCATCCCAAGCATGTTGTAGAGACAGGGTCACCAGACAGAGAGCTCCTGGTCTCCCAAGAGTGAGTCCCATGACAGCCAGGATCCCGAGATCCTGATTCACCAGACGAGGGGGCCATGGGGGTGGATGTGGGCCCTCCCCGCAAACCTGGCCTGGATGGAGGTTCACCCCAGCCTGAAACTCTCATCCTGGTTCCAATGCAGATTTTTCCAGGGGAGGTGGTATTTCCAAACTGACACCAGCTCGGCCTAAGTATGTGTGGCCTGCAGAAGCCACTGCCTGCCGGGGCCTCTCTGGTTGGAGGGTGGCTGGCTTGGTTCTGACCGGCCCTTCTGGGCTGTCCAGAGGAAGGCAGCTTGTGCTTCCAAAGGGCTTGTGCCTGCACTCCTCATCTGGTGGCACAGCCTGAAGCCAGAGGGCACGTCCTCTCCTTTCCTAAAGTGAAAACCAGGATGCCATGGTCGTGTGGCGTATTGTGCAGACTCTGCCTGCCCCACCCACTGAGGGGCAGTGGGGCCGGGTGGGGGCTCCAGATGGGCAGCTGATCCAGGGCGGAGGTCCCAGGAGCACACAGAATTTGTGGTTGGGGTCCGTGAGGGCCACTTGTTGACCAACCTATATGAAAGCCCCTGCGGGATGCACGTGAAAACCCATTTCATACTTAGTCCATTTTTATCGAGCCCCTCCTAAGTACCAGGCAAGGTACAGTTAACATTTGATCTTCCTGGAAATATGTCCCCCGGGAGCTCACCTTCCTGGTGGACATCTCGTCTTCCCATAGGAGGGACCTGCACAGCCGAATGTCTTACCTCCCTGGCCCAGAATCAGACTCTACTTCCCCACCAAAGTCAGCAGCCCTGATAACTCCCTGAGGGCAGGGCCAAGGCCAAGTATCTCTGCCAGGGGCAGAGGGCACTGACCACCTGCTCCCTTCCCAGACGTACACAGGCTCCATCCTGGTGGCCGTGAACCCGTTCCAGGTGCTGCCGCTCTACACCCTGGAGCAGGTACAGCTCTACTACAGCCGCCACATGGGCGAGCTGCCCCCGCACGTCTTTGCCATCGCCAACAACTGCTACTTCAACATGAAGAGGAACAAGAGGGACCAGTGCTGCATCATCAGGTGAGGCAGAGGGGTCGGGCACCGCCTCCAGGCATCTCCCCGAACTGCTCCCCACAGCACGCCTGCCAAGGTGGGCGAGGCAGGAGTTCTCCCTGCTCCGGGGCACACACCCTTCTCCACAGCACACCACGGCCCCAGCTACCCTGCAGCCCGAGCAGTTCCTCCAAAGCTTCCTTCCTTCAGAACCTAAGCTTTCATCGTGTCACCAGGGACTGCACTGCCCAGCCTCTAATAACGGTTTACTGAGTCAAGGAAGGAAGTTGGGCTGGGTTCCTTTAGAAATGGGCCCCAGGGGTCGGGCATGGTAGCTCATGCCTATAATCCCAGTGACTTGGGAGGTCAAAGCAGGAGGATTCCCTGAGGCTGGAAATTTGAGACCAGCCTGGACAACGTAGCGAGACCCTATCTCTGTAAAAATAAAAGAAGAAAAAGGTACGGGACCCAGGTTAGGCACTTGAAGATGCAGGAGTTCAACAGCTGAGGACCCACGCAAAAAAAATCTCAAGGCAGGCCCCAGGTGAGGACAGAGGAGCAGCCGCTCCAAGGGGCAGCTCTCAGGTCACCAGGGGACCAGAAGGAAAGTGTCCCCTCCAGTCCAGGTCCTGGCTGCTTCAGAGACTCCCTGCCTGGCCTGGCCTCTCTACCAGTGACCACAGACCCTCCTGGTGTCGGGAGGAGGAGTGTTCAAGGGAACGGGAGGTGGAGTGGGAATTTGGCTCCCAGGCACCTTGCTTGGTGCTCCAGTAGAGTCACTCATTCATTCCTTCCTTCATTCAATCATTTGAGGTTTTGTCATGCCCCAACTGTGTGCCACCCACTGTCCTAACATGGGGAGGTGGCAGCTAACAAAAGGGACCAGAATCCCTTCTTCAGGGAGCTTACATTCTAGAAGCGGAGACAGACAGGCAATAAATAAGTGCATTTTTATGCAGGTCCTAACAGCTTTGAAGTAAAACACGGCAGGGGAGAGGAAAGGGTGATGTCAGCCTCTGCATTAGGTAGGGGACAGGCCAGGCACGGCCTCTCTGAGGCGGGATGCTGAACAGAGACCAGAATGAAGTCCTAAGGCACAGGTGATCACATTTCATGTCCTCAGCAACCCTCTGAAGGAGATGCTCTCATTCCCCTGATATGGCCCCGTGTTACTGCTGGAGAGACCTACAGTCAGAGGGGCTGAGATCCTGTTCCAGCGGCACACAGCGGTGAAGTGGGGAATTCAAACCCAGGGCTCTGGAGAAGACAGCAGACGGGTGCCCTGGGAGAGAGCTGGAACTCCCAACCTGCCCCCGGAGGCAGAGCGAGAAGCCTCTCGGCAGAGCTGGGCCGCGGGCTGGCTGGCCGGGAGCTGACAGGGTGGCGCCCCCTGGAGGCTGGCGGGGCTGGCCGAGTGTGAGCAAGGAGAGGAAAGAGCTGCCTGAGGTTTGGTTCCTTGTAGTGAGCAGAACGTCACTTGTCACTTTGAGTCAAATTGCATTCTCCTCCTGCCCTTTCCTCCCCCAGGGCTGTGGGCAAGTCCCCTTAAGCCGCGTCTCTACAATGGCAGGCTATTTGATGAGCTTGTGTTTATAAACACGCCTGGCGCTTGACAGGCACTCAGGGGAGTCCACAGCTATCACTGGAGGTTTGTTGATCTCACTCTGCTTTGCTGGCATAGTGATTGTGGGTATTTTGATCATAACTTTGTAAAAAAGGTAATATTTTGACTGGGTGCGGTAGCTCACGCCTGTAATCCCAGCACTTTGGGAGGCCGAGGCAGGTGGATCACCTGAGGTCAGGAGTTCAAGACCAGCCTGGCCAACATGGTGAAACCCCATCTCTACTAAAAATATAAAAATTACCTAGGTGTGGTGGCCAGCGCCTGTAATCTCAGCTACTTGGGAGGCTGAGGCAGGAGAATTGCTGGAACTGGAGGGGGCAGAGGTTGCAGTTAGCTGAGATGGTGCCATTGCACTCCAGCCCAGGCCAACAACAGCCAGACTCCGACTCAAATAAAGAAAAAAAAAAAAAAGACAATATTTTCAGGCCAAGCATGGTGGCTTATGCCTGTAATCCTAGCACTTTGGGAGGCTGAAGCGGGCAGATCAGCTGAGGTCAGGAGTTTCAGACCAGCCTGGTAAAGATGGTGAAACCTTATCTCTACTAAAAATATAAAAATTACCTGGGTGTGGTGGCAGGCACCAGTAATCCTAGCTACTTGGGAGGCTAAGGCATTGCTGGAACTGGAGGGGGCAGAGGTTGCAGTTAGCTGAGATGGTGCCATTGCACTCCAGCCCAGGCCAACAACAGCCAGACTCCGACTCAAATAAAGAAATAATATTTTCAGATGAAGCAATATCTGGGATTTGCTTTAAAATAGTACAGGAGGGGAAACAAAATTGGCCAGGAGTTGAAGCTGGATAATGGGACTGTGGGAGTCTGCTATGCAAATTCTAAAGTGTAGGAATCCTCTGGGGATCCTGTGAAAATGCAGATTCTGATCAACAGAGCCTGTGTGACCTGGGCATCTGCATTCTGAGCCTGCTGCTGGCCTGTGGGCCACGCTTTCATTAGGAAGATATTGAGTCATCTCACTCAGCCTTCTGTATGTCCTGGGCACTGTGGTGCTGACCCTGGAATGAATCAGATCCGAGTGTGCCAAGGAGCTTGCAGCCGAGCAGAGAAGAAAAGACAAACACAATAGCGTGTACAACACAGGCAGCCTGAGACCCACAGGGGACTTCAGGGCTTCAATGCAGTGGGATATCTGCAGGGGAGAGGCCATCCTTGTCAGACTGGCTAGAGAAAGCAAGACTGGGGTTTGTAGGAGAGTTGAGAGGTGTTGAAAAAAATAGTTGTTGCGTGGTCTCATGTCCCTGCACACCCTTTTTGCAGTGGCGAGTCTGGGGCTGGCAAGACGGAGACCACCAAGCTCATCCTGCAGTTCATGGCCACCGTCAGTGGCCAGCATTCGTGGATCGAGCAGCAGGTCCTGGAAGCCAACCCTATCCTGGAGGGTAAGCATCGCTCTGGGACCTGCCCTTCTCCCCCAGCCCCACGAGAGCCTTCCTTCCAGGTGGGACCACAAACCTTCAGCAACTCCTCCAGACCCTTGGGACACAAAACACAAGGGTGGGGTGCATGGTAGGGATAGGGGGGCCAGGCGGCACAAAGGGGAAAGACTGAGGACTTAATAAACTTTCAACAGGTGTGTTTTCCACGGAATTGTAAGGAGTATTCTTTTTAAAAAGGGATCCAAGATCAAGTCAATTTGGGAAATGCTAGATGTGTGTGTTCGGTTGCTGGAACTGAACTGGAAAGCAGTTGCTGGGCCAGGGTGAGGACTGCAACAGGTTTATCGAGGGGTAAACCTGCGGAAGACAAGGTGGGAGGAAGCAGGAGTGGGCAGGATGAGTCTTCAAACTTGGATGCTGCTCAGACCCTTAGGAACGGGAAAAGGAGAGGAAGCAGCTTGGGTCGGGAGCGGCTCATGCTGTGATGCAGATCTAAGTCTTGGCCAACCCAGATGGGGGCTCTGGAGCAAACTCCTCCTTAGAAGCCTCCTGCCTTCGCTCGGGTGACCCGGCCTCAGTCTTGTTAGGGCTGCCCGGAAGCCTATGGCCTCGGCCCCAAGGCTGTCGGCTGCTGTCTCTCTCGTGTCTTTACAATTGAAGTTTGCTCTCCATATAGTAAATATTCACCTTTTTCACGTACAGTTTCGTGAGTTTTGACAAATGCATACAGGCCTATGGCTCCCATCATCATCAGGAAGTAGAATGTTCCCATTACCCCCCAGATCTCCCCTCACGCCCCTTCGTAGTCACCCCGTCTTCCGGACCCCTCCCCTCGCAACTGCGGATTTGTCTTTCCCCTGCCTCCCTTCACAGTTTTGTCTTTTCCAGAATGTCGTAGAAGTAAAATCACAGGGTTTGTAGCCTTTTGTGTCTGGTTACCTTGGCTATTTGGGATTCTTCCTTGTTGCTGCCTGCATCAGTGATTCATTCCGTTTTAATGCTGAGTAGAATTCCATTGTGTGGAGGTACCACAGCTTCTCCACCCGTTTAGGACATCTGGGTTGTTTATCGTTTTTAGCCACTAGGAGGAAAACCTCTATAAACATTCACATACAGGTTTTTGGGTGCACATAGGTCTTTCCCTTGGATAAATATGCAGGAGTGAAATTGTTGGCTCAAAAGGCAAGTGAGCCATTTTACTTTGTCAGAAACTTCCGAAATGTTTTCCAAAGTGGTCGCAGCATTTTGCTCTCTCACCAGCAGAGCAAGAACATTCTGGTTGTCCTGTGATCCCACCAGCACTGACACGGTGAAGGACATGGTCTGCCCTCTGATATATGTGGAGCACGCTTGTAACTCCCATGGCCCTGATGACGAAGGATGTTAGCGTCTGTCCGCATGCTTACCTCCCCTCTGTATATCTGCTTGGGTGAAGTGTTGGTTCAAATCTTTTGCCTATTCTTTCATATTCTTCAATTGGTCTATTTCCTTACTAATAAGTTATTTTTGCTTGTTTGTTTTTTGTTTATTTGAGACAGAGTTTTGCTCTTGTTGCCCAGGCTGGAACACAATAGCACGATCTCGGCTCACTGCAACCTCCGCCTGCCGGATTCAAGCAATTCTCCTGCCTCAGCCTCCCCAGTAGCTGGAATTATAGGCATGAGACACCACGCCCGGCTAATTTTGTATTTTTAGTAGAGACGGGGTTTCTCCATGTTAGTCAGGCTGGTCTTGAACTCCCGACCTCAGGTGATCTGCCCGCCTCGGCCTCCCAAAGTGCTGGGATTATAGGTGTGAACCACCGTGCCTGGCCACTGGTGAGTTTTAAGAGTTCTTTAGGTGTTCTGGATACAAGTCCTTTCTAAGACAGGTGTTATATTGTGTCCGAGTTTGTGGCCTGTCTTTTCATTCTCTAGACAGTGTCTTTTGCAGGGCAGAAGTTTTAAATTTTTGAAGTTCAATTTGTCCTTTTTTTTCTCCTATGGGTCATGTTTTTTTGTGTTGTATCTAAGAAATCTTTGCCTAACCCAGAGATTTTCTCCTATGTTTTTCCTATGTGTTTTGTAGTTTTAGATCTTATACTTAGGTTGATGATCCAGTTCATGATTTACATTTGTGATCCGATATTTTTCTATGGTGCAAGGTACACAGCACAGAAAAGAAGACTTTTGGCTGGGCGTGATGGCTTACGCCAGTAATCCCAGAACTTTGGGAGGCTGAGGCAGTCAGATTGCTTGAGGTCAGGAGTTCAAGACCAGCCTGGCCAACATGGGGAAACCCCGTCTCTACTAAAAATACAAAAATTAGCTGAGCATGGTGGCGTGCGCCTGTAATCCCAGCTACTCGGGAGGCTGCGGCGGGAGAATCGCTTGAACCCAGGAGGCAAAGTTTGCAGGGAGCTGAGATCGCACCACTACACTCCAGCCTGGGCAACAGAGTGAGACTGTCTCAAAAGATAAAAGAAAAAAAGACTTTTCTGTCTTTCCTTCCTTCTTTCTTTCTCACCTTCTTTTCTCCTTCCTTCCTTTCTTTTTCTCTTTCTCTCTCTTTTTTTTTTTTTTTTTGGTTTTGCATGTAGATACTCTATTGTTCCAGTCTTATTTGTCAAAAAGACTATTTTTTCTCTATCGACTTACCTTTGCACCCCTGTCTAAAATCAATTGACCATCCGTGTAAGGGACTGTTCCTGGATTCTCTATTCTCTTCAGTTCCTCTCTCTGTCTATCTTTTCACCAGTGCTACAGTGTCTTGATTTCTGTAGCCTTATGGGAAGCAGTGCAAGCAGAGAGCACGTGCCCTCCAATTTTGTTCTTCTTTTTCAAACTTGGCTATTCTAGATCATTTACCTTTCCATATATAGTACATTTTAAGATCGGCCTGTCAGTTAGTACAAAAAAAGAAAAAAACTGCCTGCATCAGATTCTTTCTTGAAGAGACACCCAGCCAGTCACCCCCATGATGGCCACACTGGGCTCCATAAGCTAAATAGGTTTCATACCTGTGGCACTTCTCAGAGGCTCTGCCGTGCATTGAGATTCCTTGAGAAAGAGAGACAGGGTGCTGTGTTTCTTAAACCTACTTCCCCAAGGAACCGTCTTCCTCTGTTTCATGGGACTACGCTGGATGCTGCTATTCTGAAACTGCATCCTAACCATTAAGGGGCCATAAAATCAGTTCTAGAACAAATCAAATATCATAGAATAGAACACCCCAGCACATCACTCTTTGTAAGAACTAGTACTGAGTATTTTGTTCTAACTATGTGTGTGCAGGTGGACATGTGTATATACTAGCATGTAATGCAAAATATCTTTCTTACTGTGGATCACATCAGAAGAGCTTGCAGAAACAGCTTTACAAAAACACTTTGGGACGTGCTGCCTCCTGATCTGACTGCCTCCGTGTGTCCTGGCCTTGACACGCTGTTGCCAGTCCCCATGCCAGCTTGGCCTCTCCATATCAGCCTCAGCCCTGCAGCCTGAGCCATCTTTCTAAGCTGCAAATCTGCTCCCACACTCTCTCAGAAGCTTTACTGCTTCCCTTATCACTGCAGAATGATTGCCCAACTTCTGAGACTAGCATTTAAGGCTCTGTGCCACCTGGCCCTACCTACTAACTAGTTCTGTCTACCTTCCACTGCTTTCCTCCTGTATCCCACACTCTGACAAGACTTCTGCGTCTGCAAGTGCACTTCATGCTTTCTGACCTCTGAGGTTTTCCCCGAGGTTTTTGTCTTCCTCTTAGCGGGCCCTTGGCTGCCATCACTGTCTGGCGCAGCTGTGCACATTCTTCAATTCGAGCTTGGCCACCTCCTCTGAGCAGCCCTCTTAGATGATCCCACTCATATTACATTTTCTCATCTCTGCTCTCATCATGGCCATCGCCTGCTTACCTTCAGCCTTTGGAAACGCCAAGACAATCCGCAACGACAACTCAAGCCGCTTTGGGAAGTACATTGACATCTATTTTAACCCCAGCGGGGTGATCGAGGGCGCACGCATCGAGCAGTTTCTCCTGGAGAAGTCCCGGGTCTGCCGGCAGGTGAGGCCTCCACCCGCCCAGGTTGGGAGTTGAGGGAATGGGGGAGGTTTCCAAGAGGGGCCCCCTTTCAGCTCTCTCACCTCTCCTCCCCTCTTCCCCAGGGGCCCTCCCAGAACCCACAGGCCTCACTGGATAATGAGGGCTCTTCCCCACTATTCCAGGACAGCAAATGATAGAAATTTTTCCATTTTGAGCGGGGCTCAGTGGCACATGCCTGTAATCCCGGCACTTATGGTAGGCCAAGGCAGGTGGATTACTTGAGGCCAGGAGTTCAAGATCAGCCTGGCCAACGTGGCAAAACCCTGTCTCTACAAAAAAATACGAAAAAAAAAAATTAGCTAGGCAGTGGCACACACCTGTAGTCAGTCCCAGCTACTTGGGAGGCTGAGCCATGAGAAGTGCTTGAGCCTAGGAGGTGGAGGTTACAGTGAGCTGAGATTGCACCACTGCACTCCCGCCTGGGCAACAGAGCGAGACCTTGTCTCAAAAAAAAAAAAAAAAAAGAATTTTCTCCGTTTTGAATTTTCCATTCATATAAATTTCTTCTTTCTTTGGTGCCCACCAGTCCTCATCTCTACTAGAATTAATTCTGAGACTAGGCTAGTTAGGTGGGCTGTATCTTCAGGTGTGTTAGAGGCCATGGCAGAAAGACACAGATGACAGTATCCCAAATGCCACGTGGCCAGGAAGTACAGAGGCACGTGTCCTGTGTTGTCACATCAGGCCCTGTGCTCAGGGGGCCCCTTGCTTGGTTTCAGGCTCTGCTATTGCCACCTTGAAATTGTTACTAGCTTTTGAGCAAGAAAGCCCGTGGTTTCCTTTCACACTGGGTGGTCACGGAGCCAGTCCCGATGGTAGGGATCCCAACACGTGGCACCCACAACAGAAGAATTAATGCACCTGTGTGTGTGGGGGGGCGGTGCTCTCATGTGATGGCATAACCCCTAACACATGCATGTGTGCAAATGAGCACACACACACAGAGGGGGTCCAGAGGGGAGAACGCCACCAACAGAGGGGCTGTGGCTGTGTGAGAGGGACACATGCCTTGGCACTGTGGCAAGCTGAGAAAGAAGGTCACATTTAGTGACCTCCCCAACCTGGTGCTATACTTTTCCTGTTTTATCTCATTTGACCTTCACAACCATGAGAGGTAGGACTCTTTATCCCTGTTGTACAGATGAGAAAACTGAGTCCAGATAAGTTAGGTCCCTTGTCCAGGGCCACAGAGCCAGCACATGGCGGAGTCTCTCTGCCCTGTCCAGAATCTCCTACCTCTTGATAGAGTGGTTGCTGAATTCATAGAACTTGTCACCCAAAATGGGCAGGAAATTTCTAAAGCAGGTGAGAAACAAGCCCTGCCCAAGAAAAGAGGGAGATTTAAAAATTATGGCATATCTATACTACAGAGGAGGAGGCCTGTCCGTGTTGATGTGAAGGATCACCAGGAGATATGTTTAGGTGAAAAAAAAGGAAGTTGCAGAACCATAAATATGTTTTGTGTAAAAAAGAAAGAAAGAAAGAAAGAAAGAAAAGACAACTATTTATAGATACGCTATAAGTAAATGTTTTTTTAAAAATGTGTAGGTTCTGGGGCGGGGAGGAGGGGATTTAAGGAAGGGGAAGGCAGGGTGGAAAGGAGCTCTCATCTTTTTGTTTTTTGAGACAGGGTCTCACTCTGTCACCCAGGTTGGAGTGCAGGGGTGCAATCTCAGCTCACCCCCGCCTCTGTCTCCTGGGCTCATGTGATCCTCCCACCTCAGCCTTTTGAGCAGCTGAGACTAGAGGTGTTCACCACCACGTCCAGCTAATTTTCTTATTTTTTGCAGAGATGAAGTCTCACTATATTGCCCAGGCTGCTCTCAAACTCCTGAGCTCAAGTAATCCTCCCGCCTCGGCCTCCCAAAACTGCTGGGATTACAGCCCAACTGAAACTCCCATCTTTTAACACTACTGTATGTGCTTCAGATTGTTTGACTTTTATGAGAATGCATTTATAAATAGTGTTTCAAAAAATACGAAAGGCACCCTAGGCAACATGGCAAAACCCCATCCCTACAAAAAATACAAAACTTAGCTGGGCGTGGTGGTGTGTGCCTGCCTGTGATCTTAGCTACTTGGTAGGCTGAGGTGGGAGGATGGCTTGAATCCAGGACTTCGAGGCTGCAGTGAGCTGAGATTGCACCACTGCACTCTAGCTTGGGTAACAGGGCAAGACTTTCTCTCGGAAAAAATTTTAAAAATGCCGAAGGCCTAGGGAGCCCTGTGGCTGTCAGATCTCTTGTGGGCCACTAAGTACCTGTGAAGAGAGCCCTGACTCTGTGCCATCACTCCTGGCCTGGGGACTTTGGACACAGCAGTGTCAGGGCTTCGAGGAGCAGTCAAGATGCAGGGAAATGCCTGACAGAGAGGAGTTCTCAGGGCAGGGATGAGACAGCTGCGGAGGCCCAGGATAGGGACAGCAACCAAGCCAGGCTGGCCCTGGGTCAGTGCCAGAGCTGCTCCTGGCTGAGAGACTTGGAGCGGAGGCCAGGGCTGGGCTGGACAGAGGCAGTCTGAGGCCCTGAGGCCTCAGGGGAATGGCCCACGGATCTGTCTGGAACGCCCTCTCTCCCTCCCAGGCCCCTGAGGAGCGGAACTACCACATCTTCTACTGCATGCTCATGGGGATGAGTGCCGAAGACAAGCAGCTGCTGAGCCTGGGCACGCCCTCCGAGTACCACTACCTGACCATGGTGAGCTGCCCACCTGCCGCCTCCAGTAGCCAATGGAAGGGAGGAAAAAGAGCTGGTGCCGCTTCACCCTCCGTGACAGCTGCAGAGAAGCCCAATGCTGGCCAGGCCCCTGAGGCAGGGCTGGTTCCCTTTCCCTCTCCTCGCCAGCCCCTCTGTGCTGGGAATCACCTTGTCTGCGTGCCTCCCGCTTCCCATCACATGTACCCCATGCCCCAGGCTGGACCTCATCTTCCTTTGGTCCCCACTGGATGACAGGCTCCCGGTACCCAGTGGGCCACACACAGGGAGTTGCCCACACGCCTCCTGTTCCTGATTTCACTCCAATGGTCTGTCCTTGCAGGCCCCCTAAAATGCAAGCCCCGAGCCCCAGGAAAGCAAAGCCCTTTCTGTGCTCCCAGCTGCACCTGCCACCTAGGACAACGCAGCACCACAGCCATCGCTCATTAGCTTAGGTGCCCTGGCTGTCAGGGGAACTGCACCTCCTGGTTTATTGACCATGGAGTGGACCCAGAGCGTTCTGCCTCTGGGATCTCTCCCATGCAACCCTCTCCCCTGGGTCCACTGCTCCAATGCCTTCACCAGCCACCAGCCCTTGCCTGGACTTCATGGGCCCCCCTTACCAGTCTCGACCTCTAATCTGTCATCCACCCTGCAGCCAAGGCACTCTTCCTGTAGGAAGGTTTGCCCTGTAGTGTCATGCTTTGGATGGCACTGCTGCAGTGACCCCTGTGACCTGTAGGGTAGAAGTCCAAACTCCTCGGTGTGGTTTCCAAGTCCCTCCAGGATCTGCCCCTCTGCCGACCTCTCCCTTCTCAACACCCACCCCAGCCTCCCCGCAGCCCTGTCCCTACCTCCCCACCTCGTGGCCTTGCTCCCATCATCCTCTACCTAAACTGCCCTCTGTCATCAGAGACAATGGGGCCAGCTTTGCACCTCCTCCAGGAAGCCTTTCTCCACCTCTCGATAGGGCTGGCCCCAGCCCCTGTGGTCTGGGCACCTATAACAGGCAAATGGCCATGGCACGGTCACTGGCTCCCTGCCTGCCCCCCTGGATGCCCAGCACAGTGCCTGGCCCATGGCGAGCCTTGGAAAGCATTTCTTAAAGGAACAAACCCACAGTGTCCCTCAGAGAGACAAGGCAGGCTCGAGTAGGGACGAACGACAAATAGAGGATCGGAGAAGAAGTGTGAGTTGGCCAAGGTCACACCGTGGCCAGATGCTGGTGCTGGCTGCAAGGCCCGATCATGCTGTGGCTACTGTGTCATGATTCTGCCTCTGAAAAGAATTGTATGTGGTTTCTGAGCGTGGACCCTGCCCGGTCCACCCAGTGCCTGTGAAGGGCAGTGTCTCAGCCTTGCTGGCCCCAAGATGGAGGCAGTGGGGCAGGGGGTGGCCCCATTAGCTGAGGTTCCCTGTCCCGCAGGGGAACTGCACTTCCTGTGAGGGGCTCAACGACGCCAAGGACTATGCCCACATCCGCTCGGCCATGAAGATCCTCCATTTCTCTGACTCTGAGAGCTGGGACCTCAGCAAGCTGCTGGCTGCCATTCTCCACCTGGGGAATGTGGGGTTCATGGGTAATGCCGGGTCTGCCCCAACCGCACCCTTGGGAAGGGAGGGGGCAGGGGACAGGAGCAAGAAGGCATCTCTAGGGGTTCTCACAGCAAGGGTCCTGTGGTCCAACCAAGGCCTGGAAAAATACATCTAAAAAATTCAGCTGTGATTTTGCAGGCCTCGTGAGGTGAAGGGGAAAATGTCAAAGTTTAAGGTTCTCCACAGGTGGAGACTGTGGCCAATCATCCCCCACTTTTAGCTGGGATCCCAAAGGGCTTCCCCCTTAAGGTTCAGGTAAGCCAGAGTAAACAAATCCATGCATGAACTTGCAAACCAGGTTGTGAGCATGGGGTGGTCTGGGGATTACGGTGTCCTGACCTGTGAACACCCCCAAGCACCTAACGGAAGTTACTGACAGTCCTCGCTGAAAGAAAACACCAGCAAGTTAGATTACAAATGATTCCTGCAGGTAGGTTTTCAAACACAACATCCAGCATAAAGCCAGGAAGAGATAGGAACAAGGAAGTGAGATACTATGAACAAGAACCGGCAGAAATAATAAACAGTAGAAATCAATCCACAAAGATTTCAAAGTTGGAATTATTAGACACAGACTAGAGAAGTTCTGCTTACTTTGCTCAAGAAAAGAAGCAGCCAAGCTTGAAAATTTAGACAGCGAATGGGAAACTTTGAAGACATTACAGATGTATAAACGAACCACATAGAAATTCCGTTCTAAAATAAAAAAATACGATAACCAAAATGAAGAACCCAATGGATGGTTTAAAGGACTCCGTGCCTGTCTAGGAGAGGAAATGTGTGAGCTGGACGGAAAGTCAGGAGAAACTGTGAGTACGGCATGGAGAGAGCAAAGGTGGGAAATGTCAGAGAGAGGGTGGAGACTGGGAGGACGCTGTGGGCAGAGGGAGCACACCTTTCATCGGAGTCCTAAAGGAAAGGAGAGACAAAGGGGCACAGGCAATATTTGAAGAGATTAGGGCTGGTTCTAGAATTAAGGAGAGACCATTCACAAAGCAATGGGAAGGGAAAGACTTTTCCAGAATCTGTTCTGGAGCAATGGGGTGTCCGTATAGAAGACAAGAGCTTGGGCCACCATCTTACGCCGTGTGAGAACACTGGCTCCAGGCGAGCCGCAGCTGGGCTGATCTGTCGTCTATCAGCCAGACTGTACACTTCAGCCGGGGAAAGGTGGGTGCTAACCAGAGGTGGGCACCGGAGCCTGGGACAGCATCAGAAACACGACACTGAGGAAGTGAAGCAGGCACAAGAGAACGCAGACAGATCCACTAACATAACATTTGTTTGTTTGTTTGTTTGTTTTTGAGACAGGGTCTTGCTTTGTTGTCCAGGCTGGAGTGCAGTGGTGGGATCTCAGCTCACTGCAACCTCTGCCTCCCGGGTTCAAGCGATTCTCTCAACTCAGCCTCCTGAGTATCTAGGATTTACAGGGGCCCGTCACCACAGCCTGGCTAATTTTTGTATTTTTAGTAGAGATGGGGTTTCACCATATTGGTCAGGTTGGTCTTGAACTCCTGATCTCAGGTGATCCTCCTGCCTTGGCCTCCTAGAGTGTTGGGATTACAGGCGTGAGCCACCACAACTGGCCCACTAACATAACATTTAAAAGCAGGCACATTAAACGCTGCTTAGGGACTCTATGTAGGGAATAAAAAGATAAATAAAAAGCTAGGAAGTTTGAAGTTGGGAGGATGCTTACCTCCGGAGGAGAGGGACACAGTCTCAGCCTGCGAGGACCTCGGAGGGCTGTGGGTGCTGGCAGAGCCTAGACTTGGCTTTAGCGGTGGTTCCATGGTGCTGACTTTATTCTTTACAACACAGCTTTGTGTTTTATGCACTTCTTTATCTGTATATTTTATGTCACAATTTTTTTCAGTTTAAAAAAGAAATAAAGCAAAAACAAAGAGACCCAAAGGTCCCATCCCCCACCAGCCTGGCACGTCCTAAGCTGGAAATGGTTGAAGAGGAGGAACCAGAAGCTGGGAGGCCAGTCAGGAGATGGTTGCAGTAGAGCGGGGCCTGGCTTACAGCTGGAGCTCCATTAGTGCTTTGCTTCCTGTGACTGAATGAGTGATGAAATGTTCAGGTTTCTATACCCAGCAGCATGGATTGAGGGGCCTGATGGCCCATCTCTCCAGCGCCAGTGTCAGCCATGTTTCCCAAGTCAGACTTCTCCCTCCAAATAGGCCCAACTTTCTTCAAACTTCCCTTCGACCCAGGGCCCGGGTCCCCTCAAGAGGAAGTGGTCTGCCAGGTTCACCAACAGCTAAGGTGTCAATGACCCATGGTCATGGGGACCATGACCCAGGACCCTGGGAGAGGCTGTGGCTCTCACGCCGGGGCAGCTGTTCTCCTGAGTGGATCTGGGGCTACCGTGGGCCCGGGCCTGTTGGGACCTGGCTCCCATTGCTCTAGGCTGCTTTCCCACTCAGGATTCCTGATTCTCTCTCTAGCTTCAGTCTTCGAGAACCTGGATGCCTCAGACGTGATGGAGACGCCTGCCTTTCCCACTGTGATGAAGTTACTGGAGGTAGGGCTGCTGTGTCCACAGCTTCCATTTTGGTGGGTGGCCCTAGAGGTCTGGGCAGACAGACCCCTGACACCTGATTCTCATAACCCTACCCAGGCCCCCACCCCTCTCCCAAAAACCCCTCCCTTCTGTATGCTGCAGGTGCCTGAGGGCGGGCGCAGAGTGGGGCAGTGCCAAACAGAGCAGCGGAATGGCCAGTTTGGCTTTAACCAATGTTCCCTCCCTTTCCCCACATCCCCTCCTGCTTGTTGATGGCCCTGTCTCAGCGTCCTCGCCCTCCGCCCTGTCCAGTCCCTACGCTCCCCACTCGGACCCCAACCTACCCATCAGACCAGCCCTGCCCTGTGCCCTCACCCCGCAGGGCTTCTCCGGGGCTTGCGCTATTCTGGGAGAGTGGAATGTGAGTTCGGGGTCCATCCGTTTAGCCTTCCTGGTTGTTTCCCAGGGCAAATGCAGCCTCAGCTTAAAGGAAGGGCAGCAGGCCCTGAGTGAGGGGCTACCTCTGCAATGGGGACATGGCAGCACCCCATGTCACCCCCACTGATAGTTGTGGTGGAAAATTAATAGAATCAGGAGCAAGAAATAAATACATAAAGCAAATTCACATTAGGTACATTTCGCTATTAACAGTCTTCTTTTGGTTCGAGGGCACTCAGAAACTCTGGGTTTTGTCAGCTCCAGTGGAGGGCTGGCCCAGCACACTCACTTGTTCCTTTAGACTCTCAGCCTTCAGGCGGGACTGATTTCAGCAGGGACATGCCTGAGGTCTGGCCTCAGAGCCCTCCCTCACCCTGGTTTTCCAAGGCCAGCCTGGGGGAGCCAGCCCCTTTCTCAGCCCCCGGGAGACCCACTAAGGGCTTGGCCCACCAAGCTGGAGAATCCTTCCCTAACAGCTCCCAGGGCCCTGGCCCTGGCCTCGGGCACTGCCCACCCTCAGGTGGGCATAGGTGCTTGATCATGAGAGGGAATAAGACTTGGCAGAAGCGGGTCAGAGTGCTGGGCCAGGGCCTGCTCCACGGGTGCGACACAGCCCCCACCTGCCTCCCCAGGTGCAGCACCAGGAGCTCCGGGACTGTCTGACCAAGCACACCATCCTCATCCGAGGGGAGTTCGTCACCAGGCCCCTGAACATCGTCCAGGCTGCTGACCGGAGGGACGCCTTTGTCAAGGTACAGAGCTGCGACAGCAGGGCTCACATGGCCATCTGTTGACCATGGCTCTGCTCCTTGCTGTGCCGGTGGAGGGCAGGACGGAGCAGAGGGCCCTGGGCAGGTCCCCACTCTGCCAGTCACCTGCCTGGTGACCACAGACTCCTCAGCCTCTTGGGCCCGGGTTTCCTGCCTTTGAAGGAGGGATAACATCTGCAGTAGGTCCAAGACATTTGGCCTCTCCAGGTGAACTTGGAGTTGACCTCCTCCTGAGCCTGCAAGCCCAGCATTCTCCCACCCCTGTGTCTCTCCAGGGCATCTATGGGCACCTCTTCCTGTGGATTGTCAAGAAGATCAATGCCGCCATCTTCACGCCACCAGCCCAGGACCCCAAAAATGTACGGAGGGCCATCGGCCTCCTGGACATATTTGGCTTTGAAAATTTCGAGAACAATAGGTATGAAGATCTCAGATCCCAGCCCCACTGCTTCCAGAAAACAGAAGATAAGCCAGTTCCTCTTTTTTTTTTTTTTTTTTTCTTTTTTGAGACGGAGTCTCGCTCTGTTGCCCGGGCTGGAGTGCAGTGGCCGGATCTCAGCTCACTGCAAGCTCCGCCTCCCGGGTTCACGCCATTCTCCTGCCTCAGCCTCCCGAGTAGCTGGGACTACAGGCGCCCGCCACCTCGCCCGGCTAGTTTTTTGTATTTTTTTTTTAGTAGAGACGGGGTTTCACCGTGCTAGCCAGGATGGTCTCGATCTCCTGACCTCGTGATCTGCCCATCTCGGCCTCCCAAAGTGCTGGGATTACAGGCTTGAGCCACCACACCTGGCTGCCAGTTCCTCTTGAAGAGGGCAAGTTGGAGGGAGGCCATCACCCTGCACCCAGGCCTGGCAAGTCCCAACAGGTCTGCGTGCTCTGCGTGGGGTGGCTACTGTGCCCTGCCATCTAGAGAAGGCCGTACAACTAAAAGCTGTCCCTGAGAGCCAGGCTGACGCCCGGCATGTGTCACCCCTCTTGGACCACCTGCTCTCCTCATGAGCCAGAGTGGATTACCACATGAGGTCGGGGTTGAAACAGAAATCAGTAACGTGGATTCATCTGCATCTGGCTGGCTTATCGTCTTAGGTAGTGGGGGAAGCTAGATGCATTTGTGGACCATCCCTGACTTTTTAGTTTGTGGGGGAAGGCAAGGCAGGACTCCTCTGACCTGGTGTCCCAGTGTCCTGGCACCCCAGACTGGAAGCTGGAGAGCTGTAACCAGGAGGCAGGTCAGAAGATAGCTGCCAGGTGCGACTGTGATGAAGGCTGGGGGTCGGATAGACAAAGGTGGTGAGGGGACCAGGCGACAGAGCCAGGCCAGGCCAGGCCAGGTGATGCTCAGCGGTACTATCACCAGCAAGAGGAGTCCCATGAAGACTGGGATAAGCAGGCTGGCAACACTGGCTTTGCAATTTAGCTTACCTGAGCCAGCTCATTGAAAGGGCTTGATGGGACAGAGACCGGGCCACTGGCTCCAGGAAGCAGAGGCCTCTGCGCCCTGTGTGAGGAGCCGGGGGGCTAGCCTGACCTTGCAGGCCCCTGCCCAAGGCCTGTCTCCAAGTGAGGTCTGATCTGGGAGTGATTTAGAAGGCCCCCCTTGGACAGCCAGGATTGTCAAGACACAAGCCATTCCACATGTAAGCACGCTGGGATCTCAGCCCTCCCAGGGCCAGCCGGGGGTGCAGGGCAGGGGCCTGCTCACTGCAGTCAGGTGGGAGAGGCAGGGCTGGCAGAACTTAGCCCAGTGCCCTCTCTAAGGCACAGAGAGCTCAAGTGTGATTTGGATCACTGGCATCTGGCCCTGGGAGGGACAGGTGTTGAAGATAGCATGGGCCAGACTTTGGCAACTGACGGGAACTGGAGAGGAGGGACAGAGACGGAAACTCCTCGGTTTCTGACTTGAGCCGGGGGTGGTAGGTGGAGGGGCCATTTCCCAAGGCAGGGAATGCAGGAGGAGGTGCAGGTTGGAGGATCTGGGAACGGAGGCAGTAGGGCGTATGCCTGGTTGATGCAGGGGGGCCCGGCAGTCAATGCTGGGTCTCCGGAAGCTCATCTCCATACCAAGGCTCATGGGTGGGGCTGCTAGTGTGCACTCAGACCACAAGAATTGTTTCAGTGTCAGGTGGGCAGGCCTGGCAGAGGACCCGGCAGGCGGCTGTGAGAAGCTGAAGGCGAGGACTTGATGATATGCTGAGCCTCCTCGTTTCTCTTTTTGCCATGGGGTGGAGAAAGTGACGGTGATGGAGGCAGTCAGAGGAGAGAGGGTGTGCAGGAATGAGTGTGCATCTGTGTGTACACGAGATGTGCATCTGTGGGCATATCTGTATGGGGCTGTGTGCAGATGGCTGGTGATCCTATGGCTCCAGCCTGCTGCAGCGGGGCCTCAGCTGGCCCTGCTCCACCCCTGGGCAGTAACCTTGCCTTCACAGCTTCGAGCAACTCTGCATCAACTTCGCCAACGAGCACCTGCAGCAGTTCTTCGTGCAGCACGTGTTCACCATGGAGCAGGAGGAGTACCGCTCGGAGAACATCTCCTGGGACTATATCCACTACACCGACAATCGGCCCACCCTGGACCTGCTGGCTCTCAAGCCCATGAGCGTCATCTCCCTCCTGGACGAAGAGAGCCGCTTCCCACAGGTGTGTGTTCTGCCGACCTTCTGGTGGAGGCTCTGCTATGGGTCTCCTCTTGGAGGCCGGGAAACTCCACTCGGGTGGGCCGCATGTTCTGAGAGTCACTGAAACCTCTGCCAGGAATAAGCAAAAGAGCCCCAGCCGAGCCAGACAGACCCTCCTCTCCAAGGCCCACTTCTCTGACGGCTGGGGTCCTCAGACAGTAGTTCAGAGAGTGGAGCAGAAGAGCTGGTGGTGGAGGGTGGCAGACCCAGCACTGCTCCCAGCTCAGCCCTCACTCCCTGCAACGAATCACTGACCCCTGGGCATTAGTTTCCCGTCTATACAGAGGCCCTCAATCATTCTGAGCCCAGATTGCTTTGCCTCCATGAGGAAGCCCTGGAGCCTGACCTCCCCATGGCTGGACTCTGGGACCTCAGCCCATAGGGTGTCTGCGTTCTTCCAGGGGACAGATCTCACCATGCTGCAAAAACTGAACAGTGTCCACGCCAACAACAAGGCCTTCCTACAGCCCAAGAACATCCACGATGCAAGATTTGGCATTGCCCATTTTGCCGGCGAGGTATACTACCAGGCAGAAGGTGGGTGCAGCTCCTCTCATGCCCCTTCCAAATCTGGACCGGGTTCCAGGGAGACCGTGGAAAGCAGGCTCAGAGGATGAGGCTATTTTGCAGCTTTAGCAGTGGGGCAGAGGGATGAGCAGTACGGCTTCTACTGGAGAAAGAAAATGGAATGGACCAGGCATGTTTTGCTTTGTTTTTGGTAATAACTCTATTGAGATAGAATTCACACACCATGTTATTTACCTATTTTAAGTGTACAACTTGACTGTAGTATATCCAGAGTATACTAATGATTGCCACCATTTTAGAACTTTTTCGCCACCCCTAAAAGAAACCCCTCATGAGCAATCACTCCCATTTCCCCCCAATCCTGGGCAACAACTATTTTCTGTCTCTATGGATTTGCCTATTCTGACTTTTTGCATAAATGGAACCATACAATACGTGGTCTTTTGTGGCTGGTTTCTTTCACTTAGCATGTTTTCTTTTTTTTTTTTTTTTTATTTTTTGAGATGGAGTCTTGCTCTGTCGCCCAGGCTGGAGTGCAGTGGCGCGATCTCTGCTCACTGCAAGCTCCGCCTCCCAGGTTCACGCCATTCTCCTGCCTCAGCCTCCCAAGTAGCTGAGACTACAGGCGCCTGCCACCACGCCCAGCTAATTTTTCGTATTTTTTTAGTAGAGATGGGGTTTCACCGTGTTAGCCAGGATGATCTCGATCTCCTGACCTCGTGATCCGCCCACCTCGGCCTCCCAAAGTGCTGGGATTACAGGCGTGAGCCACGGCGCCCGGCCAGCATCATGTTTTCAACGTTCATCTATGTTGTAGCACGTGTCAGTGCTCCATGTCTTTTCATTGCAGAAAAACATTCCATTATCTGGAATGTTTGTTTATCTCGTCATCAGTGGATGGACATTTGGGTTTTTTCCACTTTTTGCCTATTATGAATAACACAGCTATGAACACCCATGTACAAGTGTTCATGCGGGCATATGTTTTCATTTCCCCTGGGTATCTACCTAGCAGCAGAATTGCTGTGTCATATAATAACTCTATGTTTAACTGTTCGAGGAACCGCCAAACTGTTTTCCAAAGCGGCTGTACCATTTTACATTCCCACTAGCATTGTATGAGGGCTCTAGTTCCTCCGCATCCTCGCCTACACATGTGATTGTCTGTCTTTTTCATTATAGCTACCCTAGTGGGTTTGAAGTCTCAATGTAATTTGCATCTGCATCCCCCGATGGCTAAGGATGTCGATCGCCGTTTCATATGCTTGTTGGCCATTTGCACGTCTTCTTTGGAGGGATGTCTATTTAAACGCTCTGCCCGTGTTTTCATTGGGTTGTCTTTTTATTGTTGAGTTGTAAGAGTTCTTTATTATTCTGGATACAAGTACCTAATATGTGGTTGGTAAATTATTTTCTCATTCTGTGGATTGTCGTTTCATCTGCTTGATGGTGTCCTGTGAGGCCCAAAAAGCTTTCATTTTGAAGAAATCCAACTTATCTATTTTCCTTTCTTTGCTTGTGTCATATCTAAGAGTCCAGGGTCAAATATAAGGTCATGAAGATTTATCTCTATGTTTTCTTCTAAGTTTTTTTAGTGTTAGTTTTTACATTAGGTCTTTGACCCATTTTAATTTTTGGGATATATTGAGAGAGGGTCAGTAATGGTTTTGATTGAAGAAGTGAAGGCCTGGGGTGGTCACCCTATGGGTGTGCTAGGAAAAACGAGGAAGGTGACCATGGGCTGCTGTGGTCAGGGGCGGCCAGAGGGTCACTCTCTGCACCTCATGTGGAGAAGTGAAGAGGTGTTCTGGTCTATTTAAACTGGAGACAGGAATCCAGGGATGATTCTTTTGAGTAGAGGGTGGTCATTTACTCAGAACAGGCTAGGCATTGGGAGGCCAGGGGAGAAAGGGAAAGGTGCCGTGGCTCCTTCATAGTTCCTGCCAGATCCTGGCTTTGGGCTCCTGGAAAACGAAGAGGCTGGAGCCAATCAGACCTGCAGGGTCCTGGGACACAAAGAAGATACCGAGTCCATCCTCCATGGGGCAATTCAAGGCTGAGTTTTATTTTTTGAAGTGATAGGAAACTTACATAATGCTAAGATTAAGGTCGATTCTTTCTAGATTTTCTGGTTGCAGAATTCTAGAAATATTAATTAAAGCTAAGCCTTCTTTTTATTTTGGATACCCTGTTGTGCTAATAACCTCGGCTTCACTTACTCTGCCTATTGGAATACTGAACCCAGGAGTGTCTCAACCCTCCCCACCCCGAAAACATCCAGGGAGCTCCCTGCTCCTGGTGGGGAACTCTGCCTGAGCCTCAGGAGTGCAGGGTGTCACTGAGTGTCTACCCCCCACCCAGCACCCAGTGCAGTCCCCCTGGTGCCGCTCCCCTCACAGACACCTGCAGGAAGAGGTGGGAAACAGGCTCCCTTCCCTCTCCCACCCTTGACTCTGCCTCTCCAGATCCACAGCAGGCTGTGCAGGTGTGCACAGGGCATACCACTAAAAGCTGGGCTGACTTAAGGGGAGCAAAGTGAAAGAGGAAAGTCAGGGTCGTGCCCTTGGGAGTTGGTCCTTAGAGACCAAGCAGTGCAGCCCCTGGCCTCATGGAGCCTGGCTTTGAGGAGCAGCTCATCTTCTCAGTGTGGTTCTGTCCCTACTGCAGGACTAAGCCATTCTTAATTATGGCTGAAGGGGAGATGTGGGATCTTCTCACCCCCTGGAGCCATGCCTGTGTTAGTCACTAGGGCAAGAGTAACAAACACCACAGACTGAGTGGCTTAAACAACAGCAATTACTGTCTCGGAGTTCTAGAGGCTGGAAGTCCCAGATCAAGGTGTTGGCAGGTTTAATCCCCTTATGAGGCATCTCTCCTTTGTATGCAGATGGCCATCTTCTCCCTGTGTCCTCATATGGCATTCCTTCCCTGTTTGTGTCTGTGTCCTCATCTCCCCTTCTTTTCTTTCTTTTTTTTTTTTTTTTTTTGAGATGGAGTCTCACTGTGTCACCCAAGCTGGAGTGCAATAGTGTGATCTCAGCTCACTGCAACCTCTGCCTCCCAGGTTCAAGTGATTCTCCTGCCCCAGGCTCCTGAGTAGCTGAGATTATAGGCATGCACCACCATGCCTGGCTCATTTTTGTATTTTTAATAGAGACAGTGTTTCACCATGTTGGTCAGGCTGGTCTCAAACTCCTGACCTCATGATCCACCTGCCTCAGCCTCCTAAAGTGCTGGGATTACACGTGTGAGCCACCGTGCCCAGCCTCATCTCCCTTCTTATAATGACACTAGTCATACCGGATTAGGGTCCATCCCAATGACCTCATTTTACTTTAATCCCCTCTTTAAAGGCCCTATGTCCACACACAGTCATGTTCTCATGTATAGCGTGTTAGGACACCAACATATGAATTTTAGGGGACACAATTTAGCCCATGACACTGCCTTTCTCCTATTATTGGAGGCTTCATCTATTTTCAGCTTGAAGGAGCCTTAGCCCTAGCAGGATCTGCCCAGAGACAGGAGGACGGTGGCAGCTTAGAGGAGGGGGCTGGAGTGGGAATGGGAATTTGGGGGGTCCAGGGTTTACATGGGAGGAGTTACTTTGTGCTGGGTAGATGGTGGGGGCCATGCCTGGCTAGACAGGTGGAGAGCATGGCCTTAGTGGGGCCTTTGTAGGAAGGGATTCCTCTAGGCATCCTGTATTTCCCCCCTCCACTGCCCTTTTCTTCCCCACGGGTGGGCAGTGATGGCTGAGCTGGGATGCTGGGTGGGCCCTGTGTCCCCATAGGCTTCCTGGAGAAAAACCGAGATGTGCTGAGCACAGATATCCTCACCGTGGTTTACTCCTCCAAAAACAAGTTTCTGAGGGAGCTATTCAACCTGGAGTCAGCAGAGACCAGGCTGGGCCACGGGACCATCCGCCAGGCAAAGGCAGGAAACCATCTTTTCAAGGTGGGCTCCCAGGCACCCTCCTGGGTCTCTCACCCCTGATGGCTACAAGGCCAGACAGACATGTACAGGAAAGACTGTTTTAATCACCTCTGGGTCCCCAGCATGCACTAGGCACTTGGGAAACCTGCAACGGATGGATGGATGGATGGATGGATGGATGGATGCGTGGGTGGATAGGTAAATGGATGGGTGAATGGGTGGATGGGTGGGGGGAGAGATGGGTGAGTGGGTGGATGGGTAGTGAGTGGGTGGATGGATGGGTGAGTGGGTGGATGGGTGGTGGGAGGGTGGATGGATGGGTGGGTGGATGATGGGTGGGTGAGTGGGTGGGTGGATGGATGGGTGGGTGAGTGGATGAGTGAATGGGTGTGTGGATGGTGGAGTGGATGGATGGATGGATGAGTGGATGGATGGATGAGTGGATGGATGGATGGGGGGTGGCTGTGTGGATGGGTGAGTGGATGGATGGATGGGTGAATGGATGGTTGGATGGGTGGGTGGATGGATGGATGGATGGATGGGTGGAAGGATAGTTGGATGGGCAGGTGGCTGTGTGGGTGGATGGATGGGTGAATGGATGGGTGGATGGGTGAGTGGGTGGATGGATAGATGGGTGGGTGAGTGGATGAGTGAATGGGTGTGTGGATGGTGGAGTGGATGGATGGATGGATGAGTGGATGGATGGATGAGTGGATGGATGGATGGGGGGTGGCTGTGTGGATGGGTGAGTGGATGGATGGATGGGTGAATGGATGGTTGGATGGGTGGGTGGATGGATGGATGGATGGATGGGTGGAAGGATAGTTGGATGGGCAGGTGGCTGTGTGGGTGGATGGATGGGTGAATGGATGGGTGGATGGGTGAGTGGGTGGATGGATAGACGGATGGGCAGGTGGCTGTGTGGGTGGGTGGGTGGATGGATAGATGGATGGGTGTATGGCTGTGTGGATGGGTGAGTGGATGGATGGATGGGTGGGTGGATGGGTAAATGGATGGATGCATGGGTGGGTGGGTGGATGGATGGGTGAGTGGGTGGATGGACAGATGGATGGGCAGGTGGCTGTGTGGGTGGGTGAGTGGATGGATGGATGGACGGGTGGGTGGATGGATAGATGGATGGGTGGGTGGCTGTGTGGATGGGTGAGTGGATGGGTGAATGGATGGATGCATGGGTGGGTGGGTGGATGGATGGGTGAGTGGGGGGATGGGTGCTGGATAGGTGGGTGGATGGGTGGTGGTCAGGTGGATGGATGGGTGAGTTGATGGGTATGTGACTGGATGGGTGAATGAGTGGGTGGATGGATAGATGGGTGGGTGGGGGTGGGTGGGTGGATGGATGGGTGAGTGGGGGGATGGGTGCTGGATAGGTGGGTGGATGGGTGGTGGTCACTGGGATGCTGGGTGGGCCCTGTGTCCCCATAGGCTTCCTGGAGAAAAACCGAGATGTGCTGAGCACAGATATCCTCACCGTGGTTTACTCCTCCTGGATGGGTGAGTGGGGGGATGGGTGCTGGATAGGTGGGTGGATGGGTGGTGGTCAGGTGGATGGATGGGTGAGTTGATGGGTATGTGACTGGATGGGTGAATGAGTGGGTGGATGGATAGATGGGTGGGTGGGTGGGTGGGTGGGTTCTTGACCAGGTGGATGCACCACCCCACCTGCAGGGCCTTGGCAGCAGCCCTTGCTGGACTATGGGGTCAGCTGTCCCAGGACATGGCTCCTGAGACCCACCTGTGCTTTGTGCTTCCATTCACAGTCTGCAGATTCAAATAAACGGCCCTCCACCTTAGCAGGCCAGTTCAAACAGTCTCTGGACCAGCTGATGAAAATTCTGACCAACTGCCAGCCTTACTTCATCCGCTGCATCAAACCTAATGAATATAAGAAGCCGCTGGTAATGACAGGAGGCTGGGGCACAGTAAAGCAGGGAGGAGGAGGAGGCTGATGGCCTCTAGGGTTGTGTTCACTCCCTCTGCCAGGGCCTGGCTAGTGTTAGAGCTGTTACTGCCCCTACCTTACAGATAAGTACACTGGGGTAAGGCGACCAGTCTAGGTCATGTGAAGGTCAGTGACCTGCAGGGCTTTGGTTGCTGAGAGACCTCCATGCATCTTCTGTGTGTTCTTGGCCTGGCTCTTTGCTGCTGTGAGCCTCAGTTTTCCCTTTTGTAAAGTCAGACTTGCTCCTGCCTGCAGGAAGGCCCTGAGGGTTGGACATGAGGTTTGCAGCACATGTCCCATGTGTAAACCACACTCAACAAAGGCAGCAATCAGTAATAGGACTTCAGAGGCTGACACCACTCCTTTCGCCAAGCCCTGCAGAAAGTCATCTTTACCTGATGTGAGATGGTGAGGGGGTGACAGCCTACTCCCCGCCCATAAGGAAGTCCCTGCTTCACTGGCTGGGGAGTTTCACCCAGAGGCTGCATATGCAGGGATTCCCCAAACTAGGAGACATCAACTGAAACAATATAAAATGGTTTTATCCCCATAAGGGAATAAAAATATTACATGAAATTAAATGCTTTTTTGGAAAGAATAAAACTATGTGAAATTAAGTTTGATCTGGGTGCAGTAGCTCACGCTTGTAATCCCAGCACTTTGTGAGATTGAGGCGGGAGGATTGCTTGAGGCCAGCCTGGGCAACATAGCAAGACCTTATCTCTGCAAAAAAATTTAAAAGTATAAAATTAGCTAGGTATGGTGGTATGTGCCTATAGTCTCAGTTACTCAGGAGGCTGAGGGAGGAGGATCACTTGAGCCCAGGAGGTTGAGGCTGCAGTGAGCTATGATCACACCACTACACTTCAGCCTGGGTGACAAAGCAAGACCCTGTCTCTAAAAAAATTAAATGGGGCTTGCCTTATGAAATCTAGGTTGCATCTTCCTTGAAGGCACAATAGGCAGATGTGAGATAACCTGTCTTGTTCCTTAACTGCTGGGAGAAGTAGCTGGGCTCCCAGAGACCCCTGGCTCATTCCCACCCTGCCTACCTTGGGAGCTGGGAGCTGCAGGACAGGCAGGCAGGCCTGAGGCTGAAGCTCGGGGGTTAAGAGTGCCTCTGGCTGGGACATCTCTCATTGGTGGCAGCTGCCCTGCTGTGTGGTATGTAGGGGAAGCCCAGATAGGCTCAGGGTTCAAACCCAGGTTCAGCCCCTTAGAAGCCTGACCCTTTGCCTCAGGCACCTCATCTTTAAATTGGAGCCAATCACCCACACCAGGTAGGGCTGTTGATTCAGCGAGAAACGCCAGGCCCTTAGGAAATTGTCAGTGAAGCGCAGCTGAACACTTACCCGAGGCTAAGCGCAGTGTGGCCTGGACCCCACCAGCAGTTGGCGCTGTGGCCCTGCAGGTAGGGTAACAGTGCCCGCTGGTGGGCTTGCGGGATCAGAGGCGTTCCCCAGGGTCCCCCAGAGACTCCTGGCTTGTAGGTGGAGGGGGCTCTCTAGAATCCAAGCCATGGCAGAGTCTTGGAACCTCTGCTGAAGCCTGACACCCCAGGGAAGGACATCATGCCATTTCTCTGCCAGTCACACTCGCCTCCAAGCAAAAGACGGCTCAGCTCCCTGGGGCCAAGGGCCCTCCACTGTCCCGCACACCCCTCCCGGCCCCCACTCCAGGTCTCACTCTGGCCTCCATCTCCTGGGAGGGAGAGACTAAGTTGATGAGGATATTTTCTGCCTCTGAGTAGATTTATTTTTTCATTTAACTATTGTGGGGGAGGCACCATGAAACTCTTAAGTGCCTACGGGGCAGGTTTCCACCCTGACCTATGTAGGCAAGGGGCGCTTAAAAACATTTTTAACTGGGCCAGGTGCGGTGGCTCAGGCCTGTAATCCCAACACTCTGGGACGCCAAGGCGGGCGGACCATTTAAGCTCAGGAGTTGGTGACCAGCCTGGCCAACATGGTGAAACTCCGTCTTTAACTAACAATACAAAACTTATCCCGGGGTGGTGCCACACGCCTGTAATCCCAGCTACTCGGGAGGCTGAGGCAGGAGAATCGCCTGCACCCAGGAGGCAGAGGTTGCAGTGAGCCGAGATCGTGCCACTGCACTCTACCCTGGGCGACAGAACGAGACTCCATCTCAAAAAAGTAAATAAATAAATAAAACTTAAAAGAGCATTTTAACTGGCCATGTGCAGGGGACGTTTACACTCACAGCTTCAGGTAGTTGAGAGTGATGGGAGTATCGTGTTTCTGTGGGTGCCACAGTTTCCAATGTTATGGACTTTTATCTCCTTGACAACTCTACGGGGTTTTCAACTACTTGCACTACTCGCTTCAAAAGGTAGCCTTACTGAAGTCGCATTTGTGTAGTTTTTCCATCTCTGGAGGACAGTGGGGGCGGGCGGGGCGAGGGGCTGGACACACTGACCTCTGGCTGTGGACCCGTGCCCGATGGTGGGGTGCCGGGAAGGGGGGTGCCTGCAAAGGAGGGGGGTTGCACCGGGTCAGCGCCCCGCGTCCGCCCACAGCTGTTCGACCGGGAGCTGTGTCTGCGGCAGCTGCGATACTCGGGCATGATGGAGACCGTGCGCATCCGCAAGTCCGGCTTCCCCATCCGCTACACGTTCGAGGAGTTCTCGCAGAGGTTCGGGGCGCTGCTGCCCAGCGCCGTGCGGATGCAGGTCAGCGCCCCTCGGGGACGGCCACCTCTGTCCATCCCGGGCCTTCCCCTCGGCCTCCCGCTGCCCTCCCCGGCCCCAGCCTTGCCATGAGCCCTGTCCTTCCTCCCTCTCGCCTCCTCCCGCCCTGCCCTGGCCCCTCTCCCAGCGCCGCGGAGGTGAGGGGCTTTCCCTGGGGTCCGGGAGAGCTGGCGGCCGCTGCGGTTCCTTCTGGACTATGTCTGTAGTTGTACAGCAGACACGTTCTCTCCTACCGCGTCGGAGAGCCGAGGTGGGGCTAGAAAGCTACTGGGGCCCGAGGTTCTTCCTGTCCGGTCTGGAACTCTCAGCCATCCTGAGGCTGGGCCTGGCTGGGGCCGAGCGTCCCACAACACATGCAGGCCCCAGGGCCCGAGTTCGCTCCTCACCCCAACCCCTGCTCGAGGTTCCCGTTGTGCCTGTGCCTGGGCTGGGGCGCGGGCAGCCCCTGATGGGGGAGCCTGTGGGAGGAGGAGGGAGACTCCACCCCCAGAGAGCCGCCGAGGGGTCTCTGCCCTCTATCCCACCTACACCCCCGTTTGGTCTTGGCAGCTGCGAGGCAAGTTCCGCCAGATGACCCTGGGCATCGCTGACATGTGGCTGCGGACAGACAAAGACTGGAAAGTGGGGAAGACCAAAATTTTCCTGAAGGTGAGACCCCCAGGAACCAGCCGGCCTTCGGCCTCCTGCAGCTCGTGGGCTTGTCGGCTCTTGCACCAGGCCCGGGGTCCATGGTCCATGTGCCCTGAGCCAATGGCACTGGGCAGCAGCTCAAAGCGCGGTCCCCACCCTCAGGGCACCCCTGGATGTAGAACGTCACGCTAGGGGACAATGAGGTAGTGGTGAGGGGACTGGGGAGGGCCAGCCCAGCCTGTGGAAGCCCCAGAGGCTTCTCAGAGGGGCACCTAGGGCAAGGCCTGAGGGTGCAGAGGAGGCGCCTTCCAGCCACGGGGCAGCACCCAGGAGCTCAGGGCGGTCCGCCGGTGTCCTGAGACCTGCCTCCATCATGCCGGGAACCACATCCTGCCATGCAGGCTTCCCCACACTGGGGCGGCCCAGCCTCTGCGGAGCCTGGAGGGCTACTGCTTTAGTGGAAGAGGGCTGTGTGTCAGCTCCCCACAAAGTGACTTGTCCTTAGGAGGCTTGTGCGAGCATCACCGCCACCACCTGCCTCCCCCAAAACGCACAGGGAGCTGAAGTCACACAAAGGAAGCTTCGGGGCCCTCCAGAAGTGCCACTTGGGTCACAACCACTGAGGAGGGAACCTCCCTGTCCCCTAGCCTTCTAAGCCTCGGCGGGCCAGCACAGTGAGAGGGAAGAGGAAGAGCTGGGAGCAGAGTTGGGAGGACGCTTTGCCAGCTCGCCCGAGCCCCCACCCACCCCTGCTGCCCCTTTCTCTTCCCCGATAGTGCCTGCCCACCTGCCCGCATGTGTCCTCAGAGGGCCCTCCTGGCCCCAGCCCTCTAATCGGTCTGTCTGTCCATTTGACTGTGCAATAGTCAGGCTGTGCTGGGGCTCAGAGGCTAAGATGTGCAGGAAGAAACCGAGTGGCTTCCAATTTAGTGGGGGAGGCAAGGCCAGCAGAGGGACCATCTCAGGGCACTGTGGGTTTGTCATAAATGGCTCTTATTATTTTGAGGTGTGTTCCTTCAATACCTAGTTTATTGAGAGTTTTTTTTTTTTTAACATAAAGCGATGTTGAATTTTATCGAAGGCCTTTTCTGCATCTATTGAGATAATCATGTGGTTTTTGTCTTTAGATTTATGTGGTGAATTATGTTTATTGATTTACGTATGTTGAACCAGCCTTGCATCGTGGGGATGAAACCAACTTGATCGTGGTGGATAAGCTTTTTGATGTGCTGCTGGATTCAGTTTGCCAGTATTTTATTGAGAATTTTTGCATCGATGTTCATCAGGAATATTGCCCTGAAGTTTTCTTCTTTTGTTGTATCTCTGCCAGGTTTTGGTATCAGGATGATGCTGGCCTCATAGAATGAGTCAGGGAGGAGTCCTTCCTTTTCAATTGTTTGGAATAGTTTCAAAAAAAAAAAAAAAAAAAAAGGTATCAGCTGTTCTTTGTAATTCTGATAGAATTCAGCTGTAAATCCATCTGGTCCTGGGCTTTTTTTGGTTGGTAGGCTGTTTATTATTGCCTTAATTTCAGAACTTGTTACTGATCTATTTAGGGATTCAACTTCTTCCTTGTTCAGTCTTGGGAGGGTGTATGTGTCTAGGAATTTATCCATTTCTTCTAGATTTTCTAGTTTATTTGCATAGAGGTTTTTATACTATTCTCTGGTGGTTTGTATTTCCATGGGCTCAGTAGTGATATCCCCTTTATCATTTTTTATTGTGTCTATTGGATTCTTCTCTCTTTTCTTCCTTTTTAGTCTAGGTAGTGGTCTATTTTATTAATTTTTTCAAAAAACCAGCTCCTGGACTCATTGATTTTTTGAAGAGTTTTTCGTATCTCTATCTCCTTCAGTTCTGCTCTAATCTTGGTTTTTTCTTGTTTTCTGCTAGTTTTGAAATTTGTTTGCTCTTCGTTCTCTAGTTATTTTAGTTGTGATGTCAGGGTGTCGATTTCAGATCTTTCCAGCTTTCCGAGGTGGGCATTTAGTGCTATAACTTTCCCTCTTAACACTGCTTTAGCTGTGTCCCAGAGATTCTGGTATGTTGTCTCTTTGTTCTAATTGGTTTCAAAGAACTTCTTGATTTCTGCCTTGATTTCATTACTTACCCAGGAGTCATTCAGGAGCAGGTTGTTCAATTTCTATGTAGTTGTGTGGTTTTGAGTGAGTTTCTTAATCCTGAGTTCTAATTTGATTGCACTGTGGTCTGAGAGACTGTTTGTTGTGATTTCAGTTCTTTTGCATTTGCTGAGGGTGTTTTACTTCTGATTATGTGATCAGATTACTCACTTTTAGAGTAAGTGCCATGTGGCACCGAGAAGAATGTATACTCTGTTGTTTTGGGGTGGAGAGTTCTGTAGATATCTATCAGGTCCACTTGATCCAGAGCTGAGTTCAAGTCCTAAATATCTTTGTTAATTTTCTGTCTTGATGATCTGTCTAATATTAACAGTGGGGTGTTAAAATCTCCCATTATTAGGCCGGGCGCGGTGGCTCAAGCCTGTAATCCCAGCACTTTGGGAGGCCGAGACGGGCGGATCACGAGGTCAGGAGATCGAGACCATCCTGGCTAACACGGTGAAACCCCGTCTCTAATAAAAAAATACAAAAAATTAGCCGGGCGCGGTGGTGGGCGCCTGTAGTCCCAGCTACTCGGGAGGCTGAGGCAGGAGAATGGCGTGAACCCGGGAGGCGGAGCTTGCAGTGAGCTGAGATCCGGCGACTGCACTCCAGCCTGGGTGACAGAGCAAGACTCCGTCTCAAAAAAATATAAAAAATAAATAAAATCTCCCACTATTATTGAGGGAAACATTTTTATATTGAAACAAGCATGGGGCTTTTACACAGTTGAATGCAAATGTCACATGAATTTTGGGAAATAAAACACAGCTTCAGGAAAATTTTGTGCCCCCTCTTGAATTCTTCAGAGCAGAAATGAAGGATGCCAGATTGAATTAGCAAGAAGAAAGAGCTAATGTGGGAAGTTCTTGGATTGGGGTGGGAGGTACAGTTGCAGCTCCTGTCTCTGAGCAACCTTAAGGTCACTTTGAAGGCCTCCTTCTTTGGCCTGCCCTCCTGGGAGAAGCCTGAGAGATGCTACCTTCGGGAGACGGAGCCCAGGCCCCAGGCAGGGGCTGTGGGGTGAGGGTGAGCAGCCTGGTGACGGCGTCTCTCCCATTCCAGGATCATCAGGACACTCTGCTGGAGGTACAGAGAAGCCAGGTGCTGGACAGAGCGGCGCTCAGCATCCAGAGAGTCCTGCGGGGCTACAGATACAGGTGCCAGCCCTGCCCCAAGGCCCATCCAGCCCACTCCTGCCCACAGTGTCCCCACACAGACCTGCAGCCCACAAACCAGGATCACATGTTCCTGCTGGGCCCTCCCTGGGGTTACTGAGATCTTCCAGTGCCTTCCAACCAGGGACACTGCAACCTGTGTTGGCCAGAGAATTCTGATACATTACTGGAATGTTTGGAAAAAACAAAAAACACTCCATATGCAAGAGACAGAAGCCGAATGAAGGGCCAGCCCTGCTCTCAACCAGGGTTTGACGTTCCACTTCAATTATGTCAGTGTATGGGTTTGGGTTGTGAGGCAATTTGCTTTTGGAGGGAAAAGAACCCTTGGCTTGCCTGCGTTCCCTGCTCAGTAAGAGGGTACCGCCCGAGTTGTAATCCAGGATCAGCGGATCAGCAGCGCTGCTGCCTTGCCCCACCCTCACCTGGGTTCCTGAGCCACCATAGCAAGGGCTGGAAACCCAGGCATGAGAACGTGGGAGAAGACAGCCAGCCCCGGGAACAGAGAAGGAGGGGGCACAGAGCAGGGCAGGGAGCAGGGAGCTAGGGACCACAGCTAGAGAGGCAGCTCTGCTCCTGCGAAGCCGGAGGCCAGCTCAGGGCCAGCCGCTGGTGCTGCTGATCTCAGGACAACAGGCCGCATCTGACCAAACAGGCCCACGTAGTCGGAGGCCAGGCAGGCTGGCCCCCCTGACTCCCAGCATTTTAAATGAAGCTTTTTGTTTTGAGATTATTGTAGATTTACATGCAGTCGTAAGAAACAGTATGAGATATCGCCGTATACTCTTCACCCATTTCCCCCGGTGAAAACGTCTTACCACCATGCCCCCCTCCCTCACACCGATCCCCAGCCCTGCTTAACCCTGGCAACCTCTAACCTGTTCTGCATTTCTAGAATGTTGCCATTGCACAAATGTTATATACACGGAATTATACAACATGCAGCCTGGGGTGGGCTTTTTTCACTTGGCGTGTTTCTCTGGAGATTCATCCAGGTTATTGCTTGCATTAATATTTATTTATTTATTTATTTATTTATTTGAGACAAAGTCTCACTCAGTCAACCAGGCTGGAGTACAGTAGCACAATCTTGGCTCACTGCAACCTCTGCTTTCTGGGCTCAAGCTATCCTCCGGCCTCAGCCTCCAAAGTAGCTGGGACTACAGGCACCTGCCACCATGCCCGGCTAATTATTGTGTATTTTGTAGAGACGGGTTTTCGCTATGTTACCCAGACTGGTCTCAAACTCCTGGCCTCAAGTGCTCCGCCCGCCTCAGTCTCTCAAGGTGCTGGGATTACAGGTGTGAGCCACTGCGCCCAGCCAATATTTTGTTACTTTTTATTGCTGAGTAGTGTTCTATGGGATGGATACCCCACAGTTTGTTTAACCATTCACCTGTAGAAGGACATCTGGGCTGTTTCCAGTTTTTGGCTTCGATGAATAAAGCTGTTATGAGCGTTTATGAGATTTTTGTGAGAACATCAGTTGCTGTTTCTCTGGGATGTATGCCCGGGAGTGCAGTTACTGGGTCATACGGTGGTTACAAGTTTTGTTTTTTAAGAAACTGCCAAACTGTTTTCAAGAGTGGCTGTACCGTTTTACATTCCCACCAGCAGTGCCTGGCTGACTCAGTGCCCCTGCATCCTCACCAGTATTTGATGTTGTCATTACATTTGATGTTTATTTTAGCCCTTCTGATAGGTCTGCAATGATCTCTCATTGTGGCTGTCCTTAACATTCCCCAATGTGGAACACCTTTGTGTGTGCTTGTCATGTATGTGTCCCCTCTTTGATGACCTGTCTCTGCATGTTGCTTGCCTGTTTTCTAACTGGAGTCTTTGTTGAGTTTTGAGAGTTCTTTATATATTCTAGATACTAGTCCTCTGTCAGCTATGTGGTTTGTGACTATTTTCTCCCAGTCTGTAGGTTGTCTCTTCATCCTCTTAAGAGAGCTTTGCAGAGCGAAAGTTTTTAATTTTGGTAAAGTCTAATTGTCAAAGTTGTCTTTCATGGATCTTGCTTTTAGTATTGAGTCTAAGAACTCTTTGTCAAGGTTTTCTTTTGTATTTTTCTAAAAGTTTTGATAGTTTTGAATATGTTACATGTAGGTCCATGATACATGCCCATTTTGAATTAATTTTTGTATATAGCCTGACACTTAGGTCAAGGTTCTTTTAAATTTTTTTCCTATGGTTGTCTCCCCAGTATTATTCATTTTAAAAAGTCTATCCTTCCTTCAGTGAATTGCTTTTACATCTTTATCAAAACCTACTGGTGTGGGTCTATTTCTAGGTTCTGTATCCCATTCCATTGGTCGATGACTCTATCCCTCCACAATGCCACAGCATCTTGTTTATCGTAGTTATATAATAAGTCTTAAAGCTGTGTAGACTAATTCTTCCCACTTTTCTTCTTCAAAAGTGTTTTAGTTATTCTAGTTCCTTTGCATTTCCATGTACATATAAAAATAATCTTGTCTATATCTACAAACAAAACCTTGCTGGGATTGTTGATAGTAATAGGCTTGTATAGCAATTTGAAAATCAATATCTCTACTAAATCCATCTTCCAATCCATAAACATGATATGTAGCTCCATTTATTTAGATATTATTTGATTTCACGTGTCCGTGTTTTGTAGTTTTTAGCATACAAACCCTGTACATGTTTTATTAGATTTACATGTTTTTTTAGTAATTGTAAATGGTACTGTATTTTTAATTTTGACATTGGCATATTCATTGCTAGCAAATAGAAATATGTTGGATTTTTGTGTGTTGACTTCATATCCTGCAGCCTTGCTGAGCTCACTTTTTATAAAATTCCTTAGAATTTTCGATGTAGATCATCTTGTCATCTGCAAATAGGGGCAGTTTTCTATCTTTTTTTTTTTTCCCCAATCCATATGTCTTTTATTTCCTTTTCTTGCCTATTGCAGTGGCCAGAACATCCAGTATTATTCGGGTGGTGAGAACAGATATATTTGCTTAGTCCTTTATCTTAGGGGGAAAACACTCAGACTTTAACCATTAAAGATAATGTTAAGGCTGAGGCGGGCAGATCACGAGGTCAGGAGATTGAGACCATCTGGCTAGCACTGTGAAACCCCATCTCTACTAAAAAAAAGAAAAAATTAGCCAGGCGTGGTGGTGGGCACCTGTGGTCCCAGCTACTCGGGAGGCTGAGGCAGGAGAATGGCGTGAACCCAGCAAGCAGAGCTTGCGGTGAGCCGAGATTGCACCACTGCACTCCAGCCTGGGCGACGGAGCAAGACTCTGTCTCAAAAAAAAATGTATATATATATATGTCAGTGTGTGTGTGTGTGTTTATAATGTTAGCTGTAGGTTTTTCGTTGATGCCCTTTCTCAAGTCAAGGAAGCTTCCCATATTCCTAGTTTTCTGGGTGTTTTTATCACGAACAAGTGTTGAATGTCAATTTTTTTTCTGCGTCAGTTGATAATGATATGTGATTTTTCTCATTTAGCCTTTTAATGTGGTGAGTTACATTTCCTGATTTTTAAATATTGAACCAGCTTCGCATCCCTGGAGGAAACTCCACTCGGTCCTAGTGTATAATTCTTTTTGACGTTGCTGAATGCTGTTTGTTAATGTTTCATTAAGGATTTTTGCATCTATATTCATGAGGTCTGAGGATTTTTTTTCTTTTGTCTGGTTTTGGTATCAGAGTAACACTAGCTTCATAAAATGAATTAGGAAGTGTTTCCTCTTCTGTTTTCTGGAAGAAATTATGTAGAATTGATGTGATTTTTCTTTAAATGTTTGGCAGAAATCTCCAGTGAAAATATCTTGGCCTGGGAATTTTTTTATAGGGAGTTTTTAATTATGAATTCAATTTATTTAATAGTTATAGGAATGATTCAAATTATTTTATATTGAGTGAGTTGTGGTAATTTGTGCTTTCTGAGGAACTAGTCCATGTTATCTAAGTTGTCAAATGTGTGTATGTCAATTTGTTCATAGTATTCCGTTATTATCCTCTTGATATCTGCAGACTCTGTAATGATATCCCCTGTGTCATTCCTGATATTTGCAATTTATGTCTTCCCCCTTTTTTCTTTGTCAGTTTTGCTAAAGATTTGTCAATTTTCTTGTCCTGGCCGGGCACGGTGGCTCACACCTGTAATCCCAGCACTTTGGAGGCCGAGGCAGGCAGATCACCTGAGGTCAGGAGATTGAGACAGCCTGGCCAACATGGCGAAACCCCGTCTCTACTAAAAATACAAAAATTAGCTGGGTGTGGTGGCAGGTGCCTGTAATCTCAGCTACTCGGGAGGCTGAGGCAGGAGAATTGCTTAAACCTGGGAGGTGAAGGTAGTGGTGAGCCGAGATCATGCCATTGCACTTCAGCCTGGGCAACAAGAGTAAGATTTTGTCTCAAAAAAAAAAAAAAAAAATTCTTGTCCTTTTCAAAGAATCAGGCTTTAGTTTCATTACTTCTCTAATTATTTTTAATTTCCTTAATTTCTGCTCTTTTATTATTTTCATCCTTCCAACTTTGAGTGTATTTTACCCTTCTTCCTCTAGATTCTTGAGGCAGGAGATTAGATTATTAATTCAAGGCTTTTCCTCTTTTCTAATGTAGAGTGATATAAATCTCTGTCTTAGCACTGCTTTAGCTGTGTTTCACAAATGTTCACGTTATACTTTCATTTAGTTCATTCAATTTCATTGACTTTCATTCAGAAAAAAATTAAATTTTCCTTGAAATTTCCTCTGCGAAAATGTAGAAGTATATTGTTTAGTTTTCAGTGTTTAGAGATTTTCCTGTTATCATTTTGTCTTTGACGTCTAGTTTGATTTCACTGTGGTAAGAGACACACTCTGTATGAATTAAGTTCTATTAAGTATGTTGAAGTTTCCTTTGTGGCCCAAGATATGTCCTCTCCTGGTATATATTCTAAGGGCACTTGGAAAGAACATATATTTTGCTGTTAATTCGATAGTGTGCTCTGAAAAATGTCAATTAGGTCTTGTTGGTTGATAGTGGTGTTGAAGTCTATATTATTGCTGATTTTCCGTCTATGTGTTTTATCAATTGTTGAGAGAGTCTCTAATTATGATTGTGGACTTGCGTTTTCCATTTCAGTTTTATCATTTTTGCTTCACATATTTTGTAGCTCTGTTGTTTGGTGAATACACAATTAGGATTGCTATGTCTTGGTGGATGTGCTTTTTATTATGTGATATTCTTCTCTGTCTCTGGTTATCTCCTTTGCTCTGAAGTCTACTTTATCTGGTATTAATATAGCCACTCCTGTTTTGATTACTATTTACATGATCTATATTTTTCATCCTTTTACTTTCAGCCTACCTATATAACTATGTGTTAAGTGAGTTTCCCATAGACAGTATGTAATTGGGTCATGGTTTTCGATCCATTCTGCCAATTTCTGCCAATGTATGTCACTGGCATACATTAAATTCTCTCAACATCGTCAACAGATTCTTGGAAACTATGACTTCCCAAGAATATACAGCAGGTGTTCGAATATCATTGTTCCCTTCAATGTGGTTTCATTATAATGTTGATGAGAAAACAGTTGGTTCCATCACATATCGTCTCACTCAAAGCCTGTTTCCAAGAAGGTATCAACAACATTGAGGACCTACTGTATTTAGGCCTTTTACATTTAAGGTGATTATTCATGTTAGAGCTCAAGTCTGCCATTTTATTTTTTGTTTTCTATTTTTTTCCTCTCTCCTTTGCGTTTGTATGTTTTCTTTTTCCTGCCTTTCTATGACTTATTTAAAAATTTTTAAGTATTTCATTTTGATTTATCTGCAATGTGTTAGAGTATATGTCTTTTTTATAGCTTTCTAAAGCAGTTGCATTAGGTATCATACACATTATACACATACAGACAGAAAGACAGTATCTACTGGTGTCATCATTTTACCACTTCCAGTGAAGTATAGAAACTTTACCCCCTTTTATGTCCATTTACCTTCTCTCATGTGTAATACAATTTTCTTAAATATTTTCTCTACGTACATGTAGAGTGACATAAAAAGTGTTGGCCAAGCACAGTGGCTCATACCTGTAATCCCAGTATTTTGGGAGGCCAAGGCAGGAGGATCACTTGAGGCCAGCAGTTCAAAACCAGCCTGGTCAATGTAGTGAGAACTCGTCTCTACAAAAGAAAAATACAAAAATATCTGGGCATGGTGGTGCATGCCTGTAGTCAGCTATTTTGGAAGGCTGAGGTGGAAGGATCCTTGAGGCCAGGAGTTCAAAGTTTTGGTGAGCTCTGATGGCGCCACTGCACTCCAGCCCAGATTACAGAGTGAGACCCTGTCTCCAAAAAAGAAAACATAGAAAGGAAACAAGAACACCACCACTTTCTTTGCTCATCTGTAAGAAGAAACTCCTGGCTGGGCAAGATGATTCACAACTGTAATCCCAGCACTGGGAGAGGCGGACGCAGGTGGATCACTTGAGCCCAGGAGTTCAAGACCAGCCTGAGCAACATGGTGAAACCTCATCTCTACTAAAAATACAAAAAATTAGCCAGGCATGGTGATGTGCGCCTGTAGTTCCAGCTACTCAGGAGGTTGAGGTGGGAGGATTACTTGAGCCTGGGAGGTGAAGGTTACAGTGAGCCGAGATTGCACCACTGTACTCCAGCCTAGGCGACAGAGTGAGACCTTGTCTCAAAAAAAAAAAGCAACTCCTCATCCATTCAGGTTTTGTCATGAGATTGCAGCAAATCAGCCACATCTTCAGGCTCCACTTCTAATTCTAATTCTCTTGCTATTCCCACTACATATGCTGTTTCTTCCTCCACTGAGGTCTTAACCCCTCAGAGTCATTCATGAGGATTGGAATCAACTTCTAAATTCCTGTTAATGTTGATAGTTTGACCTGCTCTCCTGAATCATGAATGTTCTTAGTGGCATCTAGAATGGTGAAAGCTTTCCAGAAGATTTTCAATTGACTTTGCCCAGATCTATTAGAAGAATTACTATCTGTGGCAGCTATAGCATTATGGCATTTATTTGTTACATAAGACTTGACAGTCTGAATTACCCTTTGATCCATGGACTGCAGAATGGATGCTTTGTTCACAGGTATGAAAACATTAATCTCTTTGTACGTCTTCATCAGAGTTGTTGGGTGGCCGGGTGAATTGTCAATGAGTGGTAATATTTTGAAAGATCTTTTTTTCTCAGCCGTAGGTCTCAATGGTGGCCTTAAAATATTCAGCAAACCATGCTATAAATAGATGTGCTGTCACCCAGGCTTTGTTGTTTCATTTCTAGATTACAGGCAGAGTAGCTTTAACATGATCGTTAAGGGCCCTAGGATTTTCAGAGTGGTCAATTAGCATTGGCTTCAGCAATTAGCAAAGTGATCAGCTTCATAAGCCGCTAATAGGAGAGTCAGCCTGTCCTTTGAAGATTTGAAGTCAGGCACTGACCTCTCTATACCTCTCTGTTACCTATAAAAGTCCTAGTGGCATCTTCTTCCAATATAAAGCTGTTTTGTCTACATTGAAAATCTGTTGGCCCGGCGCAGTGGCTCACGCCTGTAATCCCAGCACTTTGGGAAGCCAAGGCCGGTGGATTGCAAGGTCGGGAGTTCAAGACCAGTCTGGCCAATATGCTGAAACCCCGTCTCTACTAAAAATACAAAAAAATTAGCCGGGCATGGTAGTGGGGGCCTGTTGTCCCAGCTACTTGGGAGGCTGAGGCAGGAGAATTACTTGAACCCGGGAAGCAGAGGTTGCAGTGAGCTGAGATCGTGCCACTGCACTCCAGCCTGGGGGACAGATTGAGACTCCATCAAAAAAAAAAAAATCTGTTGTTTGGATAATTTGCTGCAGCTTCTCCATCAGCACTTGCTGCTTCACCTTGCATTTGTATGTTATGGAGGTGGCTTCTTAAACCTCATGACCCAAACTTTGCTAGCTTCATACTTTCCTTCTGCAGCTTCCTCACCTCTCTCAGTCTTCACAGAATTGAAGATAGTTAGGATCTTGCTCTGGATTGGGCTTTGGCTTAAGGAAATGTTGTGGCTGGTTTGATCTTGTATCCAGCGCATGAAAACTGTCTCCATGTCAGCAAGAAGGCTGTTTCACTTTCTCATCATTCGTGTGTTCACTGGAGGAGCACCTTCAGTTTCCTTCAGGAACTTTTCCTTTGTATTCACAACACGGCTGTTTCGTGCAAGAGACCTAGCTTTTGGCCTGCCTGTCTCAGCTTTGGACGGGCCTTCCTCACAAAGCTTAATCATTTCTCACTTTTGATTTAAAGTGAGAGACATGAGATGCTTCCTTTCACATGAACACTTAGAGGCCACAATAGGGTTATTAACTGGCCTAATTTTAATATCGCTGTGTCTCAGGGAACAGGGAAACAGAGAAAAGACAGAGAGAGATGGGGGCACTACTGGTTGGTGAAGCAGTCAGAACACACACATTTATTAAGTTTCCCATCTTATATGGGTGCAGTTTGTGGTGCCCCAAAATAATTCCAATTGTAACATTAAAGATCACAGATCATTATAGCAGATGTAATAATAATGAAAAATGTGAAATATTGCAAGAATTACCAAAACGCCATGCAGACATGAAGTGACCACATGCTATTGAAAAAATGATACCAATAGACTCAACACACGGCTACCACAGACCTTCAGTTTCTAAAAACACAGTATCTGCAAAGTGCAATCAAGCAAAGTAACATCATAATAAACTGAGGCATGCCTGCAGCTCTGTATGCACTGAGCTTGCCTGGGAGTGACTCCGCCTTGCCAAAGCCCAGCTTTCAGGTTTTCTTCTCCGTGTCCAGCCCTGGGCTAGTGGCCAGGGGAGGGGCGTCTGCAATAAAAATGCGGAAGTAAGTTTTATCCCTTTGTAGCTTTTTGGGGGTAGAGAGAATGAGGAAGAATTTTCTGATCCCTTAAAAAAACTGGACTGTCGGCAGGACACAGTGGCTCACTCCTGTAATCCAGCACTTTGGGAGGTCGAGGTGGGTGGATCACTTAAGGTCAGGAGTTTGAGACCAACCTGGTCAACATGGTGAAACCCCGTCTCTACTAAAAATACAAAAATTAGCCAGGCATGGTGGCAGACACCTGTAATCCCCGTTACTTGGGAGGTTGAGGCAGGAGAATTGCTTGAACCCGAGAGGCAGAGGTTGCAGTGAGCTGAGATAGTGCCATTGCACTCCAGTCTGAGCAACAAGAGTGAAACTCTGTCTTAAAAACAAACAAACAAAAAACTGGACTGTCATCTTCCACAAATTTGGGTTGCTGATAGTAGATTTTTTGTTCGTAACTTGCCTGTGCATCTTTTGGTCTGTAACACCTTTTGAGAAAGGATTGTACGTACTCATTTTCCCCAATATTTTACTATCCTTTTTCCCTTCCAAAGCAGCAAACCAGTTTTTCTGCCCCAGAGGCTTTCAACCATCTGGGGTTGTTACATGTGTGTGGCTTGTGTTGCCCTTCTAGGAAGGAGTTCCTGAGGCAGAGGCGGGCAGCCGTGACCCTGCAGGCCTGGTGGAGAGGCTACTGCAACAGGAGGAATTTCAAGCTGGTGAGAGAACTCGCTGGGGCGGCTGGGCCCGCGGGTAACTGTCCAGTAAGAGACAGATGTGTAAAGTTTGTTCCTCTGAATGAGAGACCTCAGGCAGGAAGGATCAAATCACTCATAGACGTGGCATGCAAATTTAAAATGATCGGACCTCAGCATCCCATACAGTCTCTTCTTAGCGTAATCTCCGGCCCCATGGTCTGTAGGCTTCAAAATATTTTGCAGAACATGGGATATCTTCAGAGCTAGACTAGGTGTCCTGCTGTGGAATTGAATAACTCCTGTCTTTTCCCAACTTGCAGGCAACAAAATGAGCAAATGGATTGATTTGTTTCAAGTACTTTTTCCTAATTTTTCTCTTAATCACGGGCATTTGCTAATGAGTATCTGCTCAAAGCAATGAACTAGAGTAACTATGGCTGTGCCCGTGTCCCTTGGCCGCTTTTGTCATGGATGTGACTGGTGGTGACGTGAAATGGTCACATCAGCAAGACTGGCCCAGCCCGCCTGCGTTCCATGCCCACCAAGGGCACGATAGTAGCTGGCCTGTGTGGAGCAGTTCCTTGGGGCCTATTGCTTCGCATACATCATTTTATTTAATATTAAACCAACTCTGTACGTCAAGGAGCTGAGACATAGAGGAGCTGAGTGGTTTTACCGAGAGCGTGAGACTAGTGAACCGCAGAGCTAGGGTTTAGATGAGGGGACTGTGATTTCCAAACTCTTAAACCAACCCGTTGGGCGGGTCTTCAGGAAGCTCAGGGACTGCTGTGGCCCGAGGGATGTTTGCTGCGCTGACATGGTGTTCATCCGTTTCTTACTGCACTTTTACTTTAAAGATGCCCTGAGGGATTTGCGTGGCCACAGGCCTCCGCACAGGCACGCTACCCTGTGGACAAGTCAGCTGCATTTGGCTGGCAGATGTGGACAGCAGGGCCTCAGGAATCCACTCTCCCATTTCACCCACGTGAAATCCACACCAGTTCTCTCCATCCACGGCCCCAAGGAGGCCACTTTATTATTTATGCTATTTCACACATGCTTATTTAGCACTTATTTGCACGTCAGGCTCTGGTCTAAGTACTTTACAAGCAATAACTCACTTACTATTCTTGTGTTCATAGGTGTGTACCATTCTAGCACCAGCCCTTTGCCAAAACAAAACTAACTGTAAATCTATCTTGCACTATCTCCTGAGGAGCACCCCTCTCTGTTCCCTGGGGAAGGCCTTCTCGCCCCTGAGCCCACCTCCCTCTTCTCGCCCCTGAGCCCGCCTCCCTCTTCTCCCGCTGAGCCCGCCTCCCTCTTCTCCCCGCTGAGCCCGCCTCCCTCTTCTCCCCTCTGAGCCCGCCTCCCTCTTCTCCCCGCTGAGCCCGCCTCCCTCTTCTCGCCCCTGAGCCCGCCTCCCTCTTTTGCCTCCACAGATCCTCGTGGGCTTTGAGCGCCTGCAGGCTATTGCCCGGAGCCAGCAGCTGGCGAGGCAGTACCAGGCCATGCGGCAGAGGACGGTCCAGCTGCAGGCCCTGTGCAGGGGATACCTGGTGCGCCAGCAAGTCCAGGCCAAGAGGAGGGCAGTGGTGGTCATTCAGGCCCATGCCAGGGGCATGGCTGCCCGACGCAACTTCCAGCAAAGGAAGGCCAATGTAGGTGGTCACCTGGCCTCTTGGGCAGGTGGGGCTGACTGGGGCCCCGGTGGGTGAGGGCAAGAAGAAGGAGCAAGCAGCTGTGTAGACAGCTCACCAGAAGCGCTTTGGAAAATCCCCGGCACAAGCCAAGATGTTAAAATCTGTTCAATTAAGAGCACAGCGAGGATACAGTACACAAGAGGCAAGTTAGCAGGCACCTGGGCTGAGATGTAGATATCACGAGAGACACGCCCCCCTCTTCCTGTTCACAGTCAATTCTACGTGGCTCTGCAATGGCTGGGGAGCCGTGGCCACCACCCAGGAGCACGCAGGGTATAGCACGGGAGAGGCAGCAGGTCAACAGGATAGTCTTAGCCTTGAACCTGGAAGATGAGCTCAGGTCCCCTCCCTTTCACCTTGGAGATGAGTTTTGGGACAGGGATTGTCAGTCCCCTGGAAGGTGCAACAAACCTGAGCCAGACAAGGTGAGAAAGGCCCAGTTCCATGGAAGAGAGCAAAGTGCCCTGGCTACTGGGCTGCGTATGACAGCTCAGGGGACAGAAATATTAATACCAAGGGGAGCTGCTGAGTGTCTGGGAGGCTTGGAGGACAGGGAGCAGGGGGACAGCACCAAGAAAATAACCCCATTTTCTCCATCGAGTACTCGAGACTCAACCTTCATACTTGGCTCTTTGTAAGTTGTGATAAGGTAAAGGGGCCAGGATGACATTGACTTTTGCTCCATGGATGAAAACCTGGTCTACGGAGCACACTGCTAATACAGTGAACAGGGCAGGTGAGAGGATGCACCCACAGACATGTCAGCAGCGTGCTTCTGCACCCGCGTGCCCCCAGCTGGCTGCAAAGCCGTCTGATCTGTGACTTCATTACTCCAGCCCCTGGGGACCTGTCCTGGTGGACCCTTGATGCCTTTGAATGAAGGGACCAAGTGGTCCTGAGCAGTGGTTGTGCAGCTGGGTTCCTAGGGGGTCCCTGGAGTTTGAAGGGGTGCCTTAAGGACCATCTGAGGGTAGGGACAAGCCAGCAACCTCCCCTCTCCGGAGCTCTGACTGTCACTGGGAAAGGGAAAGCTCTGACTGGTTGATCTCCAACCACCCTGGCTGTTAAAATCTGTTGTTTCAGAGCAGAATACTGATCTGGACAAATGATGGCAGGATGAGGCTTACTTGGCTTCTGGGAGGTGCTTGCCCTGTGGGGTAGGCAGGGCTGGACCCCCTGAGCCCTGCTTGGTAAACTTCGCCCACAGGGTATGCAGGCGCCGCTGGTCATCCCGGCCGAGGGGCAGAAGAGCCAAGGCGCTCTCCCTGCCAAGAAGCGCAAATCCATCTACGACACCGTCACTGACACGGAGATGGTGGAGAAGGTGTTTGGCTTCCTCCCTGCCATGATTGGGGGCCAGGAGGGCCAGGCCCCGCCGCGCTTTGAGGTAACACAAGCCTGGTGTCCACAATCCGCCCCAGGAAACCTGCCCTGTCGGTGAACTCAGCCCACCTCTCGGTTCCCTGAGAAGCCAGAGTGGTGGCCAAGTGTGTGGTGCAGGCCTGCTGGTCCTGCACGGACAAGGGGAGCGTGCGTGGGTTCTGTGGTCAAAGTCTTTGAGTCAGGCAGGCTTCCCACCTGCAAGACTTCCTACAGCCTTCTCTACCAATGCTACTGGGCTCTCCGTCACACGGCATTCCCCGTGTATATCTGACCGCACCCGGGCACCCCCAGAGCCCCTTTGAGGCCGCTGCTCTGCAGTGTGGCTGGGGAAGCTGCGGTGAGGATGGTGCATGCAGTAGAGGACAGTGTCCGAGCATGGGGCCAGGAGGGGAGAGGGCAGGAGGAGCCCTGCCCCTGCCCAGCAGGGTGTGGAGAGAGCCCTGTGCTGGCACACAGCAGCCCACCTGAGCCCACTGAATGTGGGGATGGGTGGTCTCCAGCACCTGAGGGAGCAGGGTAACGCCACAGCCCCCGTGCTGCCCGGCCTGCTGGACAGCCAGCTGCTAGGTTGGTTGGTATCTGAAAGCCCTGCTGACCCGTGTTCTCCCTCACTGGCCCCAGGATCTGGAATCAAAGACCCAGAAGCTGCCTGAGGTTGACCTGGACACAGTCCCCATGGTGGAGGAGCCTGAGGAGGATGTGGATGGCCTGGCCGAGTACACCTTCCCCAAGTTCGCCGTGACTTACTTCCAGAAATCAGCCAGCCACACGCACATCCGGCGGCCCCTCCGATACCCGCTGCTTTACCACGAAGATGATGCTGACTGCTTGGTACCAGGGTTCACTGGCTTCTAGTGGCTCAGGCCAGCCCCGGGCCTGAGGTCTGAGCTATGGCTCAGGGGAAGAAGGAAGGGGCTGGAGTCACCGATGGGTTCCCACTGGGCCTTCTGTCTTGTTTCCCCAGGCCGCCCTGGCCGTGTGGAACGTCATCCTGAGGTTCATGGGCGACCTCCCAGAGCCAGTGCTGTATGCCAGGAGCAACCAGCAGGGCAGCTCCGTGATGCGGCAGATCCATGACACGCTGGGCAGGGGGCACGGTGCCCAGGCTCTACAGCACAGATTTGCACAGGCAAGTGGGGGGCAGCAGCGGGCAGAGGAGGGCGACACCTGCCAGGTGCCTACCGGGGCCCAGTCCTTGGGGCAGCTGGACAGGACGGAGAGACAAGACCTGGAGCCCTCTCCTCAGCCTCACCCACTAAACCCAGCCCCCAGGTCATGGCGCGGGTGCTTTCAGTCTTGAGTCATGCTCAGGAGCTCCTGAACCCCCACCCCGGGCTGTTTGAATCATACAGTCATTAACGGAGAGGGTGCCCTGGACTCTGAGTATTGGGTGTGATTTGAGCCAGATTTCAGATGTACAGAACAATAATAATAACAGGTGTTATTGACTGACAGCCTGCTATGTGCCAGCTGCGTCTCTTAATTCAATTCCCAGGTGGGCCAACCCTACAAGGTAGGGATGACTATGTTTATTTATAGCTGAAGAAACGAAGAGCTGAAATGACCTGCCCCCAGTTGCAGTGGACATGTGTATGGGACCTGGGCTTTGAATCCATTCTGCTGAATTCAAAAACCGAGCTCCTGACCCATGGTCTACCCTGCCCTCTAATGAAAGTTAATTCACATCCATTTTTGATCAAAATCCTTCCTAAGGTCCATTTCCATGTTGTAATCTTAGTGGAACTAACCAAGAACTGTCCAAAGGAATCACACAGCAGTGACAGCACTCAGTGGCCCGCCAGTGGCAGGAGCCCATGACTGCTCCATGTGCCAGGTGACCAGCTGGGACTTAGCTCCATACCTGTGGGGTCCTGTGTGCAGACTAACTGCATGGGAATCTAAAGGAGCCTGCAGCCCCATCACATGGCCAACTTTGTCTGGAATTACAGAGAAGCTGCCCAGGCCCAAGCCCTGACTCCTTGATCTCTGGAGGTATGGGCTCTGCCAGAGTGTGTCAGATATCTGTAGCTGTCTAACAAATTACCCCTCCAAACCTGACTGCTTAAAATAGCACACGTTCATGATCTCACACAGTTTCTGAGGGTCAGGAGCAGCTTAGCTGCATAGTTCCAGCTCAGGGTCCCTCATGAGGTTGCTGTCAAGCCGTCCCCTGGGGATGGTGTCATCTGAAAGCTTGACAGCTGGAGAAGCTGCTCCCAAGAGGGCTCACTCACATGGCTGTTGGTGGGAGGCCTCAGTTCCTTGTCACGTGGGCCTTTCCACAAAGCTGCCTGGGCATCCTCACAACGTGGCTTTCCCCAACGTCAGCGACGCAAGAAGGAAGGTGCAAATGTCCAGTCTTGGAAGTCACATACCTGTGGCTGTGGGAGGGGCCCACACAGGGCAGGAATTTCAGGATGCAGGGATCACGGGGGCCACCTCGGAGGCTGGCAGCCACTCAGAGTAAAGACTCTGGGAGGCAGTCCAGCCAACCAGCACCTCTGGAGGGTGGACATGGGGGGAAGCAGGACTGGCTTCCCAGAGGTCAGATCTCAGGTTTTCTGTCCTGCACCTATTTGTTAAGTACCCATGATGTGCCCCAGGCACAGAGCAGTGAGCCCAGCAAGCCTTGCTGCCCTCACGGACTTTGCCAGTTCATGTGTTTCATGGCCAGCCCCTGCACGGTAAACCAGCTTTGACGCACCCAGGAGCTAATGCCTGGCCCTGGACCAGGCTGACCCCCATGCAAGCTCAGTCCCACACTGAGCTCCAAGTTTGGCAGCAAATTCTTCTCATGACACCATCATGAGAAGGGGCGGCCTCTGCCTAAGGAGAGCAACAGATCGTAGTGGCTGACAGCCAGTCCCTCCCTCCCACCCGGCTTCTTAACCCTGGCTCTTCGGATCCCGGGCAGAGCATCTTGCAGTGGCAGGGCATCCTGCTTCATCTGCCATCTTTACTGAGAATGACCATGGCCTGGGGCTCTCCTAAGCACCTGAGCGCAGACCCAGTCCCACCTCCCAGAGGTTTACTGGGGAGGGGCACAAGCTTTGGGATCAGAACAGCCCTGAGCCCCTCCCTGGGGACTGGTGACCCACTGAGCAGCTTTTATCCAGTCTCTTGCCTTCCCTGAGCCTCTGATTCCACACCTGGAAGTGAGGATGGGACATGCACCTGTGTGTGTGGCAAAGCTCCACCGAGCTGAGGGACTGCATGGTGCTTTATAAATCGGGCCAAGAAATGGCTGGGTGAGAGGCACATGTGCTCCACCCCAGGGGGCTGTGGGGTCAGCATCACTGAGGTGAGCCCAGGCTCACCTTCCTGAGGGAACTGTCTCCCTCCACAGAGATCTGGCCGCAAGGACAAGGGAACCAAGGATATCTCCTCCATGAAGCTGAAGCGGTCCTCCCGGATCACGGGCCAGGTGAGCCCAGGGCACAGAACCTCTACTCCCAGCTCTGCTGCTGGCCTGCTGCAGGGTTCCACTCTATTGCTTCCCTCCCTGTGCACCAGTTTCCTACTTGGCAGATGGGGAGAATCATAGCTGTCCTGATGGCTGCCTTTGGGTTTCAAGGTGGCCAGCCAGCTGAACATTGGAGAGGAGGCATTGGAGCCCGATGGCCTTGGTGCAGACCGGCCCATGTCCAACCTGGAGAAGGTGCACTTCATTGTGGGCTACGCCATCCTGCGGCCCAGCCTCAGGTCAGTGCCCACTCCCATCCCAGCCCCATTCAGAGCATCAGATCCCCTTGCTGGCTCTCAGCCCATGGCCACAGCCTCCCCCACCACCCCATGACACCTCCCTGTCCTGCAGCCTGCAGGCTGGGTCTCAGGACAGCAGATGTCATGGCCACCGAGGGTTCTCTATGTGCTCTGCCTTTTAAAAAGCCATGAGTAAAACCCGGTTTTAGGAAAAGAGTCATCATGGACCAGCGATTCCTTTTAGAACAGGCTGTAGTGCAGGGCCCTGTAAATGAATGGCTTCCTCATTTACATTATATATTTTGTGCTTTATATACAATTTGCTTTATAGGAATGGGTTTCTATACCAATTAGAAGAAACATGTATAGTCAGCCTGCAAACACTGCAGTTCCCCGCTGTGTTGACTGAATGCGTAGAAGCAGAATTCAAAGATACAGAGGCTGATTGTTCACTGCTTTAAGGGACAGACTACTGTGTTTTAGGGGTTCACTCACTTTAGGTTAATACTTTAAATGAAATTTCGGAAACTGTTGGTTATTATTTCTTCACATATTTTTTCTACCTCATTCTATCTCCTTTCCTTCAAAATCTAATTAAGCCTCTGTAAAATTATTTTATATTGTTATTCAGGTACCTATGGGTCTGCTTATCTTTTCTTTTTTCTCTGTGTTCTTTAGATTGGATAGTTTCTATTGACTTGTCTTCAAATTTACTGATCTTTTGTCTTCCCCAGTCTGATGTCATATCAATCCAACAAATTTTTTATTTCAGATATTGTATTTTTCAGTTCTAGAATTTGTACTTGGGTCTTTTTTATATTTCTGTGCCAAGATTTCCTATTTATTCATTCAGTATGAGCATTGTTTCCTTTATATCCTTAAGCAGAGTTACAGTAGTTTTTAAATCTTTTCTGCAAATCCAATACTTGGGTCATCTCAAGGTCAGTCTCTATTAACTGTCTTTTCTATTGAGAATGGTGGTGTGTTTGTTTCCTCATATATGTGGCACTTGACTGTTTTTTCCTCATAAGTCTAGTGCTTTTGGGTTGTATCCTGGACATTGAGGATGATATGTTAGAGACTCTGGATTCTGTTATACTCTTTCAAAGAGCATTGGCTTTTTATTTTAGGAGGCAACTACCTTGGCTGGACTCAAACTCTGTCTCCACCAGGATGAGCAGAAGCTAGAATCCCTGTTTAGTTATTTTAGCCTTGGCTAGAGTACCTGGAGTCTGCTCCACCATGCATGTCAGGGGCCAACCAGAGATTTGGGAAGATTTTTATGTGCGAAGTTTAGGATTCCTCTGATTCTCTTTATTCCAAGATTTCCTTTCTCACTTTCAAGCTGCTGTGGGTACCCCAAACTCTCTCCTCTGGTTCTTCAAGCCAGTAAGACTACAGGGCTCCTACTCAAGTTTTAGCTGCCTGCATGACACTAGCTGGCCAAATCTTTTGACTTAGCTGGTTCTAATTCTCTCATGGTTAATCCTCACTGGCCACCACACCCTCCAATATGGCAGACACATAAAAGTTGTGTTTGAGTGATGTGTACTTTGGGTTCTTCAGACACCCCCTATAGGCACTCCCATACAGTGCTGGTGTCCAGCAGTGATACTGTCCAACACTGATCCCTTGAGACTTCCTACTGACTCTAGGCTGAAGTGGAACATCCCACAGCCTCTTCCCGCTGGGGTCTTCTAGAAAATGGGCTGCCTGCTTGTGCGGGATCCCATCTAGATGCCTGAAGCTCAGCTCCTTCCACGACATCTTTTGGTCAGCAGGAAGCTCATGCCTGCCCAACCATACAGTACATGTGTAGCTCCCATCTCCTGTCCTCTCTCCTCCTGGCCCATCAGGATGGGCTCAGAATTCTCCAGGAGCAAGCAGGCACTAATCTGTTTGTTCATGGAGGTCTCTAACTCCAGGGTACAAAAGTCAAGCACTGGCAAGAACTCAGTCAACAGGCTCTATTCTAGTACCCTGGGAGGTGGCAAATGGGCTTCTGGAGCTCAGCAGGCATCAGATGGGGAGTGACATGGGTCTCTTCTCTGGCAGCCCCCATCGCTCTTGGCAGTTCTCCTGGGGTCCCCCTCACCACCCTCATCACTTACAGGGAGTAGAAATGGGCCACAGATCTCTCTACCCCCATGAAGTCCCTTCCAGGATCACATGCCAAATTTCTTATCTTCCCTTATGCAGGCTGGAGGTGGCTTGGTGGCTGCACTAGTTCTGCCACCTTTTAGTCAATCCCACAAGAATGTGTATCTTTAGAATGTTGGATGTGAGCATCCATTTGTCCTTGGCTGCGGGGGCTTGGTGAAATTCCCAAAGCAGATGCCTCGTTCCACATCTGTCACACATTCCATACACACTCGCTCGTTACCCACTCTGGGTCAGGCCCTAGCCTGAGGGCTGGGGACAGAGATGAAGACTTGGGTCTGTCCTGGAGGAGCTCACCCTTTGGTTGGGGGGCACGAGAGGACCAGGAAATTCACAACACCCGTATGGGCTAAGATGGAGGTCTGTTCAGGGCTCCATAGGGGCACCAGGGAGGAGTGACCTTAGTGCCTACCTGGGCCAGGAAGGAGGAGGGCTGTTTGCCAGAGGAAAAGGGTAACAGGTCACCTGTGACAGACTGCCGTGGTTACTGAGACCGTCACGACTACAGTTACTACTGTCACTGCTTGAGACCGTTATTATGAGATGGAAAGGGGACAAACGTAGAAATGAAAACTTAAGACAAAAGAAGCTGTATTAAAGGAAGGGGCCAGGGGAAGAAGGAAAGGACTCCCTGCTCCTAGGGAACAAAGACAGCCCCCGCCCTGAGCTGCTTCCGCCCTTAGTATTTACTGGGTAGAATGAGCAGGGAGGAGGAGGTAACCATTGGTCAGCTGCTTAACTGATCACAGGTTCATGTTATTACTAACAGGCTTCAGATGTGCCCTGTAGATAATCAGAACACTTGTGCCTGGGTCATGACTGCCCTTGGCATTCCTTCTAGGCAGCAGACACAGTTTCAGTTTGCCAACATTCTGCTTTTATGAGAACAGTTTGCTGTTTGCTCATATAGCCTTCAGTGGTATACTGAGTTGATCACGGCCCTTTTCAGCCTGCAGCCTCTCTCCCTTTTTGTTTTTGAATTGAGAAAGGCAATTGCAGGCTGTGCAGCCCTTAATTGCCGGTCGGTGGTGTGTTCCGTCTTCGCATTCAGCTGGTACTGGGGGAACCAGGCCCACGGTTGGGATCCATGGGTCCCTCCAGTCTCCCATTGCATGGTCGCACACACCTGAGGGCACCCACATGGTTTGTTCATTTCCTGTGAAAACACAAGCATACCCTCGTTCCCGTTAGTGAATCTACTGAAACAGAAGCAAAGGCTTTTGTGGCTGCAGCCGGGACACGTGCCGTTGCTGAAGCATCCGCTTCACAAGCTGCAACTCAGCTTCTGCCTCTTTGGTTAATTTCCACGAGGTAAAACTCCATTGATAGCGAGAGCCAGGCTCTTTCTGATTAACGGAAGACACAGAGAAAACAAATCAAGAGTTTATCCTTCTCGTGCAATAACGCAGTTAAAAAAAAAAAAAATCCTCAAGATCTATTACCATGAGAGACCGTATCCATAAGCCCACAAAACTTACTTTCTTCAATTCACACTGCACAAGTGGATCTACTAGATGCTGTGGGTTGTGATAGATACATCTCTCTCCTAGTTGTACTTCCAAATCCCTGATCTCCTCACTTCTTACTTAGAGAAGGGTACAATTTACAGGGAACAAGCAACAGTTAAGTAAATATTCTCCCGGTTCAAAAACCCAAAGGCCTTGTGACATCACCACCAACTGAATTTCTCCTTCACAATCCCAATCAACAACTCCTGGGGTTACAATAATGCTCTGTAAGTTAATACAGCTTTTACCTCACATTAATCCCATGTATCCTGTTGGCAAAGGTCCCCAAATACCAGCGGGAATCTTAGTGAGTTAGTGTTCTCCAGTTAACGAAACACACTCTGCCTGGGAGATCCAATCCTGCGTTTCCAGGCATTCCTGGGAATCAGTGTACCTCTGGAGACCGACCCCTGAAACGGAGCTGTGGCCTGGACGGGGAATGCCCTCATTGTTTGAGGTGCCCGGGTCCAGGCGCCCTTCTTATTTCCAGGTGAGAAATGAGTGCCATTTTGATGAAATTGTGAGTAGCGTTGATGAGCCCAGTGATTTCCTTTATTGTAATGAGGGCAGTCTTGGCGTTTTTTTCTGTTGAGAGAGGAACTGTGTTATAGGATCCCTTTAGCCCAGAGGTCTGGCAGTGTTCTTTTTTGAAATGTCCAATTTTCCTACACTTAAAACATTTTCCCATTTCAGGGCTTAACCCTTTGGCTTCTTTTAGATCTGTCAGCTACAAAATTAGCCATTGCCTGAGTCAACATTTGCAGAGCAAGGAAGCTCAGTTCCCACATCTTGACAAGCTCTGAGAAAACCTCCCAAGTCCTCTGCACATCTCACAGGTGCCAGCGCACGTTTACAAGCCACGAAAGACAAAGCTAAAGTTAGCCTTTCTGTAGCCACAAAAGAAGATGGTACAAGCCAATTTTCATCCTTCCTCTCCTGTTCACCACTTTCGACAGGTGCTGTAGGTGGGGCAAAAAATTCTCTCAAACCCTGAAATAATGACAAAAAGACGGTACATACCAAACTCCAAACAAAAAAGAGAAAAGAACCAAATTCTTCCCCATGTTACCCTGATTCAAAAACTTCCCGTTCTTTGTACCTCTAGGACACTGACCAGTACCTTTTTAGAGCACTAACCTTATGCCGCCAGCAGACTTGAAGCGGGGTTCTCGTTCGCCTGGTTTTTAGTTTTTTCTGGGCTTTTTTTTTTGCTCCAGCAGACCTTCCTCGCTCAAGTCCCTGTAGGACCCTATCTGTCTTTATCTGTTCCTGTCTGTCCCTGCAAATTTCTGCTAGTCTTTGCTAGTCCTTATCTATCCCTGTCTGTCCCTATAGTCCCTGTTAGTTCCTGCAAGTCCCTGTCTTTCCCTACTTATCTCTATTTGTCTCTATTTATCTCTATTTCTGTTTACCCCTACTTATCTCTATTTGTCCCTGCAGGTCCCTTCAGGTCTGTTTGTCCCTGATTGTCCCTGTTGTGTCCCTGTCCAGACACCATTTGCCGCAGTTTGCCACTGTTACTACTTGAGACCATCATTACGAGAGTTACTACTGTCACTACTTGAGACCATAATTACGAGACGGAACGAAGGGGGATGAATGTAGAAATGAAAACTTAAGACAAGAGAAGCAGTATTAAAGGAACAGGCCAGGGGAAGAAGGGCTCCCCACCCTGAGCTGCTTCAGCTGTTAGTATTTATTGGGTAGCACGAGCAGGGAGGAGGAGGTAACAGTTGGTCAGCTGCTTAATTGATCACAGGTTCATATGATTACTAACAGGCTTCAGATGTGCCCTGTAGCTAATCACAAGAAACACCTGTACCTGGGTCGTAGCCTGCCTTCAGCAATCCTTCTGGGCGGCAGACACAGTTTGTCAGTTGCCAACATTCTGCTTTTATGAGAACAGTTTGCTGTTCACTCACAGAGCCTCCAGTGGTATACTGAGTTGATCGCCACCCTCACTCCTTCGGCCTGCGATAGTCACCCTTGAGACAGCCCATAGCGTCTGGAATTTGAGTGGTTTGCCATAGTTGGGGCATGGAGCTTCGATTCTATCCTAAGGGAAGTGGGGAAAGGTTTAAGCAAGAGAGGATCTTGATCATATTTGACTTCCAGAAAGACCTCCCTGGCAATGTGGGAGGATGGAGCCTGGGGCTGGGAGGCCAGGCAGGGCTGCTACAGAGATCCAGAGAGAGCTGATGAGGAATTGCCCAAGGAACAGGAGCCAAGAGGAGGGGACAGAGGAAACATGTAGGAGACAGATGGCAGCAGTGGTGGGTGGCCGTTGGTGGTGGGGGGCCGGTTGGGTGGGTGGGGCCCGTTGATGTGGGCCCGGTTGGGTGGGCAAGGTCCTGGATAGTGGGTGGATAAGGGGGAGCCCGTGTTGGATTTTTTGGGTGTCCGGAGATGATTTGGTGAGCCGGTTGATATGGATGGTGTGGTCAAAGTTGAAGTGGGTGGGGGCCGGTTGGATTTTGGGGGTCTGTTGGCCGTGATGTATATCGGTTACGTTGGCACTTGCGAGGGCTGGATTGCAGTGGGGTGCTATCTCCCAGCTCACTGGCAAACTCCATTCTCGTTGGTCAAGCGAGCTCCGAGCCACCACTAATAAAGTATATACAGTTATTATTGGTCCCAATTAAAAATAATAATTGGCAGGGACAACAAGATGGTCAGACCGGCTCGGTGGTGGGGCCTGAGTTGAGGTAGCGTGGCGGAGCCAGGTGGATTTTGGAGCCGGTTGGGTTGGCGAACGCGGCGGCCCACGCGGATGGGCTACATGCGCTGGACTTACAGAGCGAGCCGGTTGGGTGGTGAGGGCACGGTTGAGGTGAGGGGCCGGTTTTGGGGTGTGTGGGGGCGCGAGTGTGGGTGGCGTGGGGCCGGTTGGAAGTCTCTTTGCGAGCGGACACCGTGGATGGGTGGGGCGGGTGGTGGGGGGGCCGGTTGATGTTGGGGGCCGGTTGGTGGTTGGGCCGGTTGGGTGTGGGGGCCGGTTGAGGGGGGGCCGGTTGGTGGTGAGGCCGTTGGATTTTGGGGGGCCAGTTGGGTGGTGGGCCGGTTGGTGAAGTTTGGGGGCCGGTTGGGTGGTGGGGGCCGGTTGGGTTTTTGGGATGGCCCAGTTAGCTATTCTGTGGTGGTATTTATGTGGATTATTATTAATTGTATGGTAGGTAGAACACAGCACCGTGCCATTTGGAATGTTGGTGGCCGGTTGGATTCCTTTGGGGGCCCGGATTGGATGGTGCGAGGGCGCCCGCGGTTGGGGCTGCTGGGGGCAACTCCTGGCGAAAGTATCATCGGCTCGCCGGTTGGGTTTTGGGGCTGGTTGGATGGTGGGGGGCCGCGCCATCTCGGTGAGGCGGGCCCAGTGGATTGTGGGAGCTGGTTGGATGGTGGGGGCTAGGTGGTGGGGGCCGGTTGGATGATGGGGGCCGGTTGGGTTTTGGGGGCTGGTTGGATTGTGGGAGCTGGATGGATGGTGGGGGCGGGTTGGATTGGGGGAATGGAGGGATGAGAGGGCTCCAGGATGACCCCCAGATTTCCAGTTTGAGTGAATGGCTGATGGTGATGCCTGTAGCGTGCAGAAAGAGGAGGGATGCAGGAACTCAGAGAGTCAGCCATGCACATTGCTTCCCAACTCTGTTCGGTGATGTCGTGTCGCGGTTGACGTTGGCTTTGGTGGGAACATTTACACCACAGAAATAAGCCAATGCTATGCTTTCCTTCCTGGGGAGCTGGTTGATGAACATTTACCAGCACACCACGGAGTAGTAGGGGAAAGATGCTGGCCTCTGGAGACGTGGGATTTGAGGCGCTAATGGGCCACTTTTATAGCATGATAGAGGCTTGGGTCCATAGGGAAGGACGCAGGAGAGAACCACACACCCCTTCCAGGAGTGGAGAAGCTCCATAGACTGTGGGAGTGGGAAGGGTCAAGAGATGGGGTTGAGTGGTTCCCATGAAGTCCTCACTTTTCTCTCTGCTGTGGAGGGGAGGGGCTGCATTCAGGGAGGGAGGTGGGGCCTCAAGGCAGAGAGAGAAATGAACATCATCATTGTGAGGCTAGGTCTCACCATGAGGCTGGGGATCTCACACATCTGGGAGCAGATGGGCTGTGCAGAGGGTGCAGCTGCTGAGGACAGGGCTGTGGCTGGAGAACCCGCTCCTTCCTGAAGCCCAGCCCCACCCTAAGGGACCGAGAGCACAGGCCACGGGAGAGGAATCGAGTAGGGATGCAGAGCCTGGTGGCCCTGTCCTGAGAGAAGAGGAGGCTGGGCAGGGCCCCAGTGCTGGAGAGGTGCCCTGCCTATGGGACCCCCCCCAGAGGTGCAGAAGAGCTGTGTGCCCAGGTACCCCTGTCTCCTCTCCTTCTCCAGCCCCCAGCCTATTCTCCCAATGGTCTGTGTCTTTCAGGGATGAGATTTACTGCCAAATCTGCAAGCAGCTCTCAGAGAACTTCAAAACAAGCAGTGTGGCGCGGGGCTGGATCCTGCTCAGCCTCTGCCTCGGCTGCTTCCCACCCTCAGAGAGGTTCATGAAGGTGAGAGGGTCCGGGAGGGCGGGCAGGGGGCAGGTTACGGTGGGAGCATAGGTAACCCCTGGCCCTGGAGCCGGTCCACAAATCCCAGTCCGTGGCCCGTTTCTCCTGCTCCTGCAGGACAGATGGGCAGCCGTGCCTGTGTTTCTACAGGCCTCAGTTTCCCCATCTGGAAAAGAGGACCCTGCTCCTGGCTTCTTCCAGCCCCTATGCAGGGTCTGCAGGGTCATTTCACTTTGGCTCAGGTGCCAGGATGGCACTTCAAGACTAAAATGAGAAGGTAGATGACACGGGTCCAGGAGTGGGCCCTGCCTGGACCCTCTTTCTAGTTCTTAGGACTGAAAATGGAGGTGGGCTGGCCGAGTGTTAGTAGCCCTAAGCTTCACTGATTTGATATACCTTTAAATTCTGATTATAAAATTAAAATGTGAAAATCCAGAACATCTAAAGCCAAAAGATCCATCCCCACACACAGAGGTAACTTCCTATTAATATTTTCTTCTGGTCTTTCCTGGTGTTACAGGGTTCTTATGATCAAACAGAAAACACTTTCTCACATGTCCCCTTGGGGGACAGCAGGAGCCACGGTCACTGAGGCCATCTGTACATGGCACTCAGGCTGCTCCTGACACCAGTAAACCCTTCCAGGCTGTCCCTCCCCACCCCAAGGCAGAAGAAATAACATCTTTCTGTGACACAAAAAGAGCTTCAATGCGTTTTCTTGAACATGTCTGGGACATGGACTCTTTTGCCTTTTTTTTTTTTTTTTTGAGACAGAATCTCACTGTGTCACCCAGGTTGGAGTGCAGTGGTGCGATCTCGGCTCACTGCATCCTCTGCCTCCCGGGTTCAAGCAATTCTCCTGCCTCAGCCTCTAGAGTAGCTGGGACTACAGGTGCACATCACCGCACCAGGCTAATTTTTGTATTTTTAGTAGAGACAGGGTTTCACCACGTTGGCCAGGCTGGCCTCAAACTCCTGACCTCAGGTGATCCTCCCCCCTTGGCCTCCCAAAGTGCTGGGATTATAGGCGTGAGCCACTGTGCCTGGCCCTGCACTTTTCATTTACTGTCTTCATTATGTTTTCTCATGGTATCTGCCTCCCAGACGCCAGCTTGAGGCCTCTCTGTTCCAGAAGGCACTGGAGTTGTGAGTGGGCACTTAGAGTTCATCTTCCAGTCATTCGTCTCCATAGATGCCACCATGATCAAAAACCACACATCCACCTTTAGGATAGGCCTGCATTGTTGCAACAAAGAGTGTGCACACGTCAAGACTATGCGCCATTTGAAACGTGTTGCCGCTGTTCCTCAGAAACACACTGATCCATGTGCCTTCTCACAGGTGTGAGGGTGCCCCTCACTGTGCCTTACACATTGAGTGTTAGAATTAAGTCCACCTGGGCAGTGAGTAGAAACTGGCGTCCTTTCTGAGTGTCTTCCTTGCTTCTCCCCTCCTCATCTACCAGTATCTACTGAACTTCATCGGCCAAGGGCCGGCGACCTATGGCCCCTTCTGTGCCGAGCGCCTGAGACGCACCTATGCCAATGGGGTGCGTGCAGAGCCCCCCACCTGGCTGGAACTGCAGGTAGGGGCCGGCAGGGGTGGGAGCTGGCAGGGTGGGGTGGTGCAGGCCCCCAGGGACCCCCCACATAGCTCATGGGGTGCCTTCTTCTAGGACAGAACTTTGTCCTCCGAGCCCCGCCATCTCCTCTGCGGTACCTCCCATGCTAGTGGTCCCTGTGAGTGCCCCTGGGGCTCAGCCTCCCCAGGCGTGGCCCCCATCTCCGAATCCATATTCCTTTAGGGCCCCACTAGCTAAGGGGAAGATCACCGGACCCATTCATTAGCATTACAGTGCACCAGCCGCTTCCAGCTCTCCCCTCCAAGGGCATTTCACTTGGTGACAAGGGCCGTGGTCACACCATGGTTGGCATCCTTAGTGGCACTGCTGTTGGGCACATGTGCCACCTCAACCTGCTTTGGCAACTGTGTCATCTGTGAGTTCTCGCTGTTTTCTCAGGAAGGGTCATTCAGAACAGCCAGCCAGGGTGGCGAGGGCACCCCTGTACCCGGCTCTACACAAAGCTCTGGCCCCAGCCTAACCCTGGCAGGTGCTTGCCCTGTGGCCTGAGGTGTCCTAGACCAGGAGCTGCGGGTCACTTCCGCTGCACCTTCTTTCTGTTTTCACCCTGCCCCCGAGCCCACAGGGGCTCCCTCCCATGAGCCCTGGAATTGTAGGTGAACTTGCAGTAGCTGTGCATGTTGACACAAGGGACAATACATAAAGGCCCCAAAATGTTCCCGCGTCTTGGACTCGGATTCCCAAGAGCTGCGGGTCTTCTGTGAGGTGAAGTCACTCAACCATACCAAACTCAGGATTCTCATAAAAGCAGCCACTATGGCCCGAGGCTGCCCCCGCTGGAGGTCCAGGAGGACCTGGACGCCTGTGACTAACATTGCTCTTGCCTGGTGGCTGTGCTCCCAGCAGCAAACACCTGTTGGCCTGAATTTTGTTTTCTATGCCAAGCCCATGGCCTGGGGCTTCAGAGGGCCCACCCCCGGGAACCCACGGGATGGCAAGCAGGACCCATGGACTGGGGAGAGGAGGGAGGTGTGGTGGATGGGGGGCCGGCCTCTTGTCCATAGGTTCCGAGAGGCCGGGGAACTGAATCTCATCTGTCCCCAGGCTGTCAAGTCCAAGAAGCACATCCCCATCCAAGTCATCTTGGCCACTGGAGAGAGCCTGACCGTCTCTGTGGACTCAGCCTCCACATCTCGGGAAGTGTGCATGCACATCGCTCACAAGCAGGGCCTCAGCGACCACCTGGGCTTCTCCCTCCAGGTCGCCGTGTACGACAAGGTACTGGCCAGGCACCCTGCCCATCACCCGCCTCCCTCATACACCCAGGGAGGGCACCCCGAGGCTCAACCCCTTTCACCTATCCAGCCCGGCCACCGCCTACCCTCCCAGCCGCCAGGCACAGGCAGGTGCACACATACACACACAGCAAGCAGCCTGTCCTCCCACACTCACATGGTCACCTCACAGCTGCACCTCAGCCCCAGCAGTGCCGCGTGCACACCTGGTCCCCACGCAGCTGCCACGCACAGACATCAGGCACTCACACCAGTCTCCTGCTCCAAATTCCCTCATGCCCAGGAGCTGTGGACACCCTTGCAGCAAACATGGAGGGTCACACCAGCACAGACCCTCACTGCCCACACAGGCATCCCCAATTCCACACCCTCAGACTCACACACACACCAGTCTGCCAACCAAGGCACCCAAGGCCGAGTCATATCGGCCAGACTTATGTCTGCCTTCTTAGGGAAGGGACTGCAGGGAGAGTAATGGGGAGGGGCAGACAGGCCATTGCTGTGTGGAGAAGCCCTTCAGTTGTCTACATGGGCTCAGCAGTGTCCACTCAGCCCGTGCTGGGCTCCAAGGGCCCCAGGCCCTGTCCTCCACCTGCACATGCTGACAGTGGGCATCCCCGTGGGGTGGGCATCCCCGTGGGGTGGGACATGCAACAGCTGCTAACCCCCGCTCCCCGACTCTGGCCTCAGTTCTGGTCCCTGGGCAGCGGGCGTGACCACGTCATGGATGCCATCACCCAGTGTGAGCAGCTGGCCCAGGAGAGGGGTGAGAGCCAGCGCCAGTCACCCTGGCGCATCTACTTCCGGAAGGAATTCTTCGCCCCCTGGCACGACTCCCGGGAGGACCCCGTTAGCACTGAGCTCATTTACCGCCAAGTCCTGCACGGAGTCTGGTCTGGCGAATACAGCTTCGAGAAGGTGAGGGGCTGAGAGCCAGGACCGCCCTGGGCTTTGCCATCAGGAAACACCCCACAGAGGAGGCACCCAACTGGCTTCTGAGGCCAGGTGGAAGGCGGAGGGGCAGGAGGCCAAGGGCAGAGGAACGGGGGCCAGGAAAGGGGGTCACAAGGGTGCAGGTCCCTTCCAGGCCCAGCCTGTGTTTCCTCCTCCCTTAGGCCACAGGTTTGTCTAAGCCTCCGGGGTCCGTGGTTCCAGCAGCAGGTCCCAGAGGACCCAGGCCTGCCTGGCCTCACCGCTCCTGCTCTGCTTATGGGGCAGTGAGACCTGGTGGTCGAGAACGTGGCCTTGGAGCCCTAATGCCTGAGGCCCAGCTCCCCCTCTTCTTGGCATTGTGAGCTTGGAGAGTCCTGTCACTGCTGAGCCTCGGGCCCTCATCTGACGGGGGGCTCGGGAGGGGCCGTCACCTGGCCCGTGCAGAGAGTACCGGGAGCTCGGTTGTAGAGTGATTGTGAGAAAGCAGAGTGATTGTGCCCCTGAAGTTCTGGGGGCAGCAGACAACCTCCTTGTGCCGAGTCAGGAAGATGCTGTTCGGGGACCCATGGGAGGCGGCCACAGCAGTGCAGGAAGCCCACGTGGAAGAGGCGTGGGCAGGGAGTGACGGGACACCAGGCTCCACGAGGCTTTGGGCTTCCAGCGGGAAGGGGCTTCTCGGGTCCCGTCCAGCTGAGCCCCGGCAGAAACTCCACGGGGGTGGCCGCTGGTCTCTCTTGACAAGCGAGGACTGGAGCTCCGATGGGGAAGGACCTTGCCCCTCAGAGCAACCCTGCCGGGGTTCATCCCAGAACTGAACAGCAGCCGCTGTCCTCAGGCAGAGGGTCCGTGGGGCTCGGGCCGAGGCCTCTGGGATTCCCGGCCTGCGTGGTGACCCAGTCAGGGCACGCAGGGAGGGGGAAGGTCCTGCCTGAGCTGCAGGTTAGCTCCCCTGTGCTGGGGCAGGAGCTCTGCCACGGGTCAGGGGCATCCTGGGGAAGGGTGAGCCCTTCCTCCTCTCACTCGTCCCCGGGGGGGCCCTGGGCTGTGCAGGAGGAAGAGCTGGTGGAGCTGCTGGCCCGGCACTGCTACGTACAGCTCGGCGCCTCAGCGGAGAGCAAGGCTGTCCAGGAGCTGCTGCCCAGCTGCATCCCCCACAGGCTATACAGGACCAAGCCCCCAGACAGGTGGACGAGCCTCGTCACTGCCGCCTGCGCCAAGGTCAGCTTGCATGCCGCTCAGGCACCCAGCCGAGGGCTCTCCTTCAGACGGTGGGGGGCTCGTGGTGGTACAGAGCGGATGGATTCCCTCCGCACAGTCCCCACCCCCGGGGAACAACAAGCTTCAGCTTGACAGTTATGTAGAGCCTCATCCCTTCAAGTTTAAGCAGTCCACTCAGTTCAGCTCTCTGTCACAGGCCCATGCCACCTTCTTCCTTCCAAGCTGGCATCTTGGATGGGTCCCTGTGCTGGTCTGCACTGCAGTGTCTGGCCAGGCCCTGGCCTCTCGGCACGAGAGGGCACCCGCAGTGGCTGACTGCTGACCATGCCATGGCCTTGGGGGCCCCTCTGCCTGCCCCTGAGCCTTAGCATCCCCTCGCTGGGTGCATGGGAACCTCCCAGGCCAGAGTGTATGGACATTCTAAACATTTGATACATGTCGAATATTTTCAGATCACCCTTCAGATTTGATGCATTTATTACATTCCCAAAGTCAGTATATGAATAGTAGCCACTTTTTAAAGAAATAACACTGCATTAAACAAACAGTGAAAAGAAAGTTCGGTTGGATATTATGGTCGCTGATAGACACAGCACAGTGGTGCTGGGGAGAGGAACGGGTGAAGGCAGGGAATCAGGAAAGAGGAAGGAAGGAAACTGGAAGACAAGGAACTAGAGGTGGTCCCCGAGAGAGGCCCCCAGAGACAAAGCAGAGCTCCAGAGAAGAAGAGAGAAGCGCCCGGGACACAGACTCGGAGCAGGATGCCCTCCTGCACGGAGTGAGTCACAGACCCACAAGGCATAGGCGGGCAAGAGCGAGCCTGGGCTGGGGCACACAGACAGCGCCTTCCACAGCTAGCGCAGCCCCGCCCTACAGATGCTAATGAGGGGACAGGGAACGGCTTTCCTCCCTCCTCCTAATGGGTCCCCACACCCCTCCCAGGTAGAATAGGGCAGCACGGTGGCTCACGCCTGTAATCCCAGCACTTTGGGAAGCCAAGACAGGTGGATCACCTGAGGTCAGGAGTTTGAGACCAGCCTGGCCAACATGGCAAAACCCCGTCTCTACTGAACCTACAGAAATTAGCCAGGCGCAGTGGCACGCGCCTGTAGTCCCAGCTACTCAGGAGTCTGAGGCGGGAGAATTGCTTGAACTCGGGAGGCGGAGCTTGCAGTGAGCCGAGATCGCACCACTGCACTCCAGCCTGGGTGACAGAGTGAGACTCTGTCTCAAAAAAGAAAAAAAAAAAAAAAAAAATAGGGCTGCGCCAGTCCCTGGGGACGTCCCAGGTCCCTCCCTGCAGGATCCGTCTCCAGGCACTGGCCTCGCTTTAAGTAGAGGCTTCTCAGAAGGATCCACCAACTCTTTTACCCTGAGCACTGGGTGAGGGATTCACTGCGGAGGCAGGTGATGGAGGTGACATCCAGGATCCCCCTCTCAGGCCCCATACACTGAGAGGCAAGCCACACCACTGGCCGTGCGAGAGCAGGTGGTGGACGCCGCCCGCCTGCAGTGGCCGCTGCTCTTCTCCCGGCTCTTTGAAGTCACCACACTCTCAGGTAATGGCATCTGACGGGGGGCGGGGAGCGGGTATGGGCTGAGCACCCAGGGATCCCATGCAGCCTTCACATTGCCGTCTCTCCTGGCCAGGCCCCCGCCTGCCCAAGACGCAGCTGATCTTGGCTGTTAACTGGAAGGGGCTTTGCTTCCTGGACCAGCGGGAGAAGACGCTGCTGGAGCTCTCTTTCCCAGAGGTCATGGGTCTGGTTGCCAACAGGTGGGGGCCCTGAGGGAAGATCTCCTCACACCCTGAGTCCTTGGATTGATGCATCTGGGGGCTCAGGGAGAGATGGGGAGAGGGGCAGCGTGCACTCCCGGGTGACAGGCCGGGGTGGGACAAGAATCAACGTATACGATGCCCTCCGTACTTGGGAGCCCCACCCTCCCGCACCAGGCTGCACTGCCCACAAAGTACTCCGTTGGAGCATCACGGTTGCACTCGCAGCTTCTCTTTGAAACCCAGATCCACCCGGAAAGGGCACAGAAGCGTGCAGCCTCTGGTGTGCACTTATTTAGAAGGCTCCTTTCTTTGTCATGGACGAGAACTGGTGGCCTGGAGGGTACAGATTGTCTGGGACAGCGGCAAGGGACAGTGCCTGGTGTGTCCCGGGGCACGGGGCAGGGCAGGGGGGCCTCTTAGGCTGGGGCTGACCCCCACTCCCAGGGGTCTCCATGGCTCTCGTTGACTGGGAACTTTTTCATGCCTTCTGGGAAGTCCCACCCAAGCCCTGCCAGAGTGCCCCTTGGTTAAAGCACACGACAGAGTGGCACACGCATCTCTGGGCTGTGCCAGGTATACAGTGGCCACCACTCCCCACTGGCCACCTCTCCCCACTGGCCACCTCTCACTGAGGCTGTCTGTGCTGGGTACTTTCCTGTATGCCACGAAGTCCTGACAGCATCACCCGTTCTGCAGATGAGTAAACTGTGGCACGCCGAGGCTAGGTGGCTCAGAGTTAGCACATGGCAGAGCCGCCGACTCAGCTCAGCTCTGATCTTTGCAGCGTCCCTGTGGTGTCCCTGCACACCGGCCACCTCATCATCTGCCCAGAGCCGACCCCACACACGGGCTGCACCACTTGCAGCCTCTGAGGGACCCTGTGCCCCGCCGTCCTTCATTTGTCCAGACCCACAGTGGTGTCTGGCCTGGTCCTGGCCCTGGTAGAGCAGCTCTGTGTCCTCATCTGTGACCCAGGACCCCCAGTCCCACCTCCTGAGGCTGTTGAGGGGCTGGATCACGGGGAGGTGGAGGGGGCTCCTGGTCACGCTGCCCTTTGTGTCCAGGGAGGCCCAGGGCAGGCAGAGGCTGCTGCTCTCCACCATGCATGAGGAGTACGAGTTTGTGTCGCCCAGCAGCGTGGCCATCGCTGAGCTGGTGGCCCTGTTCCTGGAGGGCCTGAAGGAGAGGTCCGTGTTCGCCATGGCCCTGCAGGACAGGAAGGCCACAGGTGCCAGACTGGGTGGGGTGGGGGGAGGGCTGCACGTGGGGTCTGTAGGGAGGCGGCGTGCTCATCTCCACACACGGCAGCTGCAAGGCAAGCAGAGGGAGGGCGGGCCCCAAAGCTCTGTGGGGGCAGCTTTAGACCAGGCCCTACCTTCTCTCAGCCACTGCTTCCTCTTCTACAAAATGAGGAGCTAAAGGAGGTGGTCTCCAGCCCCGCAAGGCCAGCCATGCTCAGCGCTGCACGGCTGCAAAAGCACCGAGAGGGGCCAGCCTGCAGCCCAGGGAAGCTTTGAACACCATCCCCACAGTGCACTGCTGCAGAAGCACCCTATTATCCCATTTTACAGGCACGAGGCCAGAGGCCCAGAGACGGAGGTAGCTCGCCCAGGGTCACACAGCTCAAGGGGGTGGGAGCCTAGTTCTTGGCCGCAGCTCTCCTGCAAGCCAGCACTCCAGCGAGCTGGGCTGTGTCTGTGGGCTGTGGGGGAGCATAACAAAGCCCCAGGACCCCTGCTGGCCCAGGCTCCCTGCTGGCCCAGGCTGCTGGCGGGGCAGTCATGGGCAGTGGGTGGTGCAGTTAGTGCAGGGGCTTCAGAAGGGGGTGCTGGTTGGGATGCAGCAGAAGAGGCTGTGCGTGGGGTCTTTGGGCAGTGAGAAACGTCAGCTGAGATGTGCTGCCCTGTTGCCCCATTCAGTACTCACGGCCACCGCACGAGGGAAAGAGGATTGCCATCTCCAAATTCCAGATGAGGAAGCGGGCTAGAGAGGCAGGCAGCACTCAGGCCAGGCGTGGGGACTGCCAGCCTGTGCATCCTCCCCTCCCTCATCCCTGGCTCCTGGTCAGCCTTCCGAGGGTCTCCCAGGGCTAGGGCTGCAGTCAGAGCTCTCGAGCGCCCGCCCACCCTGGGCTCTGTGCCTGTGCAGCTGTAGCAGGTGACAGCTGTCTGAGGCCCCTGAGGTTCCAGTCCCACCATTGCTCACTCTTGGAGTGGTCTTCTGCCCACCACTCTGTGCCTCTGTTTCATCCGTCAAGGGAGATGACCCCCAAAATGCCAGCACAGCCTCTGGCCCCTGCAGAGCCCTCAGCAAATGGCAGCCTCCCTACCCTTACAGATGACGCCACCCTCCTGGCCTTCAAAAAGGGGGACCTGTTGGTCCTGACAAAGAAGCAGGGGCTGCTGGCCTCTGAGAACTGGACCCTCGGCCAGAACGACAGGACAGGCAAGACGGGGCTGGTGCCCACGGCCTGCCTCTACACCATCCCCACGGTCACTAAGCCCTCGGCACAGCTGCTGGTAACTGGCACGCTCCCTTGTCCTCAGCCTGGGTACCCGAGGGCAGGGTGAGCGGTCCTGGGATGCCTAGTCAGGAGGCCTAGTTCAGGCCCTGCAGCCCACCTAGCAGAGGCCAGGAGGGCCACCTGGGCAGCCCTCAACCATTCTTGTGGCAAGGTGCGTGTGCAGTGCCAGCCAGCCCAGCTCTTGGTACTTAGTAGGCGCTCAATAAATGGGTGTTCCCTCCCTCTTCCATCATGGGTGTGTCCTGGGGACAAACCCAATCTTTCTCTGCCTCATTTACACTCTGACCCAAGGGGGCCCAAGCCTCTCCCCGCACAAGGGAACCACCCACCCCAGCCAAGACCAGGCTCTCGGGAGGCAGGAACGGCAGGCATTGCAACATGGACATACCGAGTGCCGAGTATGTGCCCTGTGCCTGTGGTATGAGTCTGGGCACAATAGCAGCTCCACGCTCAGGGCAGACATTTGGGCAGATAATGATGCCTGGATGGCAACTGTGTAAAGTGCCACCAAGGAGAGGGATAAATAACAGGGTGGGGGGCTCACCCTGTCTGGGAAGGCATCCCTGAGGGAGGGACATTTGTGCTGAGGGCTGAAGTTGGTGGCAGACCAGGCAGGTAGGGCTGGGGTGAGAGGGGGCCCCATGGAGAAGGGGAGCTGGGGGTCTGAGAAACCAGAGTGCCGTGGCCCCCAGAACAGGTGATGTGGGTGCCACAGCCATTGGCACTCATCCTCCCGAGGGAAAGGAGAGAGGCACCGAGAAGCAGAGTCACGGTCCTGGGTCACACGGCAGGTGACGGGTGTGGGTGAGCCCTGGCCTGTCCACTCCCAAGTCACTGAGGCCGCCGGGCTGGGAGGAGCCTGCAGGAAGGGCCTCATGGGCGGTGGCTCCTGGGCACCCACAGGCCTGTGCCCCCTCCAGAGCTTGCTCACCATGTCACCAGAGAAGAGGAAACTGGCGGCTCAGGAGGGGCAGCTCGCAGAGCCACGTCCTGAGGAGCCACCCAAGGAAAAGCCGCACACCCTGGAGGAGTTCTCCTACGAGTTCTTCAGGTGCCCCCCAAGCCCCGCTCCGTCTCATTGCGCCCCCACCTCCTAGTCCCACCTCACCTCATTGCACCCCTGCTCCCAGCCCCGCCCCACCCCGCCCCATTGTACCCCCCCGCTCCCCGCCCCGCCCCGTTGCACCCCGGCTCCCAGCCCCGCTCCACCTCATTGTACCCACCGAGGGCTGCAGAGGCCACGCCACCCATGTGGAGCCTGCCTGGCCTCCCCAGGCCAGGGGAGTCAGGAGGGGCTTGCAGCAGGGTGGGGTGCTCTGGCCCTCCCACAGCCACCCAGGGGTGTCAGAGGACAGAGAGGCGTGGGACAGAGAAGGCCACAGGGCAGGCCTCATGCCAGCCTCTGACTCACAGGGCTCCAGAGAAGGATACAGTGAGCATGGCCGTGCTGCCCCTGGCCCGTGCCCGCGGCCACCTGTGGGCCTATTCCTCCGAGCCGCTGCGACAGCCGCTGCTCAAGCGAGTCCACGCCAACGTTGACCTCTGGGACATCGCCTGCCAGATCTTTGTCGATATCCTTCCCCACCAGCCTGCCTGCGCCTTGTCAACCCCAGGGCAGAGGCACCTGGCAGCTCCTGGCCCTACAGCTGTGCTCTAGGGCAGAAGAGCCCAGGAGGTCTGAGAAACCCAGAGTGGCGGGACAGAGCCCACACGTGGCTCACCGCAGGGCTGGGGTCAGGGGTCGGCAAGGGGCCTAGGTCAGGGTCAGCATCTATCCCCAGTCTGTGGTCAGCGTGGGGCCGGCCCAGCACCGTGCTCCTTGACAGCCACACCCATCCTCCGGTACATGGGCGACTACCCCTCTCGGCAGGCCCGGCCCAGCCTGGAGCTCACCGACCAGATCTTCACGCTGGCCCTGCAGCATCCGGCCCTGCAGGACGAGGTCTACTGCCAGCTCCTGAAGCAGCTGACGCACAACTCCAACAGGTCTGCTGGGGCGGCGGCCGGCCCGCGCTGTCACCCTCAGTCCTCATCCCAGCCCCTGAGGCCAGACCGAGGCTCAGAGGGGACACCGCAGCTCGTGGCGGCGGAACCCCCATCTGGGCACCTGCATCAGCAGTGGGAAGGGCTGGGGCCCTTGGTCTGCTCTGCTGATGTCCTAGGGGCGGTCAGAGCAGGAGAGGACGGCCCTGCCTGCTCCCAACCCGTGCGTGTGACCTGGCAGGCCATGGCCTCTGTGGGCTTCAGTGTCCTCTTCCACAAAATGGGTGCAATGCCCGCCCACCCACCCCCATTTTGAGGGTGCAAAAGCCCGTGGCATCAGGCAGCCGGGCACAGCTGGCATGGTGCAGCTTGGCTGGTGCCCTTCCCCTTGGGCCCTTTAGACCTCAGGTAGTTCTCATATCCGTCCCTGCTCCCCAAGGTGCCTGCCTGGCCTGGGCCCCCTGAGGAGCCCTTCCCCACTGACAAACGCCATCTTCCAGGCACAGCGAGGAGCGGGGCTGGCAGCTGCTGTGGCTCTGCACTGGTCTCTTCCCGCCCAGCAAGGGGCTCCTGCCCCATGCCCAAAAGTTCATCGACACCCGGAGGGGGAAGCTGCTGGCCCCCGACTGCGGCCGCCGCATCCAGAGGGTCCTCAGGTGAGCCGAGTGCCTCCAGCCCCCAGCGTTGACCCTGGGCCCACAGCCCCGGGATGCTGTGGGGCGTGGCCAGCCCTCCAGGAGCTCATGGTCCCAGGAGGACTCTGCAGAAGCCAGCATCAGCTTGGGAGGCGGGATTGGGCCCTGAGCTGCCAGAGAAGAGGGTGGAGGGTGAGGCCCAGGAGGGTGGAGAGAAGGCTCAGTCATAGCCACCAGCTCCCCTGCGCCACCACTGCCCGGCGGTGGCACAGAGGCACTGCCTGGGGGATAGAGGGGGACCTGGATGCCCCAGCCCAGGCCCTCAAGGCTGAGGTTAGAGGCCTGTCCTTCCAAGTCCATGCAGCCTCCCTCATCCGCCCACAGCTGGGAAGCTCTTCCTTGGCTGTCTTTGCTCTCCCCCACCGCTCCTGCTTCCTCTGCGTGGCCTCCTGTGGCCATGAGGAGGGCAGGTTGACTGTGGGAGTGGCTGATTTCAGTGGCAGCCATGGTCACAGAGGGAGGTAGGCGCCCCAGAGAGGCCCTACCAGAGTCCCTGACCCCTGCCCGATGCCCCTATTGTGTGAGAACAAGAACACGGCCAGCCTCACCCACCGGTGCCTCCCCAGGAGCCCCCGGCCTGGCCCTTCCCATGTGTGGCCCAGGCTTTTGGGCACAGCTGCAGCATCGCTGCCTCTGAGGCTGCGTGCGAGCCAGGGGCAGCCCCTGGGATGTGCGAGGGGCTGGAACCACCCGGGTGATGGTCACTGGGGTTATTTTTCTTTTGTTTCTGGCACATGGTTTAGGGCCCGCGTTGGGGTTGGGGCATGGGTGAGGATGAGGGTGGGGGTGGCACCTGCAGCACGCGCTGTGCCCCTCAGGACAGGGCCCCGGAAGCAGCCCCCGCACCAGGCGGAGGTGGAGGCCGCGGAGCAGAACATCTCCCGCATCTGCCACAAGGTCTACCTCCCCAATGACACCAGCGAGGTGAGGCCCTGCTCTGGCCTGCACGGCAGATCTCAGGCCTCCGAAGGCCATGGGGCACCCTCCCTCCTGGCCCAGCCTGCTCCTTGGGAACCCCGGAGAGCCTTTTCTAGGGCTGACCCATCCTCACCGGTCTCCTGCCCCCTCCCCATGGGACGCAGGCCCCGCCTACCCTTTGGAAGTCAGGCCAGCCCCAAGGTATGAGTTGGGGGATCCAGGCCCAGGACACGGGAGAGAGGACAGAGGGGTGGGCAGCAAGGGTGAGTCCCAGGACCTGGGGGCTCCTAGGGGCTTCTGACCAGCTGGGGTGTGGGAGAGCAGGTATCCCCACTGTGTGTGCCTTGTGCACAGAGCCTGCCATGGCTGCTGGGGGAAAAGGGGACAGGGGACAGGTGGGAGACCACCAGGACCCAGCCGTGACACAGAGGCCTTCACCAGGGGCAGCAAAGACAAGCGGGCTGAGGCCAAGGTGGGCAGTGTCGTCTCACGCCCTCTCCAACAGCAGGGTGGTCTTTTTGGTCTTGGAGACATTCGGGTCCCAGTAACAGGAAGTTCCCACAGTCTGGCTCTGGGCTCTGAAGGCGAGTCAGAAGGCCAGGCATCCAGGGCCCCAGGGCAACGAACGCTGGGACTAAACAACGTGAGCCTCTGGCCAGGGTTCTGGAAGGGAGGCCTGTTCTGCTCAGGGCAGACCACATCCAAGCCAGGTTTCATGAAGGAGCAAAGGTCCAGGCTAGGAAGGCTCATCCTGGGCTGTGCTGGCCCCTCGCCAGGCCCCGGGCCTCACCAGCCGCCTCTCTGTCCAGATGCTGGAGGTGGTTGCCAACACACGGGTGCGGGATGTGTGTGACAGCATTGCCACCAGGCTGCAGCTGGCCTCCTGGGAGGGCTGCAGTCTCTTCATCAAGATTGCAGACAAGGTGAGCTGCGCTGGGGCTGGGCAGACGGTGGGCGGGCGGGCAGTGAGCGGGATCCTAGGTGCTGCCTGGTGGGGGCCTCGGCCTGCCAGGGGCACCCATGCTGGACCAGGCTGCACAGCCAGGGCTGCCGGGACAGAAGTAGGTGGGGTCCCGGAGCAGAGCCAGCTCCACACGCCGAAAGCCCACGCACAGCCGACTCCAGCGCAGCACCCAGGCCGTAGGCGGCCAGTGGACCAGAGCCCGGCAGGGCCCTCTCGGGAGGACAGTCCTCTGGCAGCCCCCCACCGTCCCTGCACCTTCCCCTCCCCAGGTCATCAGCCAGAAGGAGGGAGACTTCTTCTTCGATTCCCTGAGGCAGGTGTCTGACTGGGTGAAGAAGAACAAGCCCCAGAAAGAAGGTGAGGAGGCCTCTGTGGAGCTGGGCGAGGGTGTGGCTGGGTGGGGTGAGGGGGCACCGTCGGCCTCTGTGTGGCCCGTGCCCATTCATCCATCCATTCCTTCCTGTGTGTCCCTGGGTTGTGGGGACAACCAGGCCCTGGGGCCCGGCGGTGAGGGCCTCCCAGCTCAGGCAGGAACCGGTGGCTGCACCACGGGGTGATGAAGGATGCCCAGGGCTGAGGGGCATGACCCCCATGGGCTGGGGGTGGGAGTCCGGAAACATTCCTGGAGAAGGCGGCCTCCACACTCAGGAAAACCTGGGGGACTGGGGAGGAAGAAGGGTGGAGGCTTTCCAGGCAGGGAGGTGGCAGGCGCAGTGTGGGGGTGCCAGGGGGTCAGGGCTGGTGCACCTGCTCGGCCAGGCTTGGTGCCCACTGCTGGCCCTTGCCCAGGGGCCCCCGTGACGCTCCCCTACCAGGTGTACTTCATGCGGAAACTGTGGCTCAACATCACCCCGGGGAAGGATGTGAATTCGGACACCATACTCCATTACCACCAGGTACTGGGCAGGCTGCCCTGGTGGCCACCGGTGCCACCCCCATCCTCCCACACCTGTTCTGAGGCTGTAGAAGCCAGCAGCCCAGGGCAGGACCAGCCTCAGCCCGGGGTACCAGCCCATGTGGTGGGCAGACCAAGCCCCTGAGGGCTCTGGAACCAGGAGTAGAGGGCAACAGTGTTTGGGGACAGTGACTGCACTGGCACCTGCAGCATGACTTGGGGAGGGTGGGACAGAGGGTCCTGTGGCCCATGGAACAGTGGCCATGGCCTGCAGGGCCAACCACATGGGTGGAGCAAGGCCATCACCTCCACGCAGATGTCAGGGGGCCTGCCCTGACTCAGGGTCATTCCCCTGGCCTGACACTCTACCCTGCTCAGTCCGTCCTGGATGGGGTGGGCTAAGCCCCAGGTCCCCACCACCTGAGCGGGAAAGAGGTTGGGGGCGTGTGGGTCGCGGCTGGAGACCCAGCATGCCCAGTGTGTCCACCACCCAGGAGCTGCCCAAGTACCTGCGCGGGTTCCACAAGTGTTCGCGGGAGGACGCCATCCACCTGGCGGGCCTCATCTACAAGGCCCAGTTCAACAACGACCGGTCCCATCTGGCTAGTGTCCCCAAGATCCTGAGGGAACTGGTGCCCAAGGACCTCACACGCCTGATGTCCTCGGAGGAGTGGAAAAAGGTCCCTCACGGGGCTGGGGAAGGGTTCCTGGGTTGCTGCTCCTCCCTGGGATCCTGCCCCAGTGCCACGCCCTGCCTGGGCTCCAAGACCACATGGGTGCACACAGGTGGTGTGGAGGGTGGGCTGGCTCTGCACACACCACGCCTTCCCACGCTGTCCACGGCGCCACCGAGACTGTCCCGCGCTGCGTCCCTCCCCTCCCCACCCCAACCCACTGTACTGGCCTGGGGTAGGCAGGTGCTGCCCCCACCAGGGCTTTGCGGGGCCTCGGCACCCAGGCCCTTACTGGCCCTCCTGTTCCCCAGAGCATCCTTCTGGCCTATGACAAGCACAAGGACAAGACAGTGGAGGAGGCCAAGGTGGCCTTCCTGAAGTGGATCTGCCGCTGGCCCACCTTCGGGTCTGCCTTCTTCGAGGTGAAGGTAGGCCTTGCCCCACGCCCGGGCCTCCTGCCCAAGCAGGCTCTGCTCAGCTCTGCCCCGGCAGGCCCAGCATCAACCAGCACACATCTTGGGTGGGACTGGCCACGAGGCTGGAGGGTGTGGGCGTGTGTGTGTATGTGCACGTGGCCTAGGTGAGCTCCTGGGAGGTGCAGCCTGGCCTCCTGGGCTGGACTATGACCGCTGTGTCCCTCCCTCCCAGCAAACCTCGGAGCCTTCCTACCCGGACATCATCCTCATCGCCATCAACCGACATGGGGTTCTGCTCATCCACCCCAAGACCAAGGTAGCTGCCGGGCCTCCGGAGGGGCTGCGGGCCACCAAGTCCAGGGACCCCTGCAGGTGGGGCTGCAGTCACCTCTGCGGTGTGTCGTGCCTCTCTCCTGTCCCCTAACACACACAGCCCACGGGCTCTGGAGGCACCCTGCCCACCCACCCTCTCTGTCCCCAGGACCTGCTCACCACCTATGCCTTCACCAAGATCTCCAGCTGGAGCAGCGGCAGCACCTACTTCCACATGGTGCTGGGGAACCTGGGCCGTGGCAGCCGCCTGCTGTGCGAGACCTCCCTGGTGAGCGCCGGTCCCTTCTCCCAGCCAGGATGCACAGGATGGAGCGGCTGGAGACTGGGTTCCCCACCCTCACCCCTTTCAAGTGGCTCATTGAGAGGGCTTAGTCACAGGGCCCAGGCGGGGCCAGCAGACCTGGAGGGGGACTGGGTGCATCCCCAGGACCAGCAGCCAAGGTGGCAAGGCCAGGCAGGAGCCCCTGCACCCTTGGCCCGTTCTGAGGCGGGAGGGAGACCTAGCCCCAGCAGGGCAGGCAGAAATGACGGTGCCAACGGCAGGAGCCCGCCTGCCCCTTTTTCCATGCCCTGCACCGCTGGGTGCTGAGGAAGAGAAGGTGGTCCCTGAGTCCAGGACCCCCACCTGCCCCCTGCACCCACAACCTCTGACCCACCCTGTCCCCTGTCCCCTGTCCAGGGCTACAAGATGGACGACCTGCTGACCTCATATGTGCAGCAGCTCCTGAGTGCCATGAACAAGCAGTGGGGCTCCAAGGCCCCAGCCCTGGCCAGTGCCTAGCAGCGGATGCTGGCGTGTCTGCTCAGGCACCCTGTCAACCTCCAGCCTGGCAGCACCTTCCCAGGCCCTCTCAGCCCAGGGCCTGTCCTCGGCAGGCAGCCTTCCATGCTGCCCCCCATACGAGCCCACTCAGCCCCGCAGGTGGCCCCCTCTGTACTGGGCGCTGCATATGGAGGTGAGAAGACCCAGCGTGGGTCGGGAGTCTCGGACCCCCAGGCTGTTGGTGGATGGCTGAGAGGACCCCCCGCAACCCCAGCCCACCAGAATGTTCAGTAAAAACCCCTGGGGCAGGAGAAGCGAGTGTGTCTGAGGGGGCAGGGTGTGGCACGAGGTGGACATGGGGCCTGGGAGGCTCTGGCCCGCAGAGAGCCGCAGGGAAAGCAAAATGCCTTGCGACTTTCCCAGGGAACTGGGAGGGCAGCTGCATTCTCCAGGAATGACTTCATCCCTCCCTCTTTCTGCTTCCTTCCTCCCCCTCCCTTCCTTCCTGTTTCTCAGACTGGGGAGGGGCACTCATGGGAGAGTCCTCCTCCCAGGCCCCTCCTCACACCTTCCGTCGTCCCCGCCCGCCACCCGCCACCTGCCACCCGTGGCACCCAGGAGGCCGGGGTGGAGGTGCGGCTCTCTGGTTGCTGGCTTCATGCTGAGGCCAGCTTGTGCCCAGTGGCCAGAGCTGGATATAGCACCTTGGAGGCCTGGATTCCCCCCACTCCCTGGCATGTCCTGTCCCTTCCCACCCCTCCTCTGCCCACTGGGACAGCTTAATGTGGACCTGGCCACCCAGGCTTGTGAGGTCCTGGCAGGGCTAGTTTTCAACCCCTTATGGCAGCCTGGCCTGGGATAGAGGCTAGGGCCCCCTGAACTCGTGCCTGTCTGTCTGATGTCTGTCCCTCTGTTCAGCTGCCCCAGCAGCAGTGTGTTCACAGCCGCTGCCATCCCCTCCACTCCCCACCCCTGCCACAAACCACGCAGACTGCTGTGGTCGTGTGAACAAGCCTTCATTGTGCAAGCGTGAGCCCAGCACCAGGTCTGCGCCGGCCGCAGAGGAAGCGTCCTCCCTGGCGGTGCTAACAAGCCACCTGCGACCCCACCACCTCCTGGACCCTGGCCCAACCCAAAGGCTCAACACAAGCCCCAAGCTGGGTGCGGGGGTGGCCAAGGTGGGACTCCGGGAAGGCCCTCCGAGGGATGGAGGTGGGTCCTGTCCCTCCAGGGCGCTTGTGGGTGTGGACAGCAGGACTTGCTGGCTCAGTGTGGGCACAGGGACACTGTGCCACTGGTTGAATGAGTGGAGAGGGATTGCAGGTGGCTCCTAGAGGCCTCCATCTGCGTGGCCCTGGCCCTGTGGCTCCAGCAGGCTGCCCTGGCTGTGGGTGGCCCAGGAGCCACATGCACTTAGTGGGGCTGCTCTGGGGCAGGGGCTGTCACAGGACAGCACGAGCCACCGAGCCACCTGGGGAGGGCCAGCCTGGGCCACGCGGGGAACTGTGGTGCAATTTGCTCCTGTCCCTGGAGGTCTGTGGGCGGAAGCTGTGGGCACAGGTGGCCGTGGCTGTGAGACGTGGGGTCACAGGCTCCCACTCCCTAGCTCCTGCCTCACGGAGGGAAGCCACAGCCAAGGAGAAGAGAGACATGGGGAAGGCAGAGATGAGGGAACAGGAAGGGAGGAGGCAATGAGGAGGGAGAAGGGGAGGGTAAGGTGCGGAAGGCGCAGGTGGACCGGGCCGAGGGGGCTGAGCATGGACAGCGGGAGGGGAGAAGGCGGAGGGGCCGAGAGGCGGCCGTGCAAGAGGGCCTTCAGGCAGAGTTGAGGTCCGCGGCCTTGGGCTGGGCCTTGCGGGAGGTCAGCTCCGACAGCTTCTTCAGCCGCTTCTTCAGCTCCAGTGGGAACTTCTCATAGCACCTCTTACACACGGGCTTCATGTCAAACTCCACAAACTTGTTCCTGGTGAGGAAGCAGAGCTGTCAGCAGAGCCCCACGCCCACCCCTTTAAACCCAGACAGGTGACCGTGGAGTGGGCCTCCCCACACCAGCCTCTCCCAGCCAGCAGGCCAGGCCCTAGGGTGACCTGACCAGAGAGCATAGGGATGAGAAGGGCCTTGAGGCTGCCCTTCCCTCCCAGAGGCTTCTCTCAGGTTCTGACACCCCTGAACCCTCTATGCCTCCCCCACAGCCCTTGGAAACCTGGATGCCATTTCTCCGCTCCCAACTCCAGCCATCCCACACCCCTTGAGGCTTCCTGGATGAGCAGCTGACACTGCTGCTTTTGCATATGCTGTTCCCTGGGCTGGAACGCCCGTCCCTCCCCCAGAGTCCAGGGTTCTGGCAGGTGTGTTGGAGGCACGAGTGTTCCTCCTCTTCTCACTGTGCCCTGGGGTCCCTGGACCCCCGGACCTGCCCCCATCTCACTGGGCGGTATGGGGCCGGGATGCCCCTTGTCCCCACCATATCCCCAGGCCAGACCCAGCTGGTGTGCAGGAGGGCTGCTAAGAGGAAGGACCCGCAGGAGCCCCCTCCACCCTGAGCCCCGTCCCACGATCACAGGACTCACTTCAGGGTGAGCTTGCTGTTGCAGGTGGAGCAGGAGAAGCAACTCACACACCAGGCCTTGTTGAGGGCCGACACCACTGTGAGGGAAGCATGTGACTCAGCAGGGCTGGCTAGGCTGCCACAGGCGCAGCTGGGCTCACAGCTGCAGCACTCAGGCCCCAGGAGAGCAGGTGGGGTGGGGGAGGGAACACAGGGTCTCACCATCGCCTTCAATCACATGGCTGCAGTTGTAGCAGACGTCCCCGAAGAGCTGTGGGCCGAGCAGGCTGTCAGAGCGGCTGCAGGCAGTCACACCCTAGCCCAGGGCCATCATGCAGCCGGCCTGGCCCTCCAACACGGCCCCTCTCAGGCATCTCCCAGGCCCTGCTTCCCAGGGCCCAGCTGTGAGACTGGGTTGAGGGCACTGCAACCCATTAGAACCACCCCCGCCCCGGGAAGGACAACAGGCTGGGACATTGCTCCCCAGAAGGCCCCTTTCCTCTGGCTGCTGCTGTCCTGCAAGGAGGTGGGCCCCGGTGGTGACCGCGTCCCATCAGCCCCCCCCCCCCGCCTTCTGTACCAGAGCAAGGGAGGGAGGGGGTTGCTGGCACTGTCAGCCCCGTGTGCCCAGGACCTCACACCAGCCCCAGAACATTCTTCAGAGGAAGACACTGAGGCTGAGAGCGCTGCTTGGGTCTCGAGACCCCAGGCCAGGAACCAGGGCTGAGGGTGCAGGCCTGGGCTCAGCACCTGGCAGAGCTCCTAAGGGAACCACAGCCTCCCCTGCTCACGGCAGCTCTCCTGGCCACCCCTCCAGATCCGCGTCCCTGAGGGCTCTGCGCCGGGCTCACCTGGTTGTAGTGAGTCTCACAGTAGGCCAGGCCCTTCTTCTCATAGTGCCGGTGCCCCAGAAATGGCTTCTCACACTTGGCGCAGACGAAGTGCTGCGAGGACAGAGGGCGGGCCAGGCGGCATCAGGGCTAGAGCAGTGACCCCAAGGGACAGTGGTGACTCCAGGGGACAGCAGTGGCCCCAGGAGGCAGCAGTGACAGAAGGGGACAGGAAGCAGAGTCTGGGCAGGTGGAGGCCCTTCAGGATTCACACTGGGCAGAGAGGGCTGACACCTCTGTGAACGCCCTGGGGTCAGCAGACCCCACCCCTCCTCTAAGAGACCGATGGGAACCTTGCTAGTCACCATCCCCTCCCAGTCTGGCCTCCCCCTCGGCAGCCTCAGCCCCAGGAGTCAGGTGCCAGCCCCGTGCTGTGGCATGGTGGGCCCTCGCTGGCAGAGGCGGCCCAGCCTGTCCACGTGGGGCCTCTGCAGGCACCCCCTGCAAGCCTGGGGTCACTGAGCAGCACCTTGCATTCCCCCAGGGATCTGCATGTGAGGATGAGGGCTGGGGGCTGGGGCCTGCATCAGGGCAGGACGGCATGGCCTCCCACCCCAGCTGCCACCCAACACAGCTTCTGGACACAGCGCTGGCCAGGTCATCAGGGAGGGTGGTGGGCTCACCGATCCCAGTGTACCCATGAGAACATGGGAGCCCACCACCCAGCGGGGGCACTCCAGGTGACCCAGTGCTCACACCTGAGGAACTCTTCAACTCCTTGTTTGCACAGGGCTGTCCACATAGTGGGTTCTGTCAACCACAGCCCCCAGGGCACCCTGGGCAAACTGCCCCCAGGGTTTTCTCCTGAGCTTGGAGTCTCTTAGAATGCCCGCAGGGGGAAGAGGAGAGGTGGGCACAGCTACCCAACCACGCATGTGCACTCGGGTCTCCTGGCTCCCGTGGGCAGGCTGGTGTCCCCGGCTGAGCACAGGGAGGGGCAGTGCCCCAGAGGAAGGGCCTAGCCGGGAGCCAGCCACGCAGCCTGGGCTGGGAGTGTGGAGGGGCTTCAGGGCTCTGCTCTCACCGTGACCCTGAGCTGGGGCACCCCCAACCTGAGGCCACGTGCCCGCCAGCCTGGCTCACCTCCACGTGCCACTGCTTGCCCAGCGCGTTGACCACTCGGCCCTCAATGGGCCGGCGGCAGGCACCGCAGATGGGGACGCCCATCTTGTCATGGCAGGGCAGGCAGTAGAGCTCGCCCTTCAGCTCACGGGCCTCAGCCGTCAGCTCCTTCCTGGAAGACAGCGTGCAGCCCCCAGGTGCCGTTCATGCCCTTCTGCAGGGTCATGCCAGCAGCGCCGCCACCCCGGGGCGCGGCTCCCCGAGGGGCCCATTCTGTGCGTGCAGAGCCGAGGCGGCAGCTCCCTCTGATCTCCGGGCTCTGTGCAGACTTCCTGTGCCCCAGACAGGCCCTGGAGCACACACTTCCCGCACAGCCCAGAAGAGTGGCCTGTGTTCCAAACTCAGGCCTCTGAGAAGCAGGTCTGTTCTCCGGCCCCCTCCTCCTCCAAACCCGACCGGGTGTCTGGACAGGCACGGAGAGGACTGGAGTGGACGGTGGGGGTGGGTGAGGACAGGGGCGGAGGGGCTGCCTGTGCAACTCCTGTCTCTAACACCAGCGCCAAGCCCACTCCCGGTCTCTTGCCCACCCCGCTAGCCCTTCTGCTGCTCCACCTCAACTCTCGCCTGCAGTCTAGGGCCAGCCCACCTGCCTCCCGAGTCTCAAGTGCCCCCCGAACAGAGCCCTGGAGAGAGAAGCTTCCTGCCATGGCCGCTTCCCGGCCCCTGGCCCACTTCTGCCCTGCGGCCCCCCTCCCAGGACCCCTCTCTGCCCACCCTGCTCACCTCTCCCGCCTCAACACTTCCTCAGGTGGAGGCCCCACCGCCCTGACCCTGGGCCTGCCCTGGTTCCCCGCCGTCCGCACTGCAGGACCGGGTCGTGCACCTACCCACAGTGCGTGCAGTTGAAGTGGTCAGGGTGGTAGGCGTCGCTCCTGAACATGAGGGGCTGCTCGTCGATGACCAGGTGGCACCGCTGGCAGATGTACTTGCCCAGGCCCTTGGCCTTCTCACGGTTGTGGCAAGGCCGGCAGAGATGCCTGCGGGAAGCAGGGGCATTAGGGGCAGACCCCCCACTCCCACACACAGCCCGGCCACCTCCGGGAGAAGAGAGCCCAGAGCCCTGCCACTTCGCTGAGCAGCTGGGGGCTTCAACGGGGCTCAGCCCAGTCACAAGGCCACAAGAGTGTCCTGGAAATGCGACCCACGCTCAGCAGGGAAGACGCCAGGACGCTCAAGTTCACTGCCTCTGGATGGCATCTTTCCTCTTTCTACTTTCTCTAAGCCTAGGGCATGCTGCGGAATACAGTACACACTTAATTGGTATCTGCTGAAAACACTTTTAATCTAGATTCCGAGTCCCCAGATAAAGATACACAGAGGCCCCAATCCAACACCCCGGCCCCCATTCTCACCTGCCACCGAATCTCTCTCTGGCGCTCCTGCTGCATCCAGGCCTCCCTTCCCAGGCTCCACGGCTGCCGACGCCGTGTTGGCCCCTCTGACAGGCTGGTCAGGGAGGATACTGAAGAGATCCAATCTCAGACCCAAGATCCCTACCCAGGTTATGGTGGGCAGACCCCAGCTGCCAGGGCCGCCCATTCAGCATCCCTCCCTGGACCCCAGGACCTGCTACTGCTGGGTCTGGACTCCATCCTGCACAGGTACTGTGCTCCATCTGCCCTGGGGTGTCTCCTCATCAGCTGTGTGCAGGGCAAGGGGCCCAAGCAAAGGCCCAGCCTCCACTTGCTAAGCTGCTGCCTGGCTCTCTGTGCCTCCCTGAGACCCTGTGTGCCCAGCAGGGGGCAGCAGCTCAGGGTCAGTCGATGGAATGCCTGGGTGAATGAATGAATGTGCAAGAGAGGGAGCCACGGTGGGCATCATCTCCCCTTCACACTGGCCAGGGCCCTGGCTCTTACGCCCCAGGAATGGGAAGCAGTTGTGGCCTGTGGCTTCAGTCTTCATCACCACAATCCCTGAAGCCCACCCTTGCCCAGACACCTGTGCCCCAGCCCCAACCCCAGGCCACCTCCTCAGCAGGTCTGGAGCTGAGCTGCCCCACGTGGCGCCTGTGGCGGCCAGTCCATGCCCCCTGCAGTGCCTCTGTCCCAGACTCGGCCCCATGACGACACTCCACATGCTGGTGACTCCTCCAGAGCATCAGGACCACACTCAACCCGTGAGGAATTACTTCTGTTTCAAAGATACAGAAATCAGCTCAACGCCTGAAAACTCCATCACCACAGTCAATGCCCTTGAAGCCATCGACAGTGACCACCCCAATAACAGAAGCTCTGTGAGCCCAGAAATGCCCTGCTCGGGGTGGTTAGCGTCAAGCCACCACCTTTCCAACCAGCCGGGGCCAATTCTTCCAGACGGCCGCCTGCAGGCACAACAGGAAAGGGACGTGTGCACTGGCTCAGACACCTCACACCCGGCTGGCTCTCAGGCCAGACAGACTGGGAAGCCCATCTCTCTCGTAGGAAGGCCAGATGGGAAACAACTTCTTGACAGACCACATCACAGCACCAGATCTAACGGTGACCTTCAGAATTATTTTTCAGGTTGAATTAGGATCGAATCTAAGAATTCTAAATTCAAAATGCAGCAGAAAAACAACACACACACACACACACACACACGAAGCCTAAGTTCTGGCGGGACACGCCCTTGGGTTCAAATCCTGGCTCTGTCGCTTCCTACTGTTGGCTGATGGGTGAGTTTCTTCATGTGCCTGAGCCTCAGTTTCCTTGTCTGTGAAATGGGGCAATAATCCCAGCTGCACGGGGTGACGCAAAGAGACAAATTTAAGATACGGCCCCCGAAATGCTAGCCACATACATACAGTTTTCAATGTTTAAACAACAAAATGTAAAGTCTTTTGAAACCAGGAAAGGCGATTTGGCTTCCCATGTTGCTGGATGTATCATTTTTAGAAAGACAGAGAGAAACGAACTTTGTTCACTCAGTCTCAGAGGCGGCCGCCGGCAGCACTCAAAGGCACCCCAGCCCAGAGCCACGCCAGGGAGGAGCCCCGGGGCCAGCGGTCGGATTCACGGGCTCCCGTGTGGAAGGGGAGCTGCACCGGCGGGCACCCGGCCTCTGAGCTGAGCCGCATCCCCACGGGCAGGACAGCGCCCCATTATGAGGCTCCTGCAGCTGTGCCTCGCTCCAGATAAAGGCCATGATTTATTCGGCATGCCCAAATGGGGCCTCATTATACGGGGCAGGACACAAGGACCCTACAGCAAGTGTCCTCAAAGAGTCGCCTCTCACTCAGTGAGCAATCCTCCTCGGACTCCCACCCTCGGATCACAGGCCCCCTCCGCTGTCTGCGGGCGCAGGCCTGAGAGCGCCGCCTGTTGCCATGGCAGCCGGCCCCTCCCTGCCCCCCATCAGTAGGAAATCATCCCCTTCTGAAACGTCCTGTTGTGTCCCTCAGCTCCAGCCTAAGCCCCCCAGCCAGCCCCCGCCTGCTCTGAGTCTCTGAGACAGTCACACACTCAGCCTCTGTGGCCGAGCTGGGGGCGGGGGGCACGGGCTAGGGACACACTAGAATATTCACGCTCTGGTGGCAGCAGCCGCAGCCAGAGGAGCGGCCGCCACACAAGGGACCCCTCAGGAATGAAGCAGCCTTTCAGGGCCAGAGGGGCTGTGGTCTCCCTTCTTCTCCTTAAATAGCCAGCGTTCCACCCACAGCGGCACGGAGCCCTCTGCCACCGACACCCACGGGCAGAGATCACCTGCTGCCCCACAGACCCCTGCCCCTTCCTCCTGGACCACCGGCTAGAGGTAAGGGGCAGGCCGGGTGCGGCGGGCTGGGAGCCCAGGGCTAAGCAGAGGAAATACTCAGTGGGGAACCCTGCCCAGGGAGACGGGCAGCAGCCGGTCTCCTGCCATGTCTTTGGTGATGGTCTGACCTGTGCATTGAAGGCTGACCCGTCTGAATTCACAGCAGCCCACAAAGCGGTGTTTTGTCCCGCTGATGGGGGCTTGCAGAGGGGAAGTGGCTTGCCCGCAGTCCAGGCTGCAATGGCAGCACCCCTGCCCCTAACCATGAGACAGCCTTGACCCATACAGGAGCCAGATGCCTGGGAGAGGGTTCAGGCCAGGGATGGACTGGCGCTAGTGCAAAGGCAACTGCCACCACCTGGCCATGGCTGCTACTATCACAGGCCCTCCCTGAGGCCACGCGTGCCCACCCGCCACCTCCACAGAGGCCTGAGACCTGTCCCAGACGCTCAGCTCACCCACAGCCATGGGACCCAACACTGCCCAGGCCCTGGCCCGTTCCACGCCCCTTCCTCTTCGGAACACCCGCTCAGTGGCCATCTGAGCAGTGAGCCGTGAGGAACCAGTGAGTCTAGGCTAAAGTTCGTTTCTAAAGGGCAATGGAGAGTGAAGCCGGGCCCATCTCAGACCAAACTGCAGCAACCAGTATCAGAACTCCTCAAACGAGGGACAGAAAGGGAGGAGAAACCTCAGCAAACCTGAAACGAACCAGGAAGCGGTTTAAGATGGAGTGAGTCTCAGTCGCAGAGAGAGCGAGGTGCACGCCCTTCGGCCGGGGCAGGAAGTGCCCAGGCTGAGACCCCCGGGCTGGAGGCAGGAGGCACCACAGGCCCACCTAGTGCCATGAGATATGCTAGCCCTGCTGTCACTCAGGGCCCCAAGCCCAGTAACACTCTGTTGTCACTGTCTTGAAACTCTTCGTTTTTGAGCAAGGGGCTGCACATTCTCATTCCACACGCGGGCCCCTAAAATTAGGGAGTGGTCCCAGGGCCGGGAGGAGGTGCTGAGCCTGGGAGACAACACCACGGCAAGCTCTGAGACTGAGTCACACTCCTGCCCTGGCCGAGGCGCCCTGGCAGTCTCCAGAGGCAAGGCAGTCCCCTGGGGGACCAGGGTTTCCCTGGTCTCACTTCCAGCTCCAGGGCCAATGTCCCCTGGTCAAGTGACCTAGGGCAAGTTAGCAGACACTCAGCCTTGATTCCTTAATCTGTAAAATGGGGCTAAAACTGGTTTGAGCCAGCACAGGCAGGCCCCCACCATGCCAGGCAGAGTGGTCAGTCGTACCTATGAGCTGTTCTCTCCTGGGGCCAGGTGATGCCTGCACAGTGGGGCACAGTACAGGCCCAAGGGACAGTCTAGGGTGGAGGGCACCCACCTTGGCCCCTTCCCACCCCCAGGTTCTAACAAGGGCCCCTCACTCACTGAGCCCCCTCTCCTCTTCCAGTTTCCAGGGCCTCCCCGCACATACCTTGCTCCTCTCCTGCCAACCTGAAAACAGCACACCTGTGTGCCCCTCCCATCTACCATGGGCTATCCTCTCTGCTTGCCCGTGCACCTGCCCTGGAGCCCTGTTCCTCCAGTCTCTGGGTCCTCACCCCCAGCACGTGCAACACGACACCCTCAAAGTCACAGCCCCCCTGCCCCCGCCATCCCACCGGCACCTGCTCCCTGTCCTCCCCTGCCTCACAGGCCCTGTCAAGGGCTGTGTCCCTCCCTCCTTTTACTTCTCCTCCACAGCCCCCTTCAGAGCCCTCAGCCCTTCCCCAGGGCTCCAGCCAAGCCTGTCTCCCTCTCCCGAGGATCACTCACCCCGCCTTCGGCCCTCAGCTCTCCGCCCGCACCGCACTGTGGTTTTAGCAGTTCTAGGGAAAGTGCCAGCCGAGACCATCCAGCCCAAGTCAGGACTGTGAAACCTGGATTCCTGGGGAATGGGGTCCCCGTGAGGAACTCCACATGGGACTAAGAACAGACCCTGCTCCTGGAAGTGGCAGGAAACCATCTCTGGTGTTAGAACTTCAGGCATCTTCAAACACTCTGAAGCCGGGGCAATCTTTTCAGGTAGGGGAACCTGCCTAGAGAAATAGCTAAAAGGTAATATTATTAGGCAGCTGCCCTCCCCTTTGCTTGAGGACATTGATGGCCAGGTGCTTGGGCCAGCCCTCACCCTCCACGTGAGGGCCACAGCAGCTGGCCGCTCGCTCTCCTGAGGAAGGGTACGGCCTGCCCTTCCCTAGGGCTAGGGCCACCACTGTGCCTGCTTCTCCTCTATGTGAGGATGGCTCCAGCCTCCTCCTCGAGTGGCTGCTGTGCCCGTGAACAGTCACCATGCCCTCTCTGCCCCATGCCACCAGCATCCTGAGACAGCCCTATGGAGTCAGTAAGAGGAGAGGGGCTGGGCGCAGTGACTCATGCCTGTAATCTGAACACTTTGGGAGGCCAAGGAGGGAGGATCACTGGAGCCCAGGAGTTTGAGACCAGCCTGGGCAACATGGCAAAACCCCATTTCTACCAAAAAATACAAAAATTAGCCGGGCGTGGTGGTGTGTGCCTGTAGTTCCAGCTACTCAGGAGGCTGAGGTGGGAGGATCACTTGAGCCCTGGAGGTTGAGGCTGCAGTGAGTTGACTGCACCACTGCACTCCAGCCTGGGTGACAGAGCGAGACCCTGAAAATAAAAAAAAAAGGAAAGAAGAAAAGGAAGGAAGGAAGGAAACAAGGAAGGAAGGAAGGAGGGAGGGAGGGAGGGAGGAGGGAAGGAAGGAGGGAAGGAGGGAGGGAAGGAGGGAGGGAAGGAGGAGGCGATGAAGGCAGGCGAACGGAGGGGAATGAAGGGAGGGAAGGAAGGAAGGAGGGAAGGGAGGGAGGGAAGGAAGGAAGGAGGGAAGGGAGGGAGGGAGGCAGAGAAGGAAACAGGCAGGGAGAAATGTGCAGAGTGAATTTGCTGCAGGTAGGTCTCCGGCTGCTTGGTGCAGAGCCAGGCTCACCCAGGATAAGGACCCTGCCAGGCCTGTGGCTCGTGCCTCCTCCCCTCCTGCTGCCATCCTGCAATGGGCACAGACAGGATGCCAGCTTCTCTTCTGCAAACCCCTCTCCAGCCTCTGCTTCAGCCTGGCTGTGCAGGGTGGGGACTGTGGGTACTGGAAAGCTGGGTGCCCAGTGGAACCCCAGAAGCTGTGCCATCATCAGCATCCACCTGGCCAAAGCCCGCTGGTGACCCCAATTCAAAGGCAGGCCAGGCCCACTGTCCTGCCCTGGATCCGGGCTGCTCTGGCCCCACCGCCTGCCCACACCCCCACTCGCAGGCCTAGGTTGGGGAGGCAGGGTGTTTGGGACCCTCACTCTCCCTTCCTGAATCTTCTGAGTTGACTAAAAGCAAAACAGGAGTGGGTTTCTCTGTCTGCGGGGGGTGGGGAGCACCCTATCCAGACTCAGAGTTCACCAGATGGACATGACTTGTTACCTAGGCCTGTCACGGGGCTCTGCACTTGGCCTTCGAACGTGGGCAAGCCAGGGGGCCTCCAGGCCTCTCTGGGGCTGCAGATCTGACCTGGACAGCCTTGGCCAGTGTCTCTGACTCGGGGTAAAATGGGTCTTCCCCTCCTGGAGGAGATGCTGCCCCCTGGTGGTGCATCTACTCTGGGAGGGAAAATACTCCCAGCTGGCCTGACGCCCAGGCACAGGCTTCTCCTAAACACAGGTCTCCCCACCTGTCAGGATGTCCAAACGGAGTTGGTGGGCTGGCTCCAGACAGCCCCCAAGAGAGACGCTGAAACTCTCAGGCGGGTAAAAAGAGCAGACCTCTGACCTCCCAGGGCACAGTCCTTGCTGCCATCCTGGGGCATGCTCCTGTGAGTCAGGTGCCGGGGAAGCCATGGTCAGAGGCCAGCAGGGGAAGCAGAAAGCAGAGACGCCCCGGCCAGTGCATCTGTGGGCAGGCGCGTCAGGGAGGGTCCAGGCACTCAGGATGAGCAGAACTCACCGGCCAAGGCTGGGGCTGAGGAGGAGCTAGAATCGCAGAGACACTCTCCCCCCACCCCTCACCACCCCTGTCACTCAGACATCACACTTCAGGGGCAGAACAGAAAACCCAGAGCCTCACCCAGGCAGGGCTCACATCCCATTCCCCGTCCTGGTGCTGACCCGTCCTCCCAGCTCTGAGGAGCCTCAGATCTCCCGGGTGGCAGGGGTGCAGCTGCATAGCGGCGAAATTCCAAGCCCTGGTTCTGCGTTTGCCTTGTGCTGAAGTTCAGCATGCCTCTGACGCTCACGCACCCCAAATGGACAAGGAGGTCCCCTCAGCAGCCCCGTGGGCAGTGCTGAGCTTGGAAGTGGGAGGTTCTGAAGGCATCGGAGGCCTGACTTCTGGACTTCGGAGAGCGTGAAGCTGCCCGGGTCGCGAGCTCATTGTGAACTGTTCGCTTGCTCCCTCCAGGCTCATACCCGGGCTCTGACTCCAGCCAAAGCATGAATGGCCTTGAAGTGGCCCCCCCAGGTCTGATCACCAACTTCTCCCTGGCCACGGCAGAGCAATGTGGCCAGGAGACGCCACTGGAGAACATGCTGTTCGCCTCCTTCTACCTCCTGGATTTTATCCTGGCTTTCGTTGGCAATACCCTGGCTCTGTGGCTTTTCATCCGAGACCACAAGTCCGGGACCCCGGCCAACGTGTTCCTGATGCATCTGGCCGTGGCCGACTTGTCGTGCGTGCTGGTCCTGCCCACCCGCCTGGTCTACCACTTCTCTGGGAACCACTGGCCGTTTGGAGAAATCGCGTGCCGTCTCACCGGCTTCCTCTTCTACCTCAACATGTACGCCAGCATCTACTTCCTCACCTGCATCAGCGCCGACCGCTTCCTGGCCATCGTGCACCCGGTCAAGTCCCTCAAGCTCCGCAGGCCCCTCTACGCACACCTGGCCTGTGCCTTCCTGTGGGTGGTGGTGGCCGTGGCCATGGCCCCGCTGCTGGTGAGCCAGCAGACCGTGCAGACCAACCACACGGTGGTGTGCCTGCAGCTGTACCGGGAGAAGGCCTCCCACCACGCCCTGGTGTCCCTGGCCGTGGCCTTCACCTTCCCGTTCGTCACCACGGTCACCTGCTACCTGCTGATCATCCGCAGCCTGCGGCAGGGCCTGCGTGTGGAGAAGCGCCTCAAGAGCAAGGCGGTGCGCATGATCGCCATCGTGCTGGCCATCTTCCTGGTCTGCTTCGTGCCCTACCACGTCAACCGCTCCGTCTATGTGCTGCACTACCGCAGCGGTGGGACCTCCTGTGCCACCCAGCGCGTCCTGGCCCTGGGAAACCGCATCACCTCCTGCCTCACCAGCCTCAACGGGGCGCTCGACCCCATCATGTATTTCTTTGTGGCTGAGAAGTTCCGCCACGCCCTGTGCAACTTGCTCTGTGGCAAAAGGCTCAAGGGCCCGCCCCCCAGCTTCGAAGGTAAAACTAACGAAAGCTCACTGAGTGCCAAGTCAGAGTTGTGAGCGGGGGGCGCCGTCCAGGCCGAGCGCAGACTGTTTGTTTAGGACTCAGCAGACTCAGCAAGAGGCATCTGCCGTTTCCCCAGCCACCTCCCCAGCAGGCAACCTGAAATCTCAGCAGATGCCCACCGTTTCTCTAGACCGCCTCGTCTCAACCCCTGAAAAGGGAGAACTGACGAAGGGGATCCATCGGCCACCCTCTGCAGGGGCTTGTGATGCTTACAAAGGCTCCTAGACACTCAACGACTTCATCCGTGGCAGGGAGAGAAGAGGCCGGAAGAACAACCCCTGAACAATAGACGCCTTTCTTTCCCACTAGGCTCCCAGCCTCCTTCCTGCTACAGAATCGCTCAGCAACCAGGCTCTGCAGAAAGACCCGGAAGGCAGGCTGCAAACGACCCAGAAGAGGGACCTGGGAGTCCTGGCGGGGGCGGGGAGGGAGTCTCAATATTCCTTTGCAGTGCAAGGTACCCTGAGTCCCCTCTGTGATGCCTCTGCCAGACACACACTGCCTGAGTTGAAAGGACACAGGCCACACATTTCAGGCTGGTTGCCAGGGGACCTCAGCACTCACGGCCTGCAGGGACTGAGCACAGCTCTGGATTCTGGATCTCTCCTGCTGTAACCCCACGCACAGGCCTGCAACCCCCAGAGCTCTTTGGCAGGCTCCCGGGCCTCCCAGTCCTGGACAAGCATGTCCTGTGTAGTCATGGGAGCTCAGGTCAGGCCAGGGCTGCGCTGCGCACCTGCCTCCCACTGACCCAGACCCCCTTCCTCCAGAGAGGCCTCTCTCTGCCTGAGCTATTTCCCTTGCTCGCGTGCAGGCATTTCCCTAACATGTCCTTTGTATTTGTACAGACCATAAACACAACTGTAGCTTTAAGACTACACAGGTTATTGTGTTTGGTCAACATGAAGCGTTTCCCAGAACTTCTCTCTTTGACCCAGGAATGGCGAAGTGGTGGCACAGCGGCAGAGGCAGCCTCGTGGGCTCTTGCTGGGGCTCTGGCAGCTCACAGCACATCTGCCCAGATTCTGAGGTTCTGCACTGTGGGGCTGGGAGGGCCAAACAGGGGCCCTCATTCCTCACCCTAGCTGCCGCCCTGCCCCGTCCTTACAGCAATATGCTTCTGTAGCACGTCTGACTTTCCAAAACACTTCCAGCATCTTTCAGATTTCCCCAACCAGCCCTTGGGGCAGTGGCCCTGTGCAAAGCTTGCCCCAGGAAGGAGACTGGGCTCACTCCACACACCGTCGGCGACATTGCTGGTCAGCATAAGCCCCTGGTGCTGTCCCTCGGCCCCTGCACTGCACCGTCTGCCCCCTCAGCCCTTCATTTAGACAACCTGCTCAATGCCAGGCACCGCCCAGCTCCGCGGACAGTGGGCTGGACACCAGGCACCAGGCCATGTGCCTCTCTCGTGGGCAGCTCATGGACAAGAGCTTGGTAGTGTCGGGGAAGCATCTCGGAGGAGCTGCGGGAGGGAGCAGAGTGCCCAGACAGAGGGGGTGTGGCGGGGAGGCATGGCTGGGGCCTCTGGAGGGCGGCACTGCCTCTCACTGACACGGGGCACATGCAGAGGCAGCCTTGGCGGTTGGTGGAGGAGAATCCCAAACTGCTTGTGCCCCATTGTGTTTGGGATGCCTGATGGACACCAACTGAAGGTGGCATGTGGGCAGCTGAAGACAGCGAGAGAGAGGCGCGAAGTGGAGCCCAGAATTGTCCAGACACACGTGCTATTTAGGGCTCTAGGATTCTGTCTGCAAGGGCAGCCACGAGGGCCGGGCACGGAGTCCCAGACGACCCCCATGGAGAGACCGGGAGGAAGGGGGCTCAGAGGAGGGAGTGAGCAGGTGCCGCTGTGGGAGGGGGGGAGCAGAACCACAGGAACTCAGGGTCCCGGGTGCCAGAAGGGGGGCATTTCTGCACCTCAGCAGCTGTGGTGAGAGCTGCTGAGGGGTCAAGAGGAGGTGTGGGTCCCTGGGCAGATGAGGCCAGGGTAGCACACAGGAGGGGAGGCAGGTGTGCTGGGAGAGGCCGGGAAGGAAGGCCAGCCAGTGTTTTTAACCCAGCTCCCCAGCCCGGTCCTTCAGAAAGGACAAGAGAGTGGCGTGGAGAAGGGAGCTCTGGAGAAACTGTGGGAACGAACAGGGCTCAGACAGCGGCGGGGCTGCACGGGATCCCAGAGCTAGGGCCAGGGGAGGTGGGAGACAAGGCCACCTGCTATAGGGACAGTGCTCAGGGAGGGGGAACGAGAGACGAAGGCTTCACAGGAGGTGGGAACTTCTGGAGTACCCATGAGGTCTGTGGCCCTGAATTTAAGAGTAAATGTGGGCATTTCCCTCCGGCCACACTGAGCTGCACAGGTACAGGCAGGGGAAGGTGGACAGGTGGGGTCAGCAGGCGTGGTGGCCGGGGGGGGTGGGGGACTGTGGGGGTTTCTCATGGCTCCCGAGAGGCTGCCACGTGCATGCCAAGCATGGGGCCCCGCAATCTGGGAGCTGGACCATCTGCCCCGAGGTGAACCGGAGGGAGGGCAGCCACGTCAGTGCAGGCTGCGGCACTGGGACCCTGCTGGGCCCTCAGCAAGTGGGTAGCACACGGGAGGAGTGGGCAGGTGTGCTGGGCAGGGCTGTGGCCCAGTCCTCTCTGGCCCGATGTGGCCACCTCACCTGCCGGCATTCTTCACGAAGCCCAGGTCAGCCAGCTCCACATCGCACAGCTCGCAGCGGAAGCAGCCCGGGTGCCAGTTGTTGTTCATGGCCTTGATGACGCGGCCAATGATGAACTCGCCTGGAAAAGGACAGGTCCCTGCTGGCCAGGGGGCGCGTGCCCATCCCCTCTTCGGACCCTCCAAAGCCCCGTCCACCTAACACTCCACCTGCTCTCTGCCTGGCCCGTGGGCTCCCTGGTGAGATGGTGGTGCCTATAGGGGGCCTGAGGGCTGCCACTCAGAGAGGCAAGGTGGGCAGTTAGGGAAGAGCTAGGCCAGTTCTGTGTGCCCCTTTGGGCCCCCGCCCCCCCACCCCGCCTGCTGCCCACTTCCCAGGCAGCCCAGGATGTGCACTGTCACCAGCCTTACCGCAGGATCCGCAGCATGGAGCAAACAGCATTTGGAAGTCGTGTTCACAGTACTTCCGGCCTTCAAACTGCAAAGGGGTCGCAGAGAGAGGACAAGCAACTACCTATCATCCCCACCAGCCGCCCAGGCCCTTGTCGGGTCAGGACCTGACAGCAGGGGATGAGGCACTGAGACAGGCGCATGCCGGGCTGAGGCTGGAGCAGCGGGTCCCAGGCCTGGCCAGCAGAGGACATTGGCCCTTTTGGGATGGTGGGGTGCAAAGGGAGGGGCCCCTGTGGAAGCTGGAAAGGTCAGCAAGGCCACCTGTCAAAGGGCTGCTGGTGTCTACTGAGGATCTGGACCCTGTGGGTCCGGAGAACAGGCTGGGGGCGAGGCGGTTTTATGCCAGGAGGCATGAGATCCAGTTTGAAGTGTAGTGCCACTTGGCCCTATTTCCTATACCTTCTTTGTGGGAATAGTCCAGCTTCCCCAGAGGCCACGAAGACCCAGGGACAGGAGACAGAAGGAAGGGAAGGCAGGAAGGACCTGGGCACGGGGGAGTGGGGAGAGGTCAGGGCTGCGGCCAGCAGGAGCCGGTGTGCACACCCTCCAGGCGGCAGCTGCCAGCGACGGCCCCTGTGCTGGCCACAAGTGGGGCCAAAGCCTGCCTCTGCTTTCCTCTCTTTTGACAATTGTATTTTCTATTTTCTAATTTGGTTTTTCCCTGTTCTCTAAAATGAGTGTCTTACGAGACTGAACTGGATATAGCCCTACCCAGGGACCTGTAGAGGCAGGAAGGGCTTAAACTCTTTCAGCAACGAAAATCATCTGGGCACCTACTGTGTGACAGGCTTTGTTCTGGGCACATGGCCACCCTCCCAGAGTTTTGCCCACCCCCCTGCTGCCTCTACACTTAGCCAGCATTTCTCAGGAGGCTGAAGGCACCATGAGGAACAAACAGCAGCTCCTGCTCTGCCAGGCGGACCACACGCCCCACATCCATCCACCAGCCACTCCCATCAGCTCTACCTCGAAACAGAGCCAGCATCTGAACCCTGGCCACCACCGCCACCACAACCACCAGTGGCGTGCTGGTAAATGTTGAACAGCCAGCTCTCTGGGGCACAGAGGCAGGCCCTGCTGTGGGGCGTTTGCCAATGTCCACGGTGTGAATATTCCCGTCATGGCCAACTTCCGGTTGCCGACAGGACATCGATGTGGACTTGAGCGGGGGTGTGCATGGCCACACCAGCACAATGAACGGAAATAACCCCGGCAGCATAGACAATAGTAAAGTGGAACAAAATAATTAGCAAGTGGTACGCTTTGAGTATTTGTTACCTCTGTTTTTAATAAAGTTGTATCCCATTGTATGTTTATGTAATTTAATTTTTAAACAAAAACTTTGTTGCATAACCAGTTTGCAAGACTGTTGATGATTTAACAACTGCTCTCATGAGCTGGTGAAGGCCCCTTCACTTTCATCTGGGTGACTGTACTAATTCAGCTCCTGGTCCCGCCAGCTTCCCAGCCCAGCCTCTGTTCCGGCCCCACCTTACACACTCTCCTCAGTGGCCAGAAGCCTCCTTTTTTTTTCTTTTTTTTTTTTTAGATGGAGTCTTGCTCTGTCCCCCAGGCTGGAGTGCAATGGCGCGATCTCGGCTCACTGCAATGTCCACCTCCCAGGTTCAAGTGATTCTCCTGCCTCAGCCTCCTGAGTAGCTGGGATTACAGGCACCTGCCACTACGCCAGGCTAATTTTTTGTATTTTTAGTACAGACAGGGTTTCACCATGTTGGCCAGGCTGGTCTTGAACTCCTGACCTCAGGTGATTCACCCGCCTCCGCCTCCCAAAGTGCTGGGATTACAGGCGTGAGTCACAGTGCCTGACCAGGGCACCTTTTCAAATGTCAGCAGACAGTGTGACTCCTCTGCTTCACACCCCGAGGCGGCTCCTGTCTATGGCTCTGTAGAGGCCCATGGGGCCAAACAAAATCCACCTCCCTGTCCTCAGCGCCTGACACTCTTCCTCTCATGCCCTCGGCTTCCATCACACCAGCTTCCCTACTGCTCTCCATACACCCCATGTTCTCCCACCACAGGGTCTGTGCATGTGCTGTGCCCTCTGCCCAGTGCTCTCCCGCAGAGATGTGTGTGGCTCCCTCCCCTCAGGTCTGCCCAAACCTCACCTTCCCTGAGCACCACCCCACCCTGTGAGCCCTGACCCCCAGGGCATCAGCACCAGCTGGTGGGCTGTGCAGTTGCTGTGCTCACTGTCTAGTACCCACGGAGGGCAAGCACTACCAGGGCAGGCTCTTCCTGCCCCCAGGGCCTGCCCAGCATCTGCCCAGAGGAGGCTGGTGAAAGGTGGCTCTCCGTTAGCACCTAGAGCACCCGGGGTGCTGTTCACATCTCACAGGTGAAGGATGGGTCTGTGCAGGAGCTCAAGCCTGACTCTGGGCTGGCTCCAGAGCCGGCCCTGTCACCAGTCGGGACCACTGCATGGAGCCCAGCCCACCCACTCCTTGAGGGCAGACTCTGAGCTGGGTCTGAGAAGGCCCTCAGTAGTGTCCTCACCTCATAGAAGAGCCCCTCGGGGAAGGGCCGGAAGCACTGGGCACACACGAAGCAGTGCTCATGGTACAGCTCCCCATTGCTGTTGACAATGCGCTCAGCGGGGGTGAAGCGGGCCTGGCAACGCTGGCACACGGCATTGGCCAAGGCATCCGACATGTTGCTGGGGGCGGGAGACAGAAGGGGTGAGTCAGAGCTGGTCAGGGGCGCAGATGGGGCACATGCAGAGCCCTGCGCCCGACAGACACACCTCATATTAAAAAGTGAAGACGCTCTACGGGGTCAGGAAAATCGCTCTAACCCAGGGTCCAGGCTGCTCAGTGCTTGCAGTGCCCACCCCTTGGGGTGTCAGGGGCCCAGTCAACTCCCACTTGGGCCCCTATTACCCCTTCTCCAGGGACCACAGAGTCTCACGCACAGAACACCACCCAGCACAGGTGAGTGGCTCTGTATTTGCACTCTTATTTAATCCCCAAGGCAATCCTGCAGCTACTATTATTATGTCCTCTTCCAGAGGAGGGACCAAAGCCTCAGAGAGGTTGAGTAACTTGCCCAAGCTCACACAACAGAGCGGGGTAAACGCTTGAACCCAGACTGCTCAGTCTTCCATGGTTCCATCCTCTGCACCATGAGTTAGTTTCAAACCGACTGCCTCCAATAAACACATAACCACCCAACCACAGAGAAGGCAAGGGGGTAGCCAGGTACAGTGGCTGAAGCCTGTCATCCAGAGCACTGTGGGAGGCCAAGGTGGGCGGATCCCTTGAGCCCAAGAGTTTGAGACCAGCTGGGCAATATGGCAAGAACCCATCTCTAATAAAAACACAAAAACAAAAACAAAAAAAAAATTAGCCAGGTGTGGTGGTGCAAGCCTGTAGCCCCAGCCCCATTCTGGAGGCTGAGGCGGAAGGATGGCTTCAGCCTGGGAGGCTGAGGCTGCAGTGAGCTGTGACCATGCCATTGCACTCCAACCTGGGCGACAGAGCAAGACCCTGTCTCAAAAAAAAAAAAAAGAAAGGCAAGAGTATGAATCTTTGAGACAAGACGGGAGTGCGGTGAGGGGAGCAAAGCTCATCCATGCTGGGCAGTGCCTGTCCCCAGAGTCAGCGGTGGGTTTCCTTCTGGGAAGGGTGAAATGCAAACTACACGGGAAAAGCCCACAGTGAGCCAGGCCCACAGTCATTCCAGCCCCAGGGCCCTTCAGCACAGCCAGGAGGGGTCTTTTAGACTCAAAAACATGGTAAGGATGTAGTCCTAAACACCCAACTGCCTCTACGGCCTTCAGAGAACCAGATACCCAACGCCTTTTGCTAGGAAGGGAGAACACGGGTTCTGTCTCAAGGGTCTCAACTCCTGTGGATTCCTGGAAGGCTGGGCAGAAAGGGATCGTCAGGCTCGCAGGGGAGTGATGCAACCAGCTGGTAATGCTCGCCTGGGTGCAGCTGTAGTGTGGCAGGACGCGAGTGCAGTGCCTTTGGGAACACCTCTCCACCTGCCCTGCCTCCCAGGATGAATCCCACCCGGCAGTCACTCACTGCCGCAGCATCATGAGAGAAACGCCTGGTGAGTGAGGCTCCTGTCGGGCTGTTCTGCAGCCTGCGATCTGGGCAGGGCCAGCCTGAAGAGTGCCAGCCACAGAAAAGAGGGGCCTTAGACAGGATGAGCCCAGGGTTGGAGGGCAGGGCTTCACTCAGGGTCTGGGCATGGGCTGTGGGCAGAGGGTCTCACAGGAGGCTGCTGCCATATGGAGATGGACTGGAAACTGGGAAGGGGAACCCAGGCTGATGTCTTTCTTCTCGGCTTAGGGACTCATGTGGCGGAGGCTGGCTGGAAGGCCGTTCAGCGAGGCTTTCTGGGCATGCTGGGCTTCCGTCCACCTTGGCCTACCCCCCTGGGGTGCTTAGGAGACCAAAGCCACCATGCAAGCCCACATTTAGGCCAGAGGGGCAAGGAAGCAGAGATGGTGGCAACAAGAGTTGGGAAGAACCCAAGAAGAAAGGAGGCCTCGGCACCCAGCGGCTGCTCCTCAGTCCTCCCAGCTCCCTGCTGGTCTTCACAGGGTGGGCCAGGCAGGCCACCAGGGCGGAGCCTGGCGGCCCCAAGCCACCCTCGAGGGCTGGGCTGGGCTTCACTAGGACCAGCTTGGTTTCCTTCCCGGAGAACACTGTGAACCTCCTCTCCTGAAACACACACCCAAGGTGACAGGGAGGACGTTCCAGGGCCTGACCGTGAGCGAGACCTTGGGCCTCTTAAGAGAAGTCGGAAATCAACAGGAAATCCCATGCCTCCGGGCCTGGAATTCCTCACTCCAAGGACCCAGAAAACGAAGCCAAATTAAGGACTTGCAGCGCCAGCCTTTCAGATTCCGCCTTAAAGCCAGACCTTTAGACCCCAGTGACTGAGCACACACCCCTCGCACCCCTTCCAGGCTCCTGTTCTCTGCCCCAGGGGTTGCTGTTTAGGGCCTGCACCCACAGGCCTGCCTCCTCTGGCTTCCAGATGGGCTGATCCTACTCCCACTAGCCAGGTTGCTACTGGGACCCGGGCCTCTCCCCGTGGTTACTGGCACTCCTGCACCACTAGCCCAGCTGCTTCACCACCCTTCCTCCCTCCCCGTTTCATAAACAGACCCTCAGTAAGCACTCCCCAGCTACCACGCTTCCCACTGAGAGGCGAAGCCGGCTGGGCTTCTGGGTCTGGTGGGGACTTGGAGAACTTTTCTGTCTAGCTAAGGATTGTAAATGCACCAATCAGTGCTCTGTGTCTACCTAAAGGTTTGTAAACACACCCACCAGCACTCAGTAAAAACTAACCACGTTCTATAAAACAGACCAATCAGCGCTCTGTAAAACGGACCAATCAGCTCTCTGTAAAACAGACCAATCAGCGTGCATGAAATGGACCAATCAGCGCTCTGTAAAATGGACCAATCAGCAGGATGTGGGTGGGGCTAAATAAGGAAATAAAAGCAGGCCGCCGCAGCACGCCAGAGTGGGTCTTTCTCTATCAGGTGGCGGGTTTGTTCTTTTGCTTTTTGCAATAGATCTTTAGTGCGATGACTCTTTCAATCCCTAATATCACCTTTATGGGCTGTAACACGCACCGCAAAGGTCTGCAGCTTTACTCCTGTAGCCAGGGAAACCATGAACCCACCGGGAGGAACGAACAACTCCGGAGGCGCCATTTTTAAAAGCTGTAACACTCACTGCCAGGGTCTGTGGCTTCATTCCTGAAGTCAGTAAGACCGTGAACCCACCAGAAGGAAGACACCGGACATATCTGAACATCTGAAGGAACAGACTCCAGACACACCGTCTTTAAGAACTGTAACACCGTGAGCGTCTGCGGCTTCATTCTTGAAGTCAGGGAAACCAAGAACCCCGCAAAAGGAACAAATTCTGGACACACCACCAGAGTCCTAACAGCAGCCTAGCCACACCCTCTCTCCTCTACTTTCCTGCTCATCTTCCAGTCGAACCTGGAAACCGGTCCCTAACCAGTTCCCTGGCTGGTTCCCGGACGCCTCCAGTGAGATCATTGGCGCCTGAGCCGGGCAGGCATGGCACAAAGCCTGGCATAAGCAGGTGGGGTATGGGGGTGGCCCCCTCCCTCCTATGCCCAGGGGCTGCCCCAGGCCAAGTCACAGGCACCAGAGCCCCTAACAGTAGCTCTGTGAAAGGTTCCGGGGCTGCATCCCCACGACGTCCCACTGAGGAGCACAGGAACATTCCGATCCAAGGGCAAAGACGAGCAGACAGAAGCATGCAGAGACAATGGAGATTCAGCACCATGAGGGTACACGTTTGCTGGCTCCTGCAGGGGAGGAAGAGGCCTGGACCCACGTGCCCAGCTTTACACCTGATAGCCCCAGCCACCGGCCTGGAACCTCAAGAAGGGTGCTGGCTTCTCCAGGCCTCATTTCCTCTTCTATAAAGAGGTGCACCAGAGAAAGAGTAGCCACCTCGAGGAGCCAAAGTGAAGAATGAATGACACCCACGTGTCCAGCACAGAGCGCCAGGCAGGCAAAGCGCTGGATAAAAAGAACTTGTTTTCCAGCAACTCTGGGAGCCTTCCAGAGTCCCTCTGCACGGCTCAGCCCAGGGGAAGGCCTGCAGGCTGTCTGCGGTCCCTGTGAGAGGGCAAAGGGTCAGAGTTGTGGACATTCCATGTCCTCCTTTGCACATTCCTTCAGGATAGGGAACAGAGTCTGCCCAGTTATCCCCCAGAAGACGCCACTACCCACCCCCCAGCTGGACTACATAGAACATACTGCCCAGGGCATGCCCAACATGGAAGCCAAACCCCAGATCTGGGGTAGAACACACCATCTCATGCCCTTCCCCAGCACCCCAGAATGCTCTCAGTCTTGACAGCCAACACAAGCCAATTTGTTGCAAGATGTCCCTGAGTCTGGGGTGGGATCAGAGGAGCCTGCTCTGTTCAGGCCTTCGTAAGGGGAGAAGGCTGGTTCCAGATAAGGAGATTGAAGCACAGAGACTGTAACGAGCTGAGGGTCACACAGGATTAGGCTCATGCTCCCCTCATCTCCTCCTGGCATCCCCCATTCCAGATTCTGTTTCTTCAGCAAACCCAGACCACCTTCCATCCCAGCCTCCCCGATACCTGAGTCTAGGAAGAGAGTGTAAGGATCTGGGAAGAGTCAGGGGCCAGCCACAAGGGGTCTGGTCACACCCAAGATGAGCCAGTGTTGCTGAGGCCACGTCAGCCTGAGCAGCAGTCAGGCCAGGGGTGTGTCCTCTATAATCAGGCACACCAGGCTGCAACCCAGGCCCGGACAGCCCCTGCCTGTGTGACCTGCAGCAGAGGACTCTGAACCTCACCTTCCTCATCTATAAAATTGGCCAGGAATAGCTACCTCCAGGGAGGGAGGTAGTGAGGCGAGTCCTGCAAGCGCAGCCCATGCTTTCGTCTTTGATCCAACAAGTCTTCACTGAGCACGCGCACTGATAGGCACTATTCCAGGCGCAGAGGCCTTCGGGGAGGGACCCCACTGCAGCACAGCCCAGGGAGCACCTTCAGTCCCTCAGCACTGCCTGGGCCTCCTCCCTGCCCCGCCTCCACGAAGGCAGCCAGAGGCCAGTGTCAGGGGTCACCTGGCTACATGAGGTCAACAAAAATGTACACAAAGCCAGTCCACCATGGGGACGCTAAAAATTAACATCCTGCCTTGGGCTGCTATACACAGGATGCAATGACACCATCGGAAACAGACTCCAAATCAGTATGAAACCTGTCTGAAATTAAAGCTTTCTCTGAAGCCCTTGCCATACCTCTTTGCTCTAGCGGCTTTACTTTCAAGTAGGTACACCTGAAACGTCACACTGACAACAGAGAACTAACAGAGGACATGAACCAGAAGTTCAAAGAAAAACAGTGTGAATAGTCACATGTGTGTGCATGCTCAGGGTTGCCCCAGGTCTGTCATCATCGTGCCGGTCCCGCCTGCATCTCAGCTGTGGTGTCAGTACTGTGAAAATCACTCTGCAGACCAGCCTTGGGGCTATCAGTGCCCTGGCCACCCACAGCCTGGTGCCACAGTTATGCCGCACGCATCCAGGGCTGTCCAGAGGCCGGCCAGTGAGGATGCCTGCTCCACCTCTGCCACACTCAGGTGTCTGCAGGTCCCCACCTGAACAGCAGGCTGCACCAGACCTGCGGTGCCAGCACAGGCGGGAGCCCAGCGTGCAGCAGGGACTTCACAGATGGCCGTGCTGCCGGCCTGCAGTTCCTGCCCTCCATTCGGTGCCCTCCTTCCTCCTCTGTTCTCAGCAGAAGATATCTTCGATGGCTCAGTCCTCTAACTGCCCCTCTGGGAGCCTTCTCTGACCACATACGAGGAGCTCAGAGCGGGCTGTGCTTGCCCTGGGTGGCACTGGCCTTCCTCTGCTCCTGGGTCCTCCAGGCTCTCCCCTATGTCTGTGACTTATGCTCCTGGCTCCCTTTCTGACCCTCCAGCCCTTCTGCCCAGCCTTGGCGTCCTCCCCAGGGTCCCCATCTGTCACTTTGATCAAGGATCCCAAGCTCACAGCCCTATTGCTCTCTCTCCCCCACTGGCCGCTGGGCACTGCAAAGGCAACATGTCCAGGAGCTCCTCCTCGTGCCCCTGACCCCAAGAGTGAGGGGAGGTGGCTCCACCACCATCCCCGTGCCCCTCCCAACCTCCCCATCCAGAACCAACTCATCCTCAGATGCCCTGAGGACCATCCTCAACTCCGCTGCCCCCTCCTCCCAGCCCAAAAGGAGCCTGTCTACACTGGCAGTCCTCCATGGAATGAAGCAGGGCAGGCTTTGGAGTCAGTCTAACCTGGGTTCAAATCACAGCGCCATGTTTGGGGTGGGTGAGTCCAGCAGGTGCCTGCTGCGCTCAGAGCCTGTCTGCTCATTTACAAAGTGCAGCATCATCACCCCAGTCTGAAAGCGGTGCTGGGGGCTATGCAGGCCCCCTGCTTTCTAACACAGGTCCCTGGGCACACCCTGCCAAGAGAGCTGATCACAGGTGACATCCAACCCAGTTAGATAAAGTCGCACGCGCCCACCCTGTCGCCAGCCCAGGGCCCATCCGACGCCCGGGGAGAGAGCCCACGGTGTCGGAGGGCCCGGCCGAGTTTCCGAGGGAAGGCCTGCCCAGCCGCGGCAGCTTTCCGGCCATTGTCCCCGCCACCTGCCCCGCCCCTGGCCACCTACCCCGCTGCGGGCGTCGGGCTCTGCCGGTGCTGGCGCCGCCGGTACAGCCCCGACGCGGCCAGCGCACCCAGCCGGGCCGCCATGGCGCAGGGCAGCCGCCTCGAGGTCACGGGCGCGGGCCGCCTGGTGCAGGGGCCGAGGGACCACCTCGGAGGGGCGGCGCGGCAGCCTCGGGCCAGACACCGCGACGGGACGGGCGTGTGGGCGCCTCCCCCGCGCTGGTCGCCAGCTCACGTTACGCGCTGGGATCTCCAAAGGGCAGCAGAGTCAACTCCAAATAGAAAGCATATTGTTTGCGCCGTGGGGGCAGCTCCTGAAAGCTGAGGCTGGCAGGGTTGGGTCCCGCTGGGAGGGGACTGGTCTGGGAAGGCCCCAGACAGCACTGAGGTGAGGTCCGCAGTGGCGGCAGGACACCCAGGAGGTCTCCAGCTGCCACCTGCCAGGAGGCAAGCCTGTGCCCCTGGACACACTGAGGGGGGCAGAGTCAGCGGAGGAGGACGGGGAGGACCTGGCGCCTTTAGGATCCCTGCCATCGGTTAAGAAACCGAGGACCGGAGCCGCACAGTTCCACATGCTGCTTTGCTCCCTTCTCCGAGAGCCTCTGCCACAGTCATCACCCTGGAGCACCCAGACCAGGGCAGAGCCGATCATCTGGATCTGGCCAACAAATGCTCAGGCACCCCAAAAGAGGTTTAGAGAAAAGGCAATCCTCCAGCTTCCAGGGGAACAGACGCAGAGGGACCTGGTGGAAACCACCAGGAAGGCAGCATGTCCCCCATACCCAGAGAGACTGGCAAAGCTCCTTGTGACTCATAAGCACCCACGGTCGGCATCCAAACTGTGGCCAAGGTGACCCTGGTCAGCAATACAATAAAGATTCGGAGCACTCGTGGAAATCTTTAACATTGACTCCGTTTCCCTGAAAGACCTTTCTAGAAAGGTCAGAAAGCTTGAGCAGTATCTTCTTCTGCCTTCCGAAGGCAAGAGCTGGCAGCCGTCAACTAAAGACAGCAGGGCACTGATCCTCCCAAACTAGGGTGGGAGAAAGCCTTGGAGGGGCTCACTGGCACTCAGATACCAGGCCTACACGCCACCGAGGAACACACTCACCCAGCAAGTCCCAACAGGAGGAGGTGCTCATTAAGCACCCTGGCAGTCAAGTGATGACAAGCATTGGGTACAATATAATTTGTAAATGCAGCCCAATTCCAAAGTTGCCCAACACTGATCAATTCAACAAATAGATTTTAAAGGTGGCCCCAGGAGCTAAAGGGCATGGAGAAGCTGAGCCCAGAGGAGCCAAAATGAGTAAGGAATACCGCTGACTCTCTGATGTAGGTAGCTGAATGCTTAAGAAAACTTATGCAGAAAATGTTCTTACAGCAGCTACAAGTCAATGTGATGGGGCCTAGGCTCCTCTCACCACTCCCGACTCAGCCCATCCATGTGGAAATCCTCAACACTAGAATCCAGGACTCTCATGCAGACCCACAGTTTTCTGTAAGGAGGAAACATTTATTTAGGGCTCCAAGGGTCACATATAATGCTGGAAAGGAGGCTACAGGCACAAGTGTTTTGTACAACATAATTTGTAAATGAAGTTCAAGCACAAGTTTACCAAGTACTAATCAATTCAACAAATATTTACTATAAAAGTGGACGTCGAAGGCTAGAAATTGAGAGAGGCTTAGAGTCTGATTGAGCCCAAATCCTAAATCTCTGCACAACCTTACCACCCATTCTGCAGCCTGTCCTGCTGCAGGGATGGGATTGGGGGCCACAGATACTGCAAACTGAATCTAGAACTCTATACAAAGTATTATACACCGTAACCAAATGGGATTTGGGTCAGTGCTCTGGCTCTAGACATTTGCAAACACACTGAGAGTGATGTCAGCAAAAAAGTGGTGGAGTAAGGACCTCCAGAAGTTCATCCCTCCATAAAAGCAATGAAAAATCCAGAAAAAATTATCAGAATCTACTCTTTCAGAACTCTGCAAATCCACCAAAGGTTTTCAGTAACCCTAGGAATGTTTGGTCAAGAAAAACAGATGAATCTTGGTAAAAAACAAACAGCAAACAAACAAACAAAAACACAACAACAGTGAGGTTTGTGTTGTTTTAACTTATCCTAGTCCCTTATTCCTGCTCCCTAACTCCATGCCTGCCTTGAAAAACAATAATAGCCTGTGTTCCCAGTAAGGAATTAACAGAATGGAATATTATGAACAACTGTATGCCAATAAATGAAATAACCTATCTGAAATGGAGAAATTCCTAGAAGGACACTACCAAAACAGACTCAAAAAGAAATAGAAAATCCAAATGTATCAGTCTATTTTCATACTGCTATTAAGAACTGCATGAGACTCGGTAAATTATAAAGGAAAGAGGTTTAATCAACTCACAGTTTAACAGGGCTGGGGAGGACTCAGGAAACTTACAGTCATGGCAGAAGGCAAAGGGGAATCAAGGCATCTTCTTCACAAGGTGGCAGGAAGAAATACGAAGCGAAGGGGGATGAGCCCCTTATAAAACCAGCAGTTCTTGTGAGAATTCACTCACTATCACGAGAACAGCATGAGGGGAAACGCCCCCATGATTCAATTATCTCCACCTGGTCTCTTCCCTTGACACGTGGGGATTATAGGGATTACAATTCAAGATGAGATTTAGGTGGGAACACGAAGCCTAACCAAATCACCAAATAAGGCCAATAACACGTAAAGAGACAGAGAGTAACCAAAAAACTTCCCACAAAGTAAAGCCAGAGTTACATGGCTTCATTGGTGAATTATATCAAAGGTTTAACTAGAATTAACACCAAACCTTCAAACAAACAAACACACACAAAACACCAGTGTGGTGGCACATGCCTATAATCCCAGCTACTCAGGAGGCTGAGGCAGGCAGGAGAATCACTTGAACCCAGAAGGCGGAGGTTGCAGTGAGCTGAGATCACGCTACTGCGCTCCAGCCTGGGTGACAGAGTGAGATCTTGTCTCAAAAAGAGAAAACAAAAAACAACACCAAACCTTCACAAAATCTTTCCAAAAAAAAGACTAGGAGGGAACACTTCACAACTCATTCTATAAGTATTACCTTGATATCGAAATAAAACACGAAGGTCACATAGATGCAAATGTCCTTGATAAAATACAATAAACTAAATCTAACACTCTATACATAAAGTATTATACAACATGACCAAATGGGATTTATCCCAAGAATATAGGGTTTGTTTCACATCCAAAATTCAATGTAGCATACCATATCAATAGAATAAAGGGAGGACACTCTATGACCATCTCGATAGATGCAGAAAACACATTTGGCAAAATCTAACACCATTTCATAATAAAAGCACCCAACAAACTAGGAATAGAAGGGAACTTCTTCAATTTGATAAGGAGCATCTACCAAAAACCCATAGCTAACATCATACCTAGTGATGAGAAAACGAATGCTTTCCTCCTAAGGTCAGGGGGATTTCCAGTCTTGCTATTTGTTTGCAGCATGGCACTGGAGATCCTATCAAGGACAGTTAGACAAGAAAAAGAAATAAAAGACATCTAGTTTGAGAAGGAAGAGTAAAACTATTTTTATTTGCATATTACCTACTCATATATAGAAAACCCTGAAGAATCCCCCCTCAAAAAAAAGAAACCCTATTTACAGCTAAGAAATGAGTTCAATAAGTCTGCAAAGTATAAGATCATTATACAAGAATCACTAGCAATGAGAAATCTGAATATGAAATAAAACAACCCCATTTGGGACAGCATCAAAATGAGTAAAATACTTAGGAGTAAGTTTAACAAAATAAGTGCAATACTTCTTATTCACTGAAAACTATAAAACATTATTGAAAGAAATTAAAGAAGACCTAAATAAAGATAAAGATATCCCATATTCATGGATTGGAAAACAATATTGTTAAGATGGCAATACAACACTACATCAAATTGACCTATAGATTCAATGCAATCTCCATTAAAATTCCTGCCTTTTTAAAAGAAATAGACAAGGCATTCCTAAAATTTACATGAAAATGCAGGTGATACAGAATAATCAAAAAAACTTAAAAAAAAAAAAAAAAGGCCAGGTGCAGTGGCTTACACCTGCAATCCTAGCATTTTGGGAGGCCAAGGTGGGTGGATCACTTGAGGTCAGTAGTTCAAGACTATCCTGGCCAACATGGCAAAACCCCGTCTCTACTAAAAATACAAAAATTAGCCAGGCGTGATGGCACACACTTGTAGTCCCAGCTACTCGGAAGGCTGAGGCAGGAGAATCGCTTGAACCCAGGAGGTGGAGGTTGCGGTGCGCTGAGATCAGGCCACTGCATTCCACCCTGGGTGACAGACTGAGACTCCATCACAAAACAACAACAACAAAGAAGACTCATGCTTTCCATTTCAAAACTTACTTAAAAATTACAATTTACTTACTAAAAATTACAAGTGTGGCACTGGTGTAAGGATAGACATATACACCCATAGAACAGAACCAAGAGCCCAGAAGTAGGCTGGGTACAGTGGTTTATGCCTATATTCCCAGTACTTTGGAAGGCTGAGGCAGGCAGAGCCCAGGAGTTCAAGACCAGCCTGGGCAACATGGCAAAATCTCGTCTCTACAAAAAATACAGAAAGTAGCCAGGTGTGGTGGTGTGTACCTGTGGTTCCAGCTACTCAGGAGGCTCAGGTAGGAAGATCACCTGAGCCCAGGGAGGTTGAGACTGCAGTGTACCAAGATCTTGCCACTGCACTCCAGCCTGGGTGAAAAAGTGAAACCCTGTCTCAAAAGAGAGTCCAAAAATAATCCCATATATTTGTGGTCAACTGAATTTTGACAAGAGTGCCAAGACCATTCAATGGGTGAAAGAGTAGTCTTATCAACAAATGATGATAGGACAACTGGATAGCTACATGCAAAAGATCTAGTTTAAACCCTTACTTCATGCCATATAAAAAAAAAAAAATTGACTCACAATAGATCAAAAACCTAAATGTTAGAGCTAAAAGTATAAAACTCCTAGAAGAAAAGAGATGTTTTCATTTCATGAGCTAGGATTAGGCAATAGTTTCCCAAACATGACAACAAAAACTCAAGCAACTAAAGAATAAGAAAATAAATTGGATTTCATTAAAATTTAATACTTGTGTGTCTCAAATGGCACAATCAAGAAAGTGGAAAGATGATCCACAGAAAAGGAAAAAATATTTGCAAATCGGCTGGGCACGGTGGCTCACACCTGTAATCCCAGCACTTTGGGAGGCAGAGGCGGGAGGATCACCTGAGGTCAGGAGTTCAAGACCAGCCTGGCCAAAATGGTGAAATCCCTCTACTAAAAATACAAAAAAAAAAAAAAAAAAAGCCGGGCAGGGGGGCACATGCCTGTAGCCCCAGCTACTGGGGAGGCTGAGGCAGAAGAATCGCTTGAACCTGGGAGGCGGAGGTTGCAGTGAGCTGAGATTACACCACTGCACTCCAGCCTGAGTGACAGAGCGAGATTCCATCTTAAAAAAATTGCAAATCATATGTCTGAGAAGTGTCTAGTATCCAAATAAATTATAATTCAACAATAAAAAGACAACCCAATTTAAAAATGGGCGAAGAGTTTGAATGGACATTTCTCCCAAGAGGATTTACAAGTGGCCGACAGACACATGAAAAGATGCTCAACATTATCAGTCATTAGAGAAGTGGAAATCAAAACCACAATATGACACCTCTTCACACTCACTAAACCAGACAACAATGACAAGCATCAGCAAGGATGTCGGGAAATTGGAACCTTCATACATTCCTGGTGTAAAATTTAATAAATGTAAAATTGTTCAATTATTTGGAAAACAGCTTGGCAATTCCTCAAAAAGTATAACATAAGAGTTACAACATGCCCAGCAAGTCCAGTCCTGGGTATATATTCAAGGAGAAAATGTATGTTCACACAGAAACTTGTATAGGAATGTTCATAGCAGTATTATTCACGGTAGCCAAAAAGTGGAAACAATTCAAATATCCACCACGGGTGAATGGAGAAACAAACTGTGGCACAATGAAATATTATTTACCCAGAAAAAGGAATGAAGTACTGATTCATGCTACGATATATGGATGAACTTTGGAAATATGTTCTTAATAAATGAAAGAAGTCAGGCACAAAAGGCCATATAATATATGGTTCCATTTATGTGAAATGTCCAGAACAGGCAAATCTGTAGAGACAGAAGGCAGGTTACTGGTGGCCAGGGCTGGGAGGAGGGGGAAATGGGGATTGTCTGCAAATCAGTACAAGGTTTCTTTTAGGGATGATTAAAATGTTCTGGAATTAACGGTGATGGTTACACAACCTTGTGAATGTACTAAAAACCACTGAATTGTACAACTAAAATGGCGAATTTAATAATATGTGAACTATGTCTCAAATTTTAAAAAACACATGAGTCATGAAGAATGCAACTACATGGTTTCCTAGAGGCTGGAACTGAGGCCCCAAGCTATGAGGCAGGGCTGCCTCCCCAAGGCCCTGGGGCACGTGCCCTCAGCCCAGTGGGCAGAGGCACCACAAACAGGCTGTCCTCCAGAGCCAGCTCCCCCAGCAGACTCCTCACTGGGAGGCTGAAAACAACTCCATGAGTTTCCCGTGTATTCCTCCAAGGACATGGGTGAGGACACAGTAGGTTTTACGTTCATATGTGTATTCAGTCACCTCATCTCAGCAAGACATACGCATTCACCCACGGAAGTATCTCATTAGGGTGGTTGTCCTGCTAAGTCATCTAAGTAAATATTCACCTTCAGAAATGAACACGCTACACCTAAACAGAACAAGGAGGACAGTGACAGTGCTTCTCTTCCCCACCTGGAAATGAAGACCTAAGGGCTGGTTAAGCCTGCATGCAGGCCGGGCACAGTGGCTTACGCCTGTAATCACAGCACTTTGGGAGGCCGAGGCAGGTGGATCACGAGGTCAGAAGATCAAGACCACCCTGGCCAACACGGTAAAAACCTGTTTTTTTGGTAGAGACCATGGTAAAAACCCTGTCTCTACTAAAAATACAAAAAAAATTAGCTGGTCGTGGTGGTATGCACCTGTAGTCCCAGCTACTCGGGAGGCTGAGGCAGGAGAATTGCTTGAACCTGGGAGGCAGAGGTTGCAGTGAGCTGAGATC